TGCTCTCTGAAGAGATGAGTCTTCAAGAGATTCTTGAAGATAGAAAGGGACGCCCCTGCTCTGACAACGATCCGTAGCTTGTTCCACCATCGTGGAACCACATACGAGGACAGTCTGGACTGCGACTGTCTTGTGTGCAGGGATGGCAACGCCAGACAACATTCCTTGGAGGAACGCAGTGGCCAAGTAGGAGCATATACGCCTGAATGATTGAGTTCAAGTAGAAGGGAGCAGACCTAGAAGTCACTACGAAGGCAAGTGTTAGAAACGTGAATTTGATTCAGGTGGTCATGGGTAGCCAGTGTAGGTCGATGAGTAGCAGAGTGACATGCGCCCTTTTGGGCTGATGCAGGATCAGAATGGCTGCTGCGTTCTGGACCATCTTTGAAGGGAGGGCCGCCAGAAAGGCATTGCAGCAGTGGAGGTGAGAGATAACCAGGGCCTTGACCAGGAGTTAGGTGGCGTACTGAGTCAGGTAAGGCCTGATATTTCTTTGGTTGTATCGTGCAAAGCGGCACGACTGGGAGACGGATGCAACATCGGACAGCTGGTCATCAAACCTGACACCCAGGTTTTCTCGCGACCTTGGGTAAGGGAAGAGATGAAGCGGCAATTCTGATATTGATATCGTGATGAAGAGACTGATAAGACAGTGAGACTGTGAGTAAACATTCACACTGCAGGTATTAGACACTGAACTCTCTGCCCAGCCTCTCCTCTGTATGCACAGGACCAGATGACGTGGTGGACAGTGTATGGGAGTTTCCACTGGAGAGAAATGCAGGCCATCACGCCACTCTGTTGTCTCAGTCCAACTGGAATAATATTGATGGTGGATTCTGACTCCTCACAGTTTGTTCAAGTGTCTGAATACAGCCAGGGTCCCATCCACACTCAGGCCTGTAGCAAAGTCATTCCTCTATCATACAGGTTTTCACACCACCACATTTTCGTTCTCTACAGATTAGCTCATATTAGACAAAGTTCTTCTCAGTAAATCATGCACAAGCCTTGGATGAAAACATGACTTTCGGATCATTGTGTCACCAGTTTTAGTTTGTCACCAGCGGCTGGTTTCAGTTGAACTCTGTTGCTGGTGTTCCATTGGTGTTCCAACTTTCCACCTCATACGCACTAATGTCAAAATTTGAAAAGTTCCAGAAACGTTCATGAAACTTGAAGTGCCATTATTCCAAAAAGGTTCATTATGTCTTCACTGAACTTATTTATGCTTTTTTCTAATCGATAGACAAGTGCTTTTAAGATGTATTTTACCTTGACATGTTTCGACTGCTATCTTCCTGCACATTGAAGTGTCAGCGTGTAAAAACCATGAATGGGAACACAACCAAAAATGAGGGAAAGTTTCTGAACATTTCGACTTTTGAATGGAGTTTCTGGCTGAAAATATGAATGAGTAGAAGTTGTTTCATTCGCAAAAAGGTCAGAAAAACGTTGATTGAAATATACATTTAAAGTGAACTGGATATTTTGAAGTTTGAATGGAGCTTCTATGTTGAAGCGTCTACAAGGAGATAAAAAAAATAAAAGAATGGTTGATTAATAAAGACTTTTTGAATCTGAGAAGAACATATAGTTGGGATTGGGTTTGCAACAATCCCACCTGATAAAGCGCCTAGATGTGAGATCCTCTGAAACGCAGGAATATGGTGAGGGCACAGCGAGAACCACACACCTTTACGAGGAAAAGCACAGGACAGACTGTTGCAACTGGCACAGGCTGCTTTCACCCCTATCCAACATCACACACACTTACTGCATTGCACACAGTCCACAGTTGTCTTTCTCTTGGCATCACGTATATACAGACAGGGATGTGTGGGTGTTAAGGGATGCTGTGGAGGGTAAACCCGTCAGAACTTAGTTTACACGCCTTTTTTATTTGCAAAACAGTTTACCCACATTTTAGAATAATTTAAATCCCTTATTGTGTCAAATTAAAATACGTATAAGTGATGTCAAACTGACTACAAATAGATATCGTCAGGAAAAGCAAACCATAATACCATTTAAAATATATAAATGTGTATTTACTTTATGATTACCCACCTTTTTATTTACACATCATTCTGTGTGTCTGTCCTGTGCACTTTGCTGTGTTGAGTCTACAGTGTTTCCTCCAGCTGTTGTGTGTGTATAAAGTCCAGGCCCGCTGATGGAAGTGCTGTTCTTCATCAGGTTCAGGTGGAAAACCTGTTGGATTCAGTTCATTCTGCATGAGGCTGCCCATCATCCTGCCAACAAAAGAGCTGCTGTGTTCAATACTGGAGAGACACTCAGCTCAGGAGGAAGCTGTGGACATTGGAGGGATGGACGGTATGAAAAGTTAAAGAAAACAATACCTCATCATTCAGATTGTACTATAATTTTAAAAAAGTAGGCTATAACGTGCAAAGAAATAACCAGATTCATTATATTCTGGTCAGAATAGGGCACACACACACACACACACACACACACACACACACATTGATTTCAGTTGTAAAAATCTCCTAAAATGGACGGAGGACATGACGTTTTGGTCTCACCAGCTCCAGCAGCACACCTGCAGCACATGCATATTGTACCTCTGCATGTCTTTCTGCCAGTACATGTCTGTGCACAGAGCCCTCAAACTGAGACGCTGTTTCACATCTGCCCACAATAACACAAGTCCTAGACGTTCAGACTGGCTGCTTGTATGACTGGCTGACATCACCGCTGGCTCTGGCTGCTGTTTGCACTGCAGCCTGAATCTGCTCAGACTGAGACGACAAAGGCATTACTAACAGTGTGAAAATCACAAAACACTCAAGACACTGCCATTGGTCAAGATATTTATAGGATAATAGTCTGAAGATAGTATGGAAATCTACTTTTTTTGCCAAACATTAAAACTGAAAATGACATTTTCAGACTTTGAAAAGTTGTAAAATGCACTTTGCTCTTTAAAATTTAACACTACTCAATACCCAGGCTCTGTAGGTAAATCAGCCAAAATCATAATGTATGACACAATTTAATCTTAAAGGTTAAATAGGGTCACTTCAGCAGTCCAAACTAATGAACCCCACTGCAGAAGTGAGCCTGTGTAATCCAAATTACAACAGGACATGAATCTAAAAGGAGCGTTTCTAAGAGTTTACTCATAGCAACACTACTCCATCTGGTGGATAGTTCATATTAAAGGGGATGTATTACGTTCATTTTCAAGTTCACACTTTCATTTGGGCAAATAGGATTACATGCTTTAATTTTCAAAGAACACATTATTTTACTCATACTGTACATTTCTGCAGCATCTATTTCCACTTTCTATCTGAAACAGTTGATTTGAGCCCCTGTCTCTTTAAGGCCCTCCTCCTTAAAAGCCCTGCTGCTTTGCACAACACAGGTATGTTTAATTCCTCAATGTACTGCAGTAAAATTCACTGAAATTGAGTGAAAAAGTAAATGTACTGTAAAAGAAAACGAACGCAACTGATAAAAAGGACGTAGAATACAGTAAAATAACTTCCATGTATTTATCAATGTAATGAACCAATGAAAAAATAAAACTCAGTTGAGTGCATACCTCTTGCCAGGGCCCAACAATCGTACATGTCTGTCAGAGCCAGATTATTATCTGTGTGAGCACCAAATTAAATTGAATGTCTTAATTTTTACATCAAGATCAATACATCATCTCCTGAGAAATTGACTTAGGTGTCAAAAATTGCCCAATCTTGCAAGGTTTGTTACAAATCGGTTCAGCACTTTTTCCTGTAATGCTTCTGATAAACAAACAAACAAACACAGGTGACGGAGGTAATAAAGAAAGAAATCACATTTCTCCTTCCTCAGCATCCGGACTCTGCGGTCTGTCAGGCCAGAGAATCTCATCAACATCAAAGCACATATTAACCCCAGCTGGGCAGAAGAAAACAGCCGTGTATGTCTTATCCACCCCTGGCAAGCCTCAACAACGATATCTAAACAAGCCTGCTCCTCGGCCCGGAGGAGGTGAACACGGATGTGGGGGTCTCGGTCATTGAGGTTCCTCTCCCTTCTCCTTTTTTGGTAACATTAAAAACCCACTTCATCAACAAAGATGAGTTTATGAGGAGTGTCTCTGGCATCAATATCAAAGATCCCCTACAGAACGATTGAACCAGTACCTGGGGCGCAGGCCGTAAGGTTTGTACCTCTTTGACAAACTGAGCGATCTGGTGGAGACTGGAGCGTATAGCCGGGGTATTTATACTGCTGGCATTGATTAGTGGATGAATCTCAGGTGCACAGGTGGATTGGTGGTTGAAGGAAACTGGATCACCTCACCCAGCACAAACACACACACGCATAGAGAGAGAGACAAACTGGGGACAAATGAGGAACACAAGGGAGAGGAAGAACAGTAGGAAACACAGGGAAGGAGGGAAAGACAGAGCCGGGCCTTGACAGAAGGCCAGTTGTGTTTCATGAAATGTAAATGGACTGTACTCATAAAGCGCCTTTCTGGTCTTATCAACCACTTCACTACAAGCCACATTCACTCACATATTCATACAGAGCTCCTGTCTAAAAACGAAGCACCGACCTTTCGATTAGTGAATGACCTACTCTACCTCCTGAGCCACAATGTTGTTGAGTTTAGTGAAATGTTGGGTTTTGACCCTCAGAGCCACCATACGTCAGATGAATGAATTCCAAAATGGAAAAAAGAAAAGAAAGACATTTTGCAACTCTGACAACTGACAACTGAGCGACAGGTGCTTTCAGTGGACGACTGTGAGGACTGTCTTTCACCGCTGCTCTCCAACTGAAACCAAAAATGGCAGCTAACACACCGATAAGGCCCTCTCCATTAATGAGGATTTATCAGCCCTCTGTCCTTTTTTTAGTCTTTGTATAGTGCGTCCACAGCACACCCCCCCCCCCCACCCCCCCACCCCTCTTCGTCACACATCAACCCGCCTTTGCACTTGCCCAAATATAAACTATGTTTGCTGGCGCAGGCACAGATTGAAATGGGGAGGAGCCTGACACACTGAGTTCAGCTCAGGACAGACTGAAGGACAAACAAGCATTAAGGAGGATTCGGCGGAAAAATAAGAGGATAACAAACATACTGAGCACTGCCTGCCTTAAGTAAAGTAAGTTTTCACCTGATTTTCTTGGATTTTAGCTAGAGGAGAGTTACCACCACTCTTGACACACAGCAACACTAGTGGGCCTTGCCTCAACCCTAGATATAAATATTATGGAGTCAGTGCACAGAAGTTCCCTTCAGTTGATATTTGATTATTTTAGCATTGATCTGTTGTGTTTTGGCTCTGTATGAAGCTTTTGAAGGCTATTTGACATGAAAATTAACAAGTGTAAACTTGAATCATTATACTTTTACTTTTTTTGCATATAGTGAGTCTCTTATCACATCCAACACGTTAGTATGTGTATTCAGGTGGGATATTTGTAACTGTAGCTATACCTCGATGTGCAATCAAACTTTCATTCTTCTATTTCGTCCTCTACAGATGTCTCTGTCTCCAGTTGGCTCGGCCGCTCGTCGGGTTTTGGCTGCTGCGTCACATTCAAGCCATGAGGGAAAAGGTCAGTGTGTCTTCACTGACTCTCTGAACCCAACACAAGCAACATGCATCAAAGCCTCCAGATTCAGACTTTCTGCATGAACCAGCACCACTGAGTCATGCATGCACTACCATGTCGTTTGAGTCTTTTTACTGACTGAAACATCTGCAGAGCTGGCAGCCAGCCTGCACATTTATGATCTTCTTGTTGATCTTGCATGTTTTATTACCGATAAGGCCCCTTTAGATATTGCCAGGCTCTTTAGTGTACTTTCACTGATTGTGTTTCCCACAGCAAAGACCTGGAAGATCCTGAGCTTCGTGTTGGCCTTACCTGGTGTCAGTGTCTGCTGGCTCAATGCTTACATAAAGGGCCAGGCGCAATCCCATGAACAGCCAGAATTCATACCATATTCTCACTTGCGTATCCGCACCAAGGTGAGTCTCAAGTCACCTGCACAACTATTCTCTTACATTTCCAGCATGATTTACTCCAAAAATAAGGAAATGATCTGGGGTGAATATAAATACTTTTTACCCACTTGTGCTACTGATACATCGACATATCTCCTTACAGAAATTTCCATGGGGCGATGGAAACCACACTCTATTCCACAACCCTCACACCAACCCCCTGCCTGATGGCTACGAGCACGTCGATCACTGAGAGGATCCGTCACATTTCTGCTGCATGCTTTAAAAAACTGTCTGTGGTGTACTTGCCTTAACTATACGGACCGAGGGGCCAAGCAGTACCGCCATTAAGCAGTGCACCCAGACAGGAATAAAACCACTTTATGCTGTGTTTGAATGAGTCCCTTTTCATTATTTTAATTAAGAGTATTGCTCAATTTAATTTATATCAAAATGTTTTTCTGAGACAAGAGTGGTTTTACATCTCGTTACATAGAGCAGGCTCATCTGTTTCACACTGCTGTCTCCAATGGTGCCTTCTTTGAAACTACCACTAGGGGTTGGCAAACTCAGAAAATGCTCATGTGCTGCATATATTGGCTTTAAAGCATTAGTCTGGTAATATTCTATATTTTTCTCATTTCCAACAAATCCCATGAAAAGACCAAAACCAACAATGAAATTATCCTTTTAACAAATACTGTGAATCTGATATTGCAAAAACGTCTTTTCCACAGAGCTCAGACTATGAAAATCACATCCACGTGCCACACAATTGCACTTGGAGACATTTTTTCTATTACAGTAAACATGGGCACCATAGTATATTTGGAGTCATTTGCGCAGACACCATCCTGCCACAGGAAGTACTCACTAGAGCAAAAATTTGTATTAAACCACCTTTAAAAATAGTCCCAAACAAATGCACTATTTACTCTTGTTTGAGTCTGTTTGCCCTGGTGTTTAAGTAAATTCAATTTTTAAAGAAGTGGGGCAGCGCTGAGAGGCGGACAGACAGTGCTGGTTTTGGCCTTTCATGCAATTTGCTGACAATATGAAAAATATAGAACATTACCAGCCACAGCCATGACCTTTAAAATGCTAACATTTAGTAACATTAGCATGCCAAGTGGAAATTCAAAAATGGGACTGCAAGTGTCCACTAAATTTTAAGGGAATCCAATAAACAGCTATTTCACTCTTTGTTGTGCAACTGAAGCAATATGACCCACTGACATTCACTCAAGCCATTCTGCATACACAATCACACTCCAACAATAAGAAACCGAAGGCAAAATGATGCTCCAACAATATATTCAGTGGCATAAATTTATATGGGTCAGGTGAATCCTATACACTGTATATCTGCTATTCCATATTATCTCTATGTACAAAATAAACAACTGGGTCCTTGACCAACCCTGATAATTCCAGTACTTCCAGCTAAATGACATTTATCAAATGCACTGTAGACATTTGTTTAGACTTTTCCCCCCCAAAATAAAAATAAAATAAAATTAAAACAATCACAATACAATTGTCATTAGGAGTTAATCCAACAACAGTAAATGATAACAAAATTGTGTCATGCTGGGACGGGCTACAGTTTATATCAATTTACAGCAAAACTGAATAAAAATGTATGTTTCCAAATTATGAAAATAGAACAGCAGTCAGTTCTGTTAGTACTGAAGAAATTCATACAGCATGTTTTTCAGATAATCGTGTTGTGATTATAACCTGCACTTGTACTATCCTATTATTTGATAAGATTAACACAATGGCAATTTTTCTAGAAGCTCATATCAAGTCAACTCTCACTTCATCTACGCCCTCTGAATTCATGCCACCACTCACTCCACTCTAACACGCTCCTTGCTCAACTCAGAGATACTGTGGCCAAACTTAGTAGATCCTGTTTCAGAGCCTCCACGCCGTCAGCCCCTCGGGCTAGTCTGCGAAGGCAATCCCCAGCAAGGGAGGAGGACAAGAAGGGGCGAGGACAGTCCTGACAGCCCAGCAGCAGAGACAGGCAGGCTCGACCCAGTGCCGGGTAACTGTAGCACTGGGAAAACCAGTATACCTGCGGGAGGAACACAGCCAGAGCCCCACCACCTGCACCTTCTTGTGAGGAAGAAGAGGAGTCCTGAGCTGCTGATTTCAGAAGCTTTGCTGAACCTTTAATCAGGTCCTTTGATCTTAACCTCAACTCTTCTGGATCGAGTGATTTGTCCACAACTGATGCACAGCTGGATTTGGAAACTGAAGTGACACTGTTGACTGCCTTCTGGTCTGGAGCTGTATTGAGGCCTCTGTTGACTTTCTGAACTGTTCCAGTGGGAGAGGTTTTCTTACTGTGTGTTTTCTGTGGAGAACTGTTTGGTTGCTTTGTCTGCCCTTGTAAATTTTCTGTTTGCATCTCGAAACCGGTCAGCTCCAGCTCAGATGTTCGATTAGCCAGGTTCTCCTCGGCAGACTCCAGGCACTCTTGGTCCATTTTAGATGCAGCCTTTTCAGCGTTGTCTTCTGTGGGAGCTGATGCAGCTCTACTAGCAGCCTTGGAGGAGCAGGACAGAAGAAGAGACACACAGAGATCCTCCAACTCTCTCTGTAGCTCAGTCACCAAAAATCGGCACGCTCCAATCATCACCTCACCTAAAGGTGTTTTCTGGAAAGCTAACTCTTCTCTGGAGCGCTCCTCTGTCTCCTTTGGGCAGATACTCAGTCCTTCAAGGACCAGTGAGTCCAAAATCGGGCACTTCCCTCCTTCCCTCTCTTCTTCATCCTTTTCCTTTGTTGTTTCTTTGTCCTTGGTGAAGCGACATCCATGCAGGTAATGCAGCACCGGTAGTAACATACCCGTGCTAACATCTTTGATGTGGATGGCTTCTTCTGCATTACCCTGAGCTTCACCAAATCCACCTCTCAACAGAGCCCTAAAGTATTCAGAGCCGACCCCGTCTGTCTCACCCACCCCAGCCACAGCCTCCCTGTTGGCGGGGACCTGAGTCCCGTCGTCCAGCAGCAAGAGGAGGTCAAAGTTCGAGAGGCCATAAGGACATGCGTCTGCTAGCCGAGGCTTTTTTGATGGAGGGGGCAAAACTCTGCCAATTTTACCGACTGGCTGTTTTGGATGTGCATGTTTTTTGTTAAGCTCAGTTTTAATGCTACCCGTCAGGGTAGACAGGCATCCAATCAGGAGAGAGAGGTACAGTGAGTGGAGCTGAGAGGTCAGGCCTGGGAGTGGCGAATTAAACATGTCAGAAAGCAACCTTCCACATTCAGCAGGGTTGTCCTCATCCGCATCATCATCATCGCAACCAAGTGGCTGCAGAGCCAAGAGTAGCCCACCACTGTCCAGAAGAAGCTTCTTCAATAGGGACTTGTTGCTGTTGAAGAAAAGAAGGGTTTGAAAGGCTCAAATATGAACTGTTTGCAAGTTCCATCAAAATAAATCTAGACTATTTACTACCATTGCAATGGCAGAAGTAAATACAAAAACATTACTAAGCTTACTAAGATTACTAAGCTCATATTCATGTAAATCTACTACTCACCTGCTGATTAATGGCAGTGACAGCGCACAGTTCATCTTGTCTGACTCAGAGCCTGAGAGCATCACATGTGCAAGAACCCCAGAGCCAAATCCAGACTCACACTGGACACGCAGATTATTGAGAAGTGCAACACCTGCACACAGAGAGTCAGCATACGGTTATAAACTGCTCAGGTATAAAATGAAAACGACCAGATTTAAGGTTTGACCACACAAAAGCTAATTTACAAACATTAATCTATTCATAAGTAGGGATGCACCAATCTGCTACGATGGCTGTGAAACTGACTTTAGTAAGAGTATCGAGTATTGGCCAGATCTGACTGGTCCACATCAAATGTAGTTCATTTGTCAGTGTCATTATAAAATTCAGTGTTTCCACTATCAGTTACAGCAGGTCGCAGACACACTTTTTAATGCAACAGCTATCCTCATGTTTCCTTACGTAAACATGATTACAATGAGTTCAACATAGTGAGGTAAACAGATTTTAAAATTACACAAAAAGAGAGGACTAGCCTTGCAGCAGTACTCGGTAACAGCAGGACAGAAACAGAAACACTTTGCTGTACATTATAATAACAGATCAGATCAACATGCAACCCTTGTTAAATTAATCTCTTACCAAGTTGTTTAATTTTGGCTTTCACTCGGTCTGTCTGCCTCTCCTCTCCCTCGAACGCTCCCTCTCTCTGGCAGAGATGGTGGCGAATCAATGCCACCGAGCCCGTTCGGACCAGCGCCTGCAAACAGTTTGGGTTGCAGCTCAGTCGGCAAAGCATTCTGAAGCACCTGCTGCTGGGGTCCTGGTGCTGGGTGAGGTAGTAGAGCAAGCCGGACATGACGCCTGAGCTGACCAGAGCAGCGCTTGGGTCAGTGGCGTGGGAGAAGCGCGACAGCAGCAGCAGGATGGGCGACTCTGGCGTCCAGGGTTCAGGGTGGTAAGGGTGGTGGTAAGCCATCTGGCGGGGTGCAGAGGGAGGGGTGTCAAGAGTGACCTTAGTCAAAGCAACTGCTGAATGGGCCCGCTGCCTCCTTCTGTGAGGGGATGAGAACTTTGACGGAGACACGGGTGTTTGGGTTGTTTTAGTGGGAGAGGACACAGTGGAGGAACTGGGCTGATTTTGGGGTGTGACTGCACTGGAGGGCTGAGGACTAGAGGGAGGTGGATCAGTGACTTTCTTCGGGGATGATGGTTGGAGCTGGGCTGAAGAGGACACAGGGGAAGGCTGAGCTGCTTTTTTAGAAGCAGAAGAGAGAGTAGGGCTCGACGAAGAAGAGATTTTAACGGAACTGGAATCAGGGTTCGGTGATGAAGTTTGAGGGGATGAAGATGCTGGGATCTGAAGACTCCCCCATTCCCCGTCAACACCAGAGGAATCCAGCAGGTCCCCCTCAGAAGAGATCAATCCCTCAGACACCAACCAGGACCTGGAGGGCGGGAGGGAGGGAGGGAGGGAGAGAGAGAGAGAGAGAGAGCGCTAAAGATGTAGATAAACAATAGAGAAGTAGAACAATAAAATCGTTCACAAAGTAAGCTGCGCATTTCATTTTCCATACCTGAGACTTTGAAAGCTTGATGAACCTACACTTTGCTCCCGGCCACCTTCTTCCTTCTTGTAGCCTTCAGGAGGGGGAAAGTCAAAAGATTCAAAACATGATGAGGGCAGCAGCTCAGTGGGAGACATGCTCGACGTGATGCTCACATCCATCTTCTCAGCAGATTGTTCCTCTCCTCTGGTGAGCTCAACTAGTCGCGCAACAAGCAGAGGGACCAGCCCTAATTCTTGCAACTGCTCCATGGCAGATTCATCAAAAACAAAGTCCACACAGGCCAGAATGGCTAGCCGGGAAAGCGGATGACTCTGATGGGCTGACAAAAAGCCAATGAGCACCTCCAGTCCACCACTCTCCTTCACCTTGGCCCGGTTGACCGCCTCCTTACAGCACAAGCACAGCGCCTTGAGGAAGACTCCAGATTTGAGCAGGTCCCTTTTCACTTCCTCTGTGAACTTCTGAATGACGCCCAGTGACCCCACCAGAGGGCGCAGGCAGCCTTGGGAGCACATGTTGGCCAGAGTTTTCAGTGCCAGCTCTTCAAAAGGTTTACCAGACTCCCCTGACGCCATGACACTGAGTTGTGCAAGGACCCCAGAACGGGACACCTCCCTGGCACATTCAACACCACAGCCCCGCGTCAGCTCGTGGATGGTCCTGAGCGCCGCCCGCCTCAGTCCCTGGGGATATTCTGGAGCAATGAGAGGGGCAAGGGCTGATAAGGTCCCTTGGGTGAGCAGTGACAGGCGGTTAGAGGGAGTATCGGAGAGGTAGAGGAGGGCCCGAGCAGCTGACTGAGCGCACTCCAGTTTAGGACATGGGTCTTTGGGTGGAGCAGCAGTGGGGGAGGATGGGGCAGAGGAAAGAGACACACAGAGGAGGAGAAGAGGAACACCACCTGTATGAAAAAAGACAATGAAAGAAAAAAAAAAATCAAAGTCCAATTAAGGCACATGTCAGCTAACCCACTTGCTAACACTAACATACTGGCGTTTCAGACTTACCAGCAGAATGAATGAGGGCAGAACTCTCTGGATCCATGGCCAAATTCCCCAAAGCCCGGGCTGCTCGGTTCTGGACAGTCTCCAGGGCCACATTTCTCTTCAGGATCCCCACTAAGACAGTCAAGAAATGTTTAAGATTAGATGCAATGAGGCACTTTTTTTTTTTTTTTTTAAATATAATATCTGATAAAAAATTATTTTTTCAAATTATAGAATAAATTCTTCATAAGAATGTGTAATATCACATACCTACAACATTTATTCCATCAAGCTTACGAATCTAAAGTAGAAAACATTTAAAATGTGAGCAATTTCAATGACTGAATTAATCAAATAAGCTTTCAATGCCTTCTTATTTTATTAATTTCACCTCTATACGTGTCTCCAGCTCAGTGCAGCAGTTGGCCAGGATGCTCAGCGCCAGGTCCAGTGTTTTCCTGGAGCACTCTGGGTGTTTAAGCAGGTCCAGCAGGGGCCGGAGACCACCTTGAGTTCTGAATCTGGCAATACCAGCCTTGTCACCCTTGATGTGCTGCGTGCGGATAGCAACCAGAGCTCGCCACTGAGAGACTCTGGACCTCTTGTCCATTTCTCTGCCACCGCTTGTGTCTCCCTTGCCATGCCCGTGATGTTCAGATGATCCAGGCTTAGAAAGATGAGCCAAGCACCAGGTCAGAGAAGACTCTGGTGATGCTGAGTGTCCTTCTCTGGAGGGTGCTCGAGATTGTTTCCAGTCACCTTGCGCAGGTTTTGCAGCCATGGTCCCTCTGAATGTTAAGCGACGGTTCACTTATCTTAACTTTCCTCCTCTCAGTTCAACCAGATACTATACACTCTGTGGAGCATGACTGGACGCACCCAGGGAAATACTGAAAAATTTAGTGACATGTCATTTCTCTTTAAATTGTTAGCTAATTACTCAACTGGTGAAAATGTGCTCTTAATGAGTTCATTCTTTTTTTCTTCAAAGTTTCCGCAAAAATCACATTCTGGCGCGGTCAGAAAACTACAGATACCAGCATGAAAAAGTAAAGTTCTACCACCTGATGCCGCAGTCGCTGACGGGAGATTGAGTTCCAGCAGCTCCGGTCTACTCCCTGCAAAACAGGCCTACATCGTGAAGAAGGCCGAACAAGCGTTATTCTACGTAATGGACGTGTATATTCTCAATGTAACGTATTTTTGCACATCAAATGACGAATTAAAGCTCTATTTGATCAATGTTTTGTTACCACTGGCCGAATAATTTTTGTGAAACAAAATGCAAACGCCTATGTTAGCCGCTAACGCCATCTTTAGCCAAACAACAAAACAGGGGCGGTTGAGGGAGGGAGCAGGGAGTGAAGGGGTGTGTCGGTAAGATATATCATGGGACTTGTAGTTCAAATTTTGCTGCCTGTTATCTGTCGTAATACATTTCTTCTCTTAAAAAACTACGTTCCCCGTGACAGTGAAAAATGGTGGCGTGCCTTAAACGGCTAGCAGCGTTTAGGGAGTGTAGTTCAGTTAGTAGACACGAATACTCAAAAGCCTATTTGTATCAACTAAAATGGACTACACTTCCCATTCTTTTAAATGACGTTGTTTTAGTCATCGTTTTACACGATGCGAGAAATTGCATCGGTGTCTCTGAGAGGTTGTTAAATTCCACGGTAGATAAATAACAAGTTTAACTGTAATGGTTGTGGTTTAACGTCATGGAGGTAATCGAAACAATTGTCATACAGAGCACTGAAGTGGAAGGAAAGGAAACGGTCGTGTCCAGTGTGGACGCCGATAAAACCAAAGCAGGTTAGTACTCGCAGTTTGAAGTTAAACAGGCTTCATCCAGTCATCGCATGATGCGAGGAGGGCCTGATGAGTGCGCAGTATCTGCCTATTGCACTCATTATAGTCATAAACCGTCATTTACACGATGTCAGCTACATGACTCACAATTAGAAATCATCTGGTAACATATGCCTTTAAATAGGTGTTCCATTAATACTTACTGTGTCAAATGAAATGATTGAACTTTCAAAATAAAGCCACATGTTTGGGGCAAGGTCATAAATATGTGAACAACAGTGACATGAGCCACCTTTGTTTTCCTCTCTAGAATTTATCTGGACACTGCAGGCTACATGGCACCTTATCAACACCCGACTGGAAATGGATCAGGCTTTTGACCAGCCAGTTTGCAAGAAAAAGAAACTATGGGAGATGGTGGCAGAGAAGGTGAATGCCAAACTAAGGGAGTCAGAGGTCACAGATGTCACTGTGAAGGCATACGAGTGTGATCTCAAGTGGAGAAACATGTTGGCCACGTACAGGAAGAATGCAGAGAGGGCCAAGAGGCTGGGGGTGGCCAGTGTTCACTGGGAGTTCTTCAAAACCATGCATGAAGTTCTGGGCAAGAGCAGGGAGGAGATCGAAGCCCAGCGCAGAGCCAAGCTCAGTGGGACGAAAGTGGGCAAGGCCATAGCCAGCAAGAGGTTTACCCCTATCCTCCCCACACCTCCTGCAACAGCCACTCCCTGCCCTGCCCGGCCTCCACAGGACGTCCTGCAGCTGTACATGGAGCTGCAAGAGAGGAAGATGAACATGTGGGCCCAGCAGAAAGCCCTGGAGGAGAGGAAGATAGAGGCCATCAACAACCTGGCCCAGGCCATCTCCAACCTGGCTCAGAAGAACAGCACACAGACATCAAAGGATGTTCATTAGGCCTGAAGAGACGTGAAGTGGATGTGAACTTCTTACCAAAAACTTTTGATACTGAACAGAGGGAACTGTTTGAGTATGTTTTTAGCATATGTTTTTAGATTGGTCATGTTGGCACATTTGTACTGTTACAGTTTAGTACAGAGTAGTTTGGCCAGTCTGTGTTCTGTAGAGCTAAACATAACACATTTCAGAATAGGTGAAAACATAAGAGTTCAGAGGAGACATATGAGACAGAGATATACTCACATATCACGTCCTTAAAATTGTTCTTTTCTGTTTATATCCCAATAGATATAATCCTTACTTATTTTTATACCAAAATAGAATAGTTAATAAAGGCTGGCTGAGTTTGGAGAGTAAGAAAAACTGAAATATCACACACAAACTACATGAATACAAGCATCCTACCATCTCTGTATCTATGCACAAGTGGAAAATCTTATTTTTTTATGGGGGTACCATAAGTGCACAAACTGAAATAATCAGAAACAAGCTAACAGAAATGATCAATGATATGATCATGATAATTGAGAGGTCATAGACTAAAATTTTATATTTTTGAGTTAAGACAATACAGATATTTATAATGATAATTATTATTTTTATTTGGTAACAATAACTGTATTCATAGGCATGCTGGTGCTATGTTAATGTACTAATGAAATACACTTTGTTTATTAGATAATATGAACAACTTCACAATGTAATGTGTTCCACTAAACAACCTGCAATAAATACTACCTTTGATAATTTTTTCACAGCTCCATTTACATATTTGTAAATTGTTCCTTTTGACCCCGTCACACTTTCTAAGAGCCTGGAAACAATCTCACTTGTTAGAAATCAAAGCTGTTGTGTGGATATTATTTGTGTTCCTCACCAGTATACTGCTATCACAGACACGTTTTATAGGCTGTGGTGTGTACTTCTACTCTGATGACGAGGGGCACGAGTAGTACAACTGTTGTTAAGACAGTAACCACATCTACAGTGTATTATCAGAACAAAGGCCTCATCCACGTCAGAAAAAAACCCCAAAACAAACCAAAGTAAAATGAGGTGAAAATGTTCTGGAAAACTAAACACCATACAATCTCATCATTTGTCATCACCATTATGATAAGCCACAATAATAACTGCATTACCATATTTATAGCAGGAACTGTTTATGTTCACACAATGTAAATTCTTCAAAAGCAAACCTATCTCTGTTATGTGGTGTGTGTGTGTGTGTGTGTGTGTGTGTGTCTGTGTACGGACAGACCCAGGCAGTTAGAGATTTTTGTTAAAATAAACCTTTATTTACATCTTCTAAATCTCCATCTCTAACAGACATCATCACATCATGTGCTTCCTGATTCAAAGTTTTTCAACAACAAATCCGAGATGGCGTCACGTCTACTTACACCCTCATCATTCACCTCCCCCTCTCCCTCCTGGGTTACCGCTTCCTCTTTCTTAACTTCTCCTTGAACCACTTGTCCCATGTCCAAAAACAAATTGTGCAGCACACACGCTGTCAGCACAACGGCTCTGGCTCGATCATAGTTCCCAATATCCAGATACCTAAGCCTCTGAAATCTGGCTCTCAGGCTGGCAACGGCCTGATCCAGGATTTGAAAATGCTCGTCCAGCATTTTGTTGAAGAGCTCTTCTCTCAGTCCATGATTTGCTATGTATGGAGTTAAAATCTGAGCAGTGAGCGGGTAGCCAGCTCTGGCTACGAGGCAGGAGCCAGGAGGCATCAGTTCAGGATGCTGTTTAAGTTTGTCTCTAAGAGCGCTGCCTCTGTCCACGTCTGACCCTTTACCGATTCTGCAGTGTAGGAACTGGCCTCTACGGTTACATAAAAGTTCAAGGTTTAACCAGGAGTCAGGATGGGCCTCCTTCTTCATCTTCTTCACCTCAGGCACTGTGCTCTCCACATCATGTTTCCCTATAGGCAGGCGGATAGGGATCTGGGTGTGTCCCAACACTCCCAAGACCTGGGGAACACTTTCTTCCTCGTCCCTCTGCCCCTTCTCTGGACTGTAAAGTGGGAAAAGAGACTCTACCACCTCTTCACCTGGAGAATAGAGAGAAAATATCGCCACTATTATCATTTTCAACCCCAATTTTTGCACTCAAATCACTTACAACATTGTACTGATCATCCAACAAATCTCCCACAAAAAGAACACTGTAATCAACCCACCGACTGGCCACCTGATTAGCCTCTCCTCCAGCATGTTGACGCGCTCACAGAAAGAAAAGAAGATCCTGTGGATGTTTCCTTTCTCCAGGTGGAAGCGGCGGGACACAGAGCGGTAGCTGACGCGCTCGGAGAGCAGGGTGAGGGACAGAAGGACGGTGTGAGACAGAGATAAACGAGCCCGACCGGCCATTCTAGCCCGGGATTTGGAGCTCTGAAGCAGGTCTGTGATGCGCTGATTAGACAAAAATTTTAAAAATCATGTTACATTAGCCAACATTAAACTCAGCAGATTCAATGGGTATATCAGGTGAAATTTATGGCAAATCTAGGGGCTGGCAAAAGCTCCAGTATTATTATATTTAAAAGCTGAAACAATTACTTGATTAATCAATTAGTCTGTCAACAGAAAATTATTTGGCAACTCTCTGGATAATTGATTAATCGTTTGACTCACATTTCAACCTAATTTCCAAAAATTCTCTGGTTCCAGTCTCTTAAATGTGAAGATTTGCTGTTTTTCTCAGTTTTAGATAATTATTATCTGACTATATTTGTGTTTTTAACTGCTGGTTGGACGTGTGAAATTGTCATGTTGGACTTTTTTTTAGATAAAAACAACAACTAATCTATTAATCGAAGAGAACGATAAAGAAAACAGTTGTTAGTTGCAACCCCAATTGCATCCTTTATTATTTCATTGAAAATTATAACATATTTGGTTTTTCCAGTGCAGAGCCATTTTCAATGGGTGTGAATAGTGGAAACAAGTAGCTACAATGAAATGAATAAGATTTGAGGAATTGTTTACTATATGTATATATATGTGTGTGCATTGTAAACAAATGGCCCCAGATTACTTTTACTTACTCTCTTTGACAGATTATTATACGATTTTAAAACTATAAGAGCCTCAGATATGTTAGAGGACAGGATGATGGAAGTCACCTTCAGTGCTGCACTGTCCACGGTATCCAGCTGTTCCTGGGACTCTGCTGTGTCTTCCTCTGGGGGACTACATGCTGCTGTTGCTGTGTGTAAAACCTGAGGCCCCATGTTAGGTTGGCTCTGCAGTAATTGTACGTACAACGTCGGGGGAGGCTGAGATTTAAGTTTTGCTATCAGGTCAGCCTCCAGGATCTCTTCCACCGCCTGGTCCAGCCGCTGCTCCAGCTCGCCCGGAGACAGAGGCTGCCACTCTCGCTCCACCATGTCCAGCACGGCTCTGCCCGCCGATAGAACATGTTCACTGACGTCCATCTGTGCTGGTGAAGGATAACTTCGATAGTCGCAGTTATCAAGTCATTCGTAGCTGCACAGACACAAGGCGTGGACGACTGTTGTTGCTACCAAACTGCTAGCCGACTAGCTGAAGTATGGTGCGTTTAAGTGCCGTCTGAAAGTTCAGAGAAACAGAGATGTGTTTAGGAACAGTGAGCAGTTAACTCATGACGTTTGCAAGGTCGTAGTGTCGATAAATGATTAGATTGTTAAGCAGCCCTTTTACACAATAAATAGCGAGTTTAGAACTGCAACATTTAGTTTAATTAATTGGTCGACCGACAGAAAATGAGTCATTTATCAAGTAAATTTAATATCTTTCGTATTAGGACTGTGGGTTGGACAAAACAAGGAATTCTAAAACGTCGACTTGGGTTCTGCGATATTGTGATGGGCATTTATCATTTTTATTTTATTGGCAAAATTACTGATTAAGACATACATCTTTATTACATCTATATCTCACATTTTTGCATGTAGTGGGCTATTATTAGTAGTTATCCTAATATAAGCTGATAAACATTAGCAGAACACAAAGGCCTTACAAATGTAAAGGTTTGCACTTTAATACTACAAATCATCCCATATGGTTCGATGTAAATATGTATTTATGTTAAAGATTTAGCTAAACAGACAGTTACTGTAATATTAATAATCGTTTGTATTCCTGTGCACAAAATGACAGTACTGTATCAACATATTCACCATTGACTACACAATCATACAAAAACACCACAGTGCACAAGGGTGAAAAACAGTTGCTTTAATGTCAAATCAGTTACAAGTGCAACTTTGATCATGTCCCACTGTTTAACAGCCTCAATTTGCAAATGCTTTTTGTTTTGCTATTTCATTCAACACCCCCCAAGTCAGAATATCCTTTCCTGTGCTAAATAATGGCGGACTTTTGTTTTTAATTGTAGCTTTCTAGATCATGAGACCCATTTTTATAGTTTTAATTTGATGATTTGTTGTGCAGAAGAGTTCATTTCTATTCCTCTCTTACTTTTAAGAAAACAATGTTTATTAAGGTATTAATGGTGTATAACACAACACAAGTTGCAGCATGAACTAAAACTAAATGGGCAGTGATACTGGTGATAATGGAGGGTCAAGTGTGCAGCCCACCTTTCACAGACACAGTTCCATAACTCATCACACAACAAACTATCTGTTTAACGTTAAAATGTTTTATGTTTACTATAAACAATTAGGCCCAATGATTGAAATTAGCAAGACCTCACCAACATCTCCATGATTTCATGGGCTACAATCAAACATTGGAGAGGAAAGTTGGTTAGTTCCCACCTGTTAGTAATATAAATTAATCAATAATCATTATTTTTGCTGCTATGCCTGTCGCTCATTTCATTTTCAACACCAGGCCCATGCCAGCATTAAATGTGTTGTAGATACCCACAACTGAGTGCATTCAGTCTCAGTAACACCTGTGAGCAGCTACAGTATGAAAACTACAACTACTGAGAGATAAAGTACCAAGAAATCCTCACCTTAATGCCAGATCTGCCAACAAGTGAATCTATTTTATTTCAGATTCATATTGTTCAAAAGTTCTTGAAATACAGATAGTAACTTAGAAATTCACAAACTCCTAGCTATTGTTGCAACACATATCCAGGCCAAAGACCAAAAACATGTTAAATCCTAGTAATAGTTTAATAAAGAAACACACAAACATAAAAGCCTAAAAATGTCACACCTTATCAACTCCCACATTTAAGCCAGCAAAATAAAAAACACAAGTAAGGTTGCATTAGCCTTACCTCAAATAAAGACTAGAATTCATTAAATACGAGGTACAATTCTTTATGTTCAGCCTTTACCAATCCCATGGATGACTGACAGTGTCATGACAAGTCCGTCAGGTATCTCTGAAGGGTCTTGTGTGAAAGTATCAATTTAGCATGCGTACTCCGATTTCAGGACAAATGAACCACTTTGAAGCACCCGCCCTCACATTTACAACAAGGGGAATCCGTGTTTGTAATTGTTTATGCCCAGCTGAAGACAGGCAAGGTAAAACTCACCCGCTGAGGCATCACTTCCCAAAATTCAACCCCTCCCACCCCCCCGTGCGTCCTCCCTCAGACCCCCTGTGCGTCCCTCTCCTTTCCCCGCCTACTGCCTCACTGTACAGCCTGCTCGTTGGCTGTGCTGCCCGAGTCCTGGGGCTTCATGACGTCAGGGAGCTCTGGGGGAGTGGAGAAGGGCTCGATCCTCAGCTGCTCAAATGAATCATCTGGGAGAATGACAGGAAGTGACGACAGTGAAAAGAGAGAGAAGATACATGACACAGAAAGTAAATCAGAGCAAAATTAAGAGCTCTTAAAACTGTGGCATGAAATAAAAAGTGAATGATTGGTGCAGTGACTATGAATAAAATTGGTTTGATCTAAGTGTGAAATACTTACCACCCAGACGAAAAGCTAATCCCACCGTGGCTGGGGCCTGAGGTCGGGCTGTTTGATTTGTGAAGCCACAATTGCCAAGAGTTTGACCGTCATTAAGCAGCACGTCATCCTGGTGAAGAAAATGAACAAAGTACTGTAGAGCCAGCTGTTCACTGACCAAATGTTTTTGTTTCACTGTACAAAGTGCACATTATAACTGTGTACCTCTCAGAGATAATGTTCAAGGTGTCTGGAGAGATTTAGGAGACCAAATTGCCAGAGATTTGTTACAAGGTGAAATTGGTGCACTCTCGTATGAAGACTATTGTGTTTCTCTAAGCCAGAAAGTTTAAGGTGTATTCAGTGTCAGTTAAGTTAAGACAAAGAATCTTGTTAAATTAAAGGGTTCAGGAGAGAAGTAGTTCAAGCTTTGCATTCGGCTCTGCTAAGGGTGAATGATATGGATGAAGTCCTCTATCACATGTAATTTCAAATTACAACATATACATTACGATATAAAATTACAAACTTTCTGGAAAATGAATTGAGAAACTCATTATAGATAAAATAATCAGACAGGCATGTCTATCTCTCATGTAATTAATCCACTGGCCAAACAAACCAACATACTTCCCCATACTGATGAAAGAAACACCCAACAGAGGTCCTGCTCATTGGAACATTTAACACAAATTGACACAATAGTCTGGTCTAATACAACCAGTTAAAGAGATAACAACTTCATAAATGGTATTATCACTTAGTCTATACAATGTTAAATAATAAAAAAAAGATGAATAAAAATAATTATGAATAAGGTCTCCAATTTGCTTGTTTTGTCTGACCAATAATCCAAAACCTAAGAATATTCAGTTTACTGTCAAAAAAGAAAGATCCTGATACTTAAAAAGCTGAGACCAGAGAATGCCATTTCAGCTTGAAAACAATTAACTGACTATCATTTGCTGCTGATTAAATTTCTGTCAATTGACTTAACAATTAATAAACTAATCACTGCAGCTCTGAATGGTACAGCTAATTCTTGGAACATAATCAAATTTACACAGTCTCATAGTGTATATTTTAATATTACCCACCCCTACACTCACCTCGATCAGAAAGTGCTTTAGCAAAAATATGAATTCTTATATTGCTCTAAACTTACATGAACATGTTACACCAACAAGCCAGTATGAACAACAACAACAACAACAAACCAAGAACCTGTTTGTTACATACACATGGTTCAGTAAATGGTCATTTCACTAATCACACACCTCACCCCAAAGAAATAGTGTTTTGAGTGACAGGTAATTACAGTTCAATTTTATATGACTGATAGAGCAAAGTTGCTCTCTAATCTGTTATGATCATTTAAAAATAACTGATAATGTGCCTCATGTTTTCCTTCAGTACTGGAAGATAGTTTATTGGCTGTACCAACCCTGCCATCACAGAAAAACTGTAAGATGTATCATGGTCATTTATTTCACCTTATAAAGCCTCTGATCTTCAGGTGGCCTCTTTAAAATGCCTTCCACTATGCGCTTCAGTTCATAGACTGTGGTAGACTCTTTGGCATCTGTGAAGATGGTCGTCTTGTGACGTCGGATCATTAGAAACACATCCTGAAAGCACAGAGGAAAGAGTGGAAATGAGACACTGAATCACATTAGAAAAACATGGTTGACCTTGTAAATGCTGCTTTCTCAAACATGATGCTGTAAACCTCTGGAGGCACATTTTACCCTGAAACAACTCATTCATGGGTTTTAATCAGATTATTCCAAAAATAGAAAAACAACCAAGATGTCATGTATCTAGGATGACCTCCCATTGCCTATTTCAAACTCATTTACCCTGCTGATGAATAAAGCATTGTAGTGTGAGGACAAATAATTGAAAATCTACCAACTACTGCTTATCTCAATGGTAAAACAAAACATCAGCTTCCATCACCAGATAGAGAATTTTTCACTTGTAAATACTGAACAATTGAAGTAAAAGCATAGGCATAATGTGCTACTTACTATGAGTTTTTTTTAATCACAATAAAATGGTTCAGTACATTCATCACAGAGCCACCACATCAAAATGGGTTCTAACACAAAGTTCTTAATAATTAGGTGAAATATCCAAAGAAAATACATACCAACAACATGACTGATGTTAAATCAAGTGAAACTCTAAAAGTACACGGATCCACTACTGATGCAAATGAAGTTTCAAATGAGATTAACCACTACTACTGACAAAAGTTAAACCAAATTAGATAGTAGATAACTGTGTTCATAGACTTAAACTGCCTGTACTAGGCAGGTAAAACAGGATGGGGCTGTACGGCAACAATCGTGGTGAAGCTGGCACTGGCAGCAGTTTAGGGAGTTCGTTAATGAACAAACAGCCCTCCTTAACGTTACACCAACCTCCACACCTTGGCGTTTTAAGACCTACAGTGCAGCAGCTGCTTGCTAGCGTCATGGCGTGATAGCTTAGCTGTGGCAACTAGCCAAAGGTAGCCGTTCAGCCAACTGTTAGCTACAGTAGCTTCCTCAATAAATAGGGCATGGAAAAGTTAGCTACTAAGTACTCAACACTTGTCAAACAGTTAATCGCTACATTTAACTGTTAACACTACCCAAGCCTTTTAATCTAAGTTGTTTCTCAGACGATAACATTAGCCGAGCTACAGCAGCTAATGACAACTTTAGCTAGTTAGCTTCCTCGCGGCTAGCTATCCATTTGTCAAAAAATAAAGTTTGTTGGTAGAGCTGTCACTTATCCAGAACAATGTTATTTTCTATGTCCTTTTATCTGGACCCCTCTTCGCTAACCCTGCTCGAGCTTTTGTAATGCCATGTTCAGCTAGCGTGAGCTGGTGTGTTGACGTTAACCAACGCTGGGATGCTAACCCACGATAGCAATGGTTAGCTAAACAAAGGCATAAGCTTTTGGATGGTCGTTTTTTGTGACAAGCTTAGTTCACCTACTGACAGCACACATTTCAACGCCCAGAGAAGGATTTAATGACTAATTTAAGTAGGCTTTGCTCAGTCAATAGGCCGTTACGGTATGAGCTGTATCTGTTTTCCTCACTCACCATTTCTTGCGGTAGGCTGCACTCAGAAAAAAAAACGCCTCCACTGCACAGCGACAACAGTGAGATCACAGCGGCATCAGAGACAGCTGCGGCTCCTGGATCATCCACCAGGGGGCAGTGCTCTGGCTTTATTCAGCGAGTCAGTGGTGCTGTATCGTTATGATCGGTTATGATACTGTCAGAAATCAGCAACATATTGTAATGTGGCTTTTAAAATTGAGTATTTTCGCTCATATGGAGTAAAACCAAGAACATTGATGTGTCGCTTTACTGTTTTTTAACTAAGGTCATGTGGTTGAAAGCACAATTACTATTACTGTAGTATGTTTCAGTATAATATACTTTTTTTATAGTTTCTTGAGATACGTTATTTCTTTTTTCCAATAGATCCCTGGTCAATATGGTCGCGTAGTGTCTGTGTGAAGTGTCACATAGTTAGATAAGAAGATAAGATTCATTTACAACAATCACATATAGTATAACACAACAAAACAAGGCTTGACAGACATGAGAGAGAAAACAAATATTTAGAACAATTACATTCCTCAAAAGACTTTATTAAATATGATGCCCAAACGTGCCCAAAATGCAGTTTTAGCAAGTTTTGTGCAAACCTTTGGGGCATTGATGATCCATTTAAATCATTTCTTGTGATGGCTATAAGAAAAAAGGAGAAAGCAGTCCACTAAGCATGGCGTCCGTGGCGAAGTCTTTACAGTTAACTTGTACAAATTACAATGATGTGTTCTTGTTCCAACAATCAAAATATCCTCACACGATAAACAAAGAATGTATTTGTGACACTACTGTGGTTTCTCACGAGGCTTCAATCCTTTATTTGGATTCAGCAATAGAACAGTTTTGTAGGATCAAAGCCTGTAATTCCACAATGAACTGAACAGAGCCTCATCATTATTAACAAACATTGTGTTGCCCTCCCTGGTGAAACAAACAGGTGTGTTTCTTTTCACTAGCTGGGTCTTTTGTATGATAAGACTTCATTTCCTCCTTTCAGTCTGACAGCAGCTGTCACCGCAGTGAGTGGGACAGCTGAACCCACAGCTGAGACACATACAGATCAAATGAGGTGTCATAAGATGTTTACGATCACAATTTGTTTTTTTCTCTCACGATGTTTATAATTTAGTGGTTTAGTCGGGTGGTCAGCAGCAGCCACAAATACGTGATACAGAACAAGTTTAACATTCACACATATGGCACATTTTCAATAATTGTTTTTGTTTGTTTGATTGATTTTTTATTTTTAAAAAAATGTATTCAAGTTGTCCTGTCTAGCAAATGTAAACACGCTCTTGAAACTGTGCTGTTGTCCTATTTGACATTTTGTATGAAAGATGACAAATTACTGTGGTAGTTCTACTTGAACACAATCTGTAAACACAGGCTGTAATTCATAAGTTGACACCAGGTGCAGGTGCAAGTGCAGATGCAACGCTGTCATAACAGATGTGATTCTCATACTACTGATGCTCTACATACTGCATATGACTGATCATGTGTAACGTCTGACATATTTGCACTTCCTGAATTTGGAAAACAAGACATGGTGCTGACAAAATACTTGATCTTCAATGCACGATTAGACACAAATATTTTTGTCTCATTTCTCATTATTTTCAAAAGCTAGTTTATTGACATATTTTACATTTTATGGAAAAAAAAAAGCAACAGCAAAAAACAGCCTTAAATTTGCCAGCTCATATTAACTGAACTGGCTGGACTAACACTGACTCATACTTTCTCAAGAAATACCACTTGGGGGCACTTGAAACAGGACACCAACTCACAAGACACAAACAAATCCTAATGTAAAAACCAAATGTTGTCCATCAGACTCAGATGCCTCAAGCCTAAACTTACATCACTTTTACATAAAGTGTGCTGACCTGATCTTGACTTCCATTCTGGTACCACACTGCATTTTGTACACTTTGAGACAGTTCATTGTGGTACAATATAAACAACAGATATACAATTTCACATCCAAAAATTTGATACAAAACTGAACTGAAAATGGCCTTCTACTGACTTGATGGACCAACAGTTTTAATGCGTCCTGTAGAAGATGCTACAAACGTTTGCAGTTTCATCTCCAAAATCTGTGCAGTCAGCAAAGTCCTCATCTTCACCAAACTACCAGGGTTCTCATGTTCCCATATTGTGGCCATGAAGTGAAGTACAATAGCACTTTTGCATAACAATCTTCGACTACGTCAAAATACTTTCATGACTGAAAAATATTCTTCCTCCCTGAGTCCAGTTTGGTATCCACTTTCATTGACCTGCAAAATAATAATGTTACTGTTACATGATTTTCTCAAACTTCTCTGAGATCTTTTTTAAATTCACTGATTTACTGGAAAACATCTTTAAAAGTGACAAGTTATTCCACAAATTCCACAACCCCATTCAAATGAAGAGTATTGTATTAAAGTATTAAACATGTACTTGCACACAAAACCTTAATATACATTCAACTCACCCGATAAACACCTATCTAACCACAAAAGCACTTTCTCTGATCTTGGAATAAGCATACTGTGGAAGAGAGAGGCAAGAACACAAGAGTCATTTTACAGCTTCCATAAGACAAAGGATCATCAAAACTCAAAATGTTCTAAACCTACACCTACATTAAGTCCTCTGGGGGACTGGACAGGCTCCAGTCCTCCACAGCAAAGCATTGAAAAAGGCCTCTCCTTGGTCTTTGAATGCTCTTTGAAACACAGACTGAAAACTTTGGCAGGCAGGTAGACGTCCCAGTCAGCCGCATGCTCTTGTATTAGATCACTAACCATCCTGTTGGGAAGCAGCAATTAGAAAAAAATACAGTATTCACTTGAAGGCCAATTACACAGGTTTCCTGAAAAGCATGTAGCAATTTAAAACCGCCAGATTACACTTCACAGAAGAGCTACGGCTGTATCAATGACGTACACTTGACCTGTGGTTTTTTCATATTTCTTTTGCTAACTGGCCAATATTTTGTCAATTCAGAACATTGAGATGCATCAGTGCAAGACTGTTATTAATATGAGAATAAATATTCTCTGGGATTTTCATTTTTGGAGACAGATTTGATCAGCCTGAACATGGATGATACCAGTCTAACACAAATGTGCGGAGAGATGTTCTGCCGTTCTTCACGGACAATCCATTTCAGCTGCTCTCTGCTGGAGGGCTTTTGCTGCTCTACTTTCCACTTTAAAATACTCCAAAGGTTTTCTATAGGGTTCAAATCAGGGAAAATACTTGGCCAGGCCATAGTTCTCTCCTTTTTTCATCTTTAAAAACTAGGCCAGGTACCCAACAAACATACTGGACTCCATCTGATCCAAACAAATTTATTTTGGAGAATAGAAATAGAAAATAATGTGCTGCCAGTATTCATTGGGCCTCTTTTCATGTTCTTTGGCAAAGTTAAATCTTTTTGTGCTGTTTTTTTGAGTAATGGTTTTCTCCTTGGATGCCGTACATAGAGGATAAATTGATGCAATGTCCTTCATACTTTCTGACGAGTCACTCTTTCCACAGATATTACTTGTGCCAGGTCAGAAGCACCTACTCATCTGTTTTTTAATGCAAACTTGCGTAAATAGTGAATTGTGTGTGGCATCTTTTTTTGAGGATGACCACTGCACCTTCTGTTACTGGTAGTATGGCTTTTCCCACTGATGCTCTTGTACCCTCTCACATCTTTATGAAGTGTCACAATTCTCATTTGTTCAGGCAGTTCTTTACCATGTGGAGCCATGTTGCAGCAGACACAATCCAAGTGCTCACTTTTGTTGTATTGAGGTTAAACTTCACTTAAACTTAAAATTATACAATTATTGCAAGATGGCACAGTTTTGAATCATTTAACATTTTTAGTAGCACTGCACAGGGGTGTACTCTGCTGTAAACTATAAACACACACCTGTCAATGAGCTGCTGTGTGATCAAATCTGCAGTGCCGGTCTGCTGATGATAGACGACGAGAGCGATGGTGACCTTCAGCTGATCTTTTAGCTCTCTGTTGATCTAGAACGGAGATACGTTATTTATGTGAGACACTGGCTGATTAGGACACAATATTATCATAATATTCTATTCAAGTTCCACCACCTCAGAACGTTTCTAAAAAGTCTTTCTAAAAGATGACATCTATTCCTGGGGTTTTCAGACCATATTCTAAGCTCTTTGGCTGTCTACTGTCGTACTGGAGTCTAAAATCTGTGTATTCATTTATTTTAACCAAGATAAAAAATGAAAATTATTTTGGTAGCATTCAATAACAACAAATCTCACAAGTCGTATGCTGTGTCCACATCATATGGGATGGATGACTGGAAAAATAGCTTGTACGTTTCCCAGTCTTAAGTCTGACTTTGATGTTGATACAAACTCTATTTTACCAGGACAGAAACTGGAAATAACAATAACTCTACTATGACATAAATACAGCATAAGCCATTAGCATATTGTTAGTGCCTCGTGGGAGTTGTAGTTTTCTTATCTAGCCTATGAAACAAAGATTAACAAGGAAAGGGGAAGTAACTTAAGTTCTCAATAACAATATGAATGGTTCGGTCGGCCATACACTCACTTTGTGGACTATGTCATGAGGCAGCCTTGAGAGGATTCTGAACGGGTATCCAAAGTGGGCGATGATGTCCACGATGTGTTTTGCCACATGTGGAGGGAGGCACGACTGCATGGGCACAGCTTCCACCCACTTGGAGTAATAATCCGTCACAGTCAAAATGTATTTGTGTCCATTCAGTGTTTGGGGCAGGGGTCCTCTGACATCCAGACCAAGCCACTGCCATGGTTCTTTCACCTGCAATCACATTATATCATGTCATCATACGATGTGATCCGCTAATAATCCCAGTTTTTGCTGATTGTATTTAATATAGTCAAGGTTTTCATACAGGCAACAGACCTACCTCTATTAGGTTTTCACGATCTTTACATTCTGTCTGTGGAAATTACAGAAAACCATTTGATTAAAATACATCACAACACAGAGGTCAGAGTGTGAAAGTGAAAATATAGTCATTTAAAAGTTTAAAATCATGTCAACTACTTACACTGAAATCATCATCTGGAGCCCACTGAATATCCTGTCAGTGACAAATGGACAATATAGATACAAATATGAAGTTACAGTATTTGATACTTGTAAACATTTGACAAAAAAAGGCACGTTGATTTGCCCAAAGTTGTACCACAATTGCCATAATTTAGTAATACCCCTTACCTGTGGTACACAGTAATCTCCATGGAAGAAATGAGGAAATGACTCAATTTTCATCAGCCCTTCATCTACTATGATCCTCCATTTGTCAGATTTTTTTGAGTCTTTGTCTCTGACCATAGAAACAGAAAATATCAACACATTAAAAGAGGAAAAAACCCAAATGTTAACAAATCTGATTTCTTATCAACAACTGACCTACATTGTGGCACCAACAAGTGTGTACCACAGACAGTCGTGTTGCTCTGCTAGCCAGTAAGCTTGGCTTCGAACCTGGCTTTGACTTTCAGAGAAAGCTACAAGACACGTACAGATCCAGGGAGCAGTGGAGCGATAATGGATCCTGACCTGGCTGCAGTTATTAGATCCCCATTGTGAGAGGAGCTCAGTTCAGGCTTTGATTAACATTTACAATACTTTATTGCATCCATCATTTTTTAGATTTTTTATCTTTTACAGGAAACTTCAGCTCCTGGTTCTGATTTGCCATCAGATGGCATCAGCTACATCAATACCAACACGCCATCAGCCCGCTCTGCAGTAAGACCCAATGCAGAACCCCCCTTATACGACACCTGCATATCTGTGCGATGGATAAAACCATGCATATCTGGTATATCTGAAGCAGACTACACACCCAGACTTCTCAGAGAGGAGTCATGGCCTCAGGCAGAGCACACCAGGAAACAGCTGGAGTCCTCCTCCAGTGAGGAGTCCACAAGCTTATTCTGCATCATCAGAAAAACCCTGGAGACGTTTGCTTCTCTGAATGACCAAAATGATGACGTCTCAGTGTACTGAAAAAACCTAAACGCAAAACGCAGAAGTTGCCACCACACATACATCCACATTTCCAGCATGAAGTACAGTAGGTATTTATAGACATCTCATTATTAGTTCTTGTTTTCATACCGGTCAAACGTCAGGGTCTCACTGACCTCAGCATCATAAATATAAATATTTAATATTTATATAGATATTTTAAGGGTTACCACTGATGTCATGCCAGAACTGACACAACTTCTTCTGCATCTACCCCAAAGTTTTCTCGGAAGAACTGAATGGACTGCAATATTTCTTTTCGTTCATTTGAACTAACACAACAAAAATCCCTCATGTGATGATTGATGACATGAAGGCAGAACCTGTAATTCATGGTCTATTACCTTATCTAAATGTACACATGTAATGTAAATATGTAATGTTGTTCTTTGTGTACTGAGTAACCATCTCATTTCACTACATACAGTGCACTGAACAGAAGCAGAATATCCACTGGTTTAGATTGTGGATTCAGTATGATTTAGTAAGAAAAAATCTGCACTACTTTTAATTTCTATATTTTTCCTGTGACATTTTTGGATTATATGTGCTGATTTATTATTAACCATTACTTTTGTTGAACTATGGCTTGTTCTAAATGGAAAAGTGACTAAATGAAAGTAAAGCAGGTGTAAAATCAAACAGTGGAGGGCTAAGGCAAAGCTTCTATGTTTAGAAATACCATACCGTGCAGGCTCTGGCTCTGTCTGGCCGGTCTCTTTGTTTTGAACGTTTCGCTTCCCTGTGGCAGGAGAGGTTGTTGGAGACTGAGCTGGACTCATCTGTGAGGCTTTACCATGTGGCTGGGTTCAGAACACGAGGAAACAACACAATGAATGTTTGGAAGTTTGTATTAATTATGTTTAGCACCATGGAGTCTGTATAATAGCTTGAATAAAGACAGCATTTATGTTACAGTTTTATAATTTTAGAGAAAATAGACCAACTTGCTTATGAAAACAGCCACAAATGACAACTGAATCACAGAATTTAACAGTGAAATACCATTACAGGATGCTCTCACCTTGTGTCTCTTACTTCTTGGTTTGATGGAAGCCTACATCAGGGAGACAGTGACAGTAGTTGCATATGAGACATTTACTTAATTGAATTATCACAAACAGATGAAGAGGATTTCTAAGGAAGACATTGGCCTATCAAAGAGTTTAGTTTAGTTTTACTTTACTGCCAAATATAGATGACCTGGGAGCAGACTTGCTGGAAACTACTTTTCCCACACAAAGGAACAGATGTATTTTTTTTTTTCAAATGGTCCACTGATGCTGAGTTACCTAATACAAACCTTCCTTTTCTGTGTGTCATCGGGCGATGAAAATATGGTGGGAACTGCATCTTCTCTGAGTTTCACACATTTGCCTGTTCTGTCAATGTATTGCTCCTCAAAATGATTGACGCACAGCACAGAAAAGCGGGACGGAGTCCAGTCCTTCCACTTCATGTTGACAAGCCATTTCTTGAGTTTTCGGGGATTGTAAAGTGGAAACCTGTCGTAACACACAACTCATTTAAACAACACTAAGGCCAAGTTCTAACCCTTATATGTACCATTCTCTCATGTGTGGAGTAAATACAACATTGATATTAGAATATTGACATTAAAAAATATGCCTATTTGTTCTCAGTAGCAATAATTGTTCATGGTAAAACTCAAGGCTTCTTCGGAAATCCCTATCTTACATAAGATATGTACAATCCAATGTGGTGTGGCCTGGTGTGATGGGTGTAAAACAAGCAATCAATCTTAACATCACATAAAACACAGTTTGCCATTAAGAGGCTGCAAAAATTGGTAAATTATTGATTTTTTGGATCTGATGTGATATTGTGATATTGTCTCATGTATACCAGCACTACCCCATCATTTGAGTGAGTTGCTCACACTAGAATGAAAAACATCTTGTGATACAGTTGTAGCAAAGTGATGAACATATTTTGTCATGATTTCATCCATTTCATCTTCTTTAAATCAGGCAGCCAAAAAATGAAAATGATTCTCTCCTGTAAGAGCGTTGTTATATGTTTTAATGCACTGAGAATTCATTTTGACTATACAACTATGCCTTTATTTCTGTTTCCTGGATTCTGATGAAAACAACAGTGAGTTAAGGTTCACTTCCTTTAATAAATACTGTACCAGCAGTTACATGCAGTTTGTCCTCCATCACCCAGGCTATACCAATGAACTCAACACATACAGAGAGACTAAATTAAGTAAGTTTTCACGACATTTTCTTAAATTCGTGTTTACATAAAACGCTGATACCTGCTGAAAAACACTAACTAATGCTTATATTTGTTGCTAGCTTAACAATTACTTCACAAATCAGCTAGCTAACTATTTCCTGGTTTGGGGTGAGAAATTATTACTGATATTGAATACTCACTTAAAAAACTTCACTTCTGGATCGCTGGAGCTTTCACAGTTGTAGGCACATTTATACCTTCCCATTTTGAACACAAATTCGGCCGATTTTGATGTTTAGCGTTGTTTGAACGAACGGTCAAACTGGCTACAATAAATCTACATCCGGTTAGAATTTTCAAAATAAGCCTCATGACATGTTTGAAAGCTTTCCATTGTGCAAAAATCTTAAATACTTTTATTGCATTCAGCAGTACACAAGTATGTTTTTATTTAAGTATTAAACCCTCGCGATAAAACTACATTCAACGCCAATTATTACTTACCCACTAAGCCTAATTACTTATTTTCCGCAATTACCCTACAGAATGTGGCTACCTTGACACAAGCATATTTTGCTTAGGTTCTTCTTCGTGGTGTGTTAATTGTTTGTGAATGCCCAATAGCGCCCCCGTCCTACAGTGAATGCAATTTTTCTTGTTTTTGTTTTTTTCATGTCAATCAAATAATTTTAATAATGATTAAGTTTTGTATTTAAATCTAAATATTCCTGTACAAAATATAGATTTTTTTTATTTCCTTCTATCTTCCCTATTGGGATTTGAACACAAAATGAATCAAACAAGGGGTTCTTAAAAATGTAATTGTTTAATAAATGTTAAACAATGTGATATAAACAATGAGAAGCTCAGTTGCTTTTAGATTTCCACTCAACCCTCCATTCATCCCAGTCCAGCAGAGTTCGTTTTGTGTCCCATCCTGCAGCTTCCACACCTGGAAATTATATTAGCAAAAATCATGCTTCTGTTGATAAAAAAAAAATCACAAGATAAAGCTGATGATTTGTATGTTAGAACAGTTTTATGTGGGCTCACCTTTGAGAAATGGATTGAAAATTGTGTCCATCAGTTTGTGGCTCTCATGCACCATTTCCCAGTGACCTTTTAAAGAAAGAATACAAGTTTACAGTGTTTTAAAGAGTGTAATATTTAAGCACCTCTATTAATTAAATGAATGAAGGCAAGGGCTCACTTTGCTGCTGTTGTGTAGGGGGTTCTGTGTGAGCTGGAGGGCTCATCGTGCTGCTGATCCACACAGCCTGACACATCGCTCTGATTTCATCATGTACTGATGCTTTTGGTCCCAAACAAACACATATGCACCCTGGGAGGTAGACAGCTGAGTTAAAAACATTGAATGTGGCTCTTAAACACACTGTTATTATGTAGAGGGAGAACTCTTCTCAGGCTGACATACCGTTTCTCACTCCTAAGAGGTAAGGCATGTTGTTGTTCTTCAAAGCCAACTGAAGTTCCTCCGGGCTACAAAATAAGCAGAGTTCATTTTAGAGAAGAGTGTAATTTTTCATCATACAAGCAAAAATGGTATATTTAATTACCTTTGTACAACCTCCTGTAGCCTCACTCCGAGTCTGATTGGCACCGTTTTCGTAAATTCTGGACAACATTTCACAATTTTGAATGCACTGAATCAATATATTACAACTGTCAATGAAACTCCAATGAGATCCCTCAAACAGCCAAGAAAACTCCTTAAACTTATGATTTTTCTTTACCCAAGAAAACTGGCTCTCTCTGATTGGCCTCTAGTGGACTCAGGATTCGTTTGTCTCTCAGGTATTGCTGTAACACGATCGAAAGTCGCGCCTCATTGAAGGTTTCCATGACAACCGAACGCACAGCCTTGTAATTGGCAAAGAGGTGGAGCATGGTGAAGAGGAAGAAGAGGCTGAGAGTCAGTCTGAGGGAGAGACAGAGAGAATGAAAATGGAGGTGAACGACATCAAAGACACAACAGACTCCTCAAATAACTAAAAGTTTAATTTCAAGGTCAAGTTAATTGTCATCTGTATGGTCACCACAGGAATCTAATGAATGTAATTCTTGTACATACATACAATGTAGTATTAAATTAAAATGACAAGATATACACTATATAAAAGATGTCCCTATATAATGTAGACCACAAATAAGCAATGTATAAAATACACCTTTTGTAAAGATGTCTTGCAGAAGTTTATATAGGCTGAAGTACAACAGTTAACAGTTTGAGTATTGCACATTCAGAATGGTAAATGGCAGAGACACAGCCTAACTTATATATGTTTGATATAACAACACTTACACTGGATTATCAGTGATTAGGGGGATGAGAATCAAACTGATCAGCAGTCCAGCCAAATTCACTAAAGTCTCCTGTGGAAAATAAAAGACATGTTTTGATGATTTTGTAGATTTATTTATATATTTATTATCAATTAAAACTCAGAAACTTTCAGTGTTAAAACATCTGTCACCACAGGCAGTTTAACAGCATTTCGACATGTCACAGTAGGAAAAGCACAGCTGAAAGTTAACTACATGAGTGCTTTGGTCCATCATCAATGTCATTAATAACACTTTTTCTACTTGACATGTTTGCTGTGAAAAAGTCCTATTGTACTTCTTTATGTATAATGGAATATGACACAGCAAAATGCTCTATACAGGGTATCTGCCCTCATAATGACCATCATATTACAGTTCACTACTTATTCCTTGCATAATCTAAATATAGAAGAGAACATGGATACTGTCTTATTTACAAGATATCACTGTTCACAAAAATAAAAAGTCATAGGTAAAAAAAAAAAAAAAAGTACCTGACTGCCATCTTTAGCAGAGATGTCAGCCATGTTGTCTCTGCGAGCCTGATGAACAGTCAGAGCAGCTCTGGTCGCTCCGCCTGCCACTCCGACAATGGACTGGAGAAGACAAACACACATAACAGTGCCAAACTCAGTTCAGTAAACTTGTGAATCACAGTTTTGTCTTTGAATAGTGATAATAATTGAAGGACTTGACATAAAATGGAAATTCAGTCCAGTTATCAGGCCTCAAAGTTCAGGTCAATGGTTTCCGTTATCCAGTTATTCATGAGCAAAAAAAACAAATTAAAAAAACCCAAAAAAATAAACATAATTTGTGTAGCAGAAGGTAATTTTTTCTGTTCTCTGATTCTGTTTACTCCTAACAGGTCAGATTTAAAGAAAGGGTCATTTCTGACATACTAAATTACATAGGTTCAGTTACTTACTGCTTATTTAGCTTTGTGAATTTAGCTTTAAATTTTTATCACAGCTGACTTAAGTTAGTTATGTTATTTTTACCTTGAATACCCCTGCAGTACACACAATCAAGGTGAAGCAAGCAGGAAAGTGTGGAGCCAATATCTCCATGAACATGGCCATGTCATTGAGAACATCGGCAAACATCCTTGAAAGAAATTTTAAAAAAGGAAAAAGGTTTTAATATGTGTGTTAATTGTATGTTTAGACTCACCAAATCTTCAAAATTTAATACCTGTGCGTAGTTCATACCTCCATTTTTTGGCCTCAGAGTCCAGTTTTGTCCTGTGACAGAGAAATTGATCATACAAAGGAATATCCATCAGTGAAATAGAAACATGAATAAAGTGGGAAAAATTACTTTTATTCGCCTCAATAAAGACACAAATATGAGCCCACCCTTTCCGCCAGGCGAAGAGGATTCTTCCCAACATACCAGTTCCATCTGCAGGCGAAAACATAATTTCACAAGTTGCACTAATGATGCAAGAGTAACGTCATTTTGGTGTTTTTTTGTTTTGTTTTGTTTTTTTAAGGATCACCTCTTAATAACCAGGTGACTGTGGCTGCAGCCACTGTTGCCTCTTGGTTTCCAACTCCGACTCCTCTGAGAGAGGCCTGAGTGGCCAGAGTCCCTGACAGTGAGCTGGAGAAAGCCTGAGTGAGAGAGAGGAGTGTGAATGGAGAGTTTCAGTCTGATGGGGATGGTGATGGTGATGATCTCCATTGGTTTTGGTTTCTTCTACTGTACCTGCACTGTATCCCAAAACTGGTACTGCAGGTAATCATCACTGACACTCTCTGGATACCCTTGAGGCAGAAACACACTCTGAAATTAAAAGTTAAAATCATCAGCTCATGACATTGAGTAAACAGGTAATACTGCTACGTGGAAATGTAGGAAATCCTTACTTTAAAAACCCCAACAATAGAGTTTCCTCTGGATTCACCCTTGCTGCCATCCCTCCTTCTCTCCACCACTCCATCCCTTGCAAAATACTTCCAGGACTCTGCACTGCCGTATCTCTCTGTGGCCAAAACCACACCAATGTCGTTCTCCATTCAGGCTGCTTGAGGCCAAAAACAGATGGACGGTGACTAAACTAACAAACGGAACAACACTACAGTCTGAAATGTATTGGAATATATTTAATACTAGTCCATTTTGGCTGCACAGACGTGTTATCGCACCCACAACGACGTGTCCTGTTTTTTTTTTTGTGGTGCTTCCGTGTTATTTCAGCCTCGAGGTTTGGCGATAACTGATTGGTGGATTGAGAGTTGAAGGCGGAGCCCCGATACAGAGTGACGCACTGATATTATTCCTGCAACACATTTTATTGTACAAGAAACTGTGACCTTGTATAATAATATGTGTGCATCATAAAAATGAGTATTACTGAAAAAAAATGAGTATCAGTTTTGAAATATCTCAGCTTTATTATTATTTGTAACAACAACATTGTTGTTGCATCTCCAGTCAAGTCAAACAGATATAATAACATGAATGAAAATATGAAATAGATTAAAGATAACACAATACACACACAAGAAAAAGGAGAGGAAGAAGCACAGGATCAAAGATTGTGTCAAACAGTAAAAGTTAAATAAAATTAAAATAAATAAAAATACAAAGATCAAAATAAAAAATACTAAAATAGAAGTAATTAGAAAAATAGATATATAATATTTACCATCTTAGCATGCTTATAATCTTTAATTGAGTACAGTTGAGGCTGATGGGGATGTCATTCATTGTCCAGGTTTGTGATCATAAAAGTGTTGGTGGTGGATCACAAGTTATTACAATTCATTAGCAAATGATCTTGTCTGAGGCCCAAAATTCACTTGATTGCTTGAGTTACTTGTATGTTTTCATGTGAGTTTGATTTGTTTGGTCTTTGACCCAAAAGACATAGAAGTTGGGAGGTGACCATGCTGGGAATTAACACAATCAGGATGAAAGCATTTAAAAACATTCTCCATTGTTTTGTATTGACCAGTCAAACATCTTTTTATTTACAAAATGGATCATAACCAAAGTAGAAGATACCAAATCACTGGGGTTTCACATGCACCTGCAGTTAAAAAAAAAAAAAAAAACATGAAATTTTCTCTGTGGTTCCATGGGTGACAAAACAGAGAGGAATGGTCCTGATAGGATGAATAATAATTAGTGTGTGATGTAGAAACCAGTTCAATTGAGCCACAACGGTTGGATGAAAAACCACAATAGATCCTTCTCACGCTCTTACTCAACATGAGGGAAGATCCAGCTGTCCACGGATTGGTTCAGTGTACTGTGGGTGGCATCAGCCCTGAAAAAATGCATTCAGGTATTCATCAATGACTGAGGCAGGGGCAGTAAATACTGCACTTCTTATCCCTGGGTAATAGAGCAAAGGGACGACTGAAGACTAGAAATGCTTAAGCACAAGAAGAGGCCTGATCTGACCCTCTAGTCAAGGTCCAGCACACAAGTGTATCTTTCAAAGCGATATAAGATGCAGGGAGTGTTTCTGTTGTCATGCACAAAAAGACAATGAACTGAGATCTGTTATCTCCACCGAGATGGATTTAGAAAATAGTGACGTTGACAGGAATGTGTGGCTGTTTCAGCCCAAGGCAAGACAAGTGCTGACACACCTTCCCAGCTCCTGTGGAATGTAGCGAGGGAAAGAAAGTCATACTGACTAACAAGGGGAGAGAGGAAGTCAGACCTGCAAACACAAGGAGCAGAATGAATATGAGACCTAATATAACCGGGTGAACAAAGGGTTTGACAAAAGTATGTGTGGGAGGACGAAAGTAAAATGGGCGTGGAAGTTTCATACAGTTTCACTCCTGGTTCTCAAACCCTGTCATTCAACAACTTATACTGCACTGGGACTTTCACAGGAACAGGTCGACAGTGACAGGGCTGGTGTTTGGACCTTTTGTAACTTTCAACTGATTTTTTTTTACATTTAAAGGAAAAAGCTTCATGTGGCAGGTGTCTCCTTAAAATGGATTACTGTTAAGGAGACAAGAAGACAATACACCTGCCTTCCTTCTCACTGGGACTTTAATATACTCTGAGTAAAACACCGGACAAACCAAGGAGCTTCACCAAAGGAGTGTATTAAGACTGAGGAGTGGATTCAAAACAGTGACTCTAAAATTTGATCAGGTTTGTTCTTTAAAGTAATGATTGAGCCCTTAAATCAGGTTTAATTATGTGTAAACTGTAATATCTGGTCAATTTGATATTCATGTTGTTTTATCATGTTTTACTTTCCCTTTTGTTTTAGATCTTTAAGATTGTGTTTTCAGTTGTGTGTGTGCACAGAACAGAAACTTTCATTTCTCTCTCTGCTAGTTTCTCACTACAATGACTCACAGGCCTGTGTAACATTGTGCTGTTCCCTCAGTCCAGCTCTCTACTCATGCCGATAGATATGCAGGGTATGCCGGCGTGTGCTTTGATCAAATCAGAGATTAGATAAATCACATTTTATGTTTTCACCTCTCCATGACAACTTTCAGTCAACCAGGAGGTTTGTGCGTTTTTTAAAGTGCAATCCTACAAGTTTTTCTGGCTTTTTGTTTTTGTAAGGTTAACAGGGAAACACTTTGACCTGTGCCCCATGTTATGCCATTCACAGGGTACTTTCTGTTTTTTCTTGTTGGAAATACCCAATTCCAGGAGACATTGCTACACTCACTAAAGACAACAAACTATGTCTAGATATTTTGAAGGACATGTTTAGAAATCCTTCTTTTAAATTCTTTAAGCTGACGTTTTCTTGCACAGTGCTGTATATAACAACCAAAAGCTAAACACAGGTCACCAGGGCAATTTGGGAACACATGTTTCATCTTTCTGTTTCTTTCTTCACAAATCAAAGCAGCAGCACTCACCATGTGGGGAGTCAGTAAAAGGAAATAATAGCATTTTCACAAGAATAAGATTAGAGATCATTTTCAAACCACTGATACTCCCTTAAGGTCGTGTTGGCACCTAGATTATGCTTGAATGGATCCAGGTGTGTTCCCATAGTGGGTCCAAGAAACAAAGGGTGCCTGGGCAGTGCTTTGACAGAGTGACATCAGTCGTACACAGCAGTACTCAGGTTTGATAAGACTCCGTCACTGTGACGTTGAATGGAGGTGATGTCAGTAATTATCAGCATGTGAGCAGGAGCATAAATAGAACCCAATAGATCAAACACAACCCAAGTCAAGAGAGAGAAGTCAATGAGACACAAAACATCCTTGAGATCTCCTGACCCATGAAGTCTGAACTGTATTCTGAAAAGACCTGGAATACTATACTGATTTTAAGTGTAATTAAGTAAATATTAACCTAAGCAGGGTTTGTCCTCAGATAAAGAAAGTTGAAACCAGCTCCTACGAAGTTCCATTGTCTTGGGAAAAAAAAAAACAATATATCAAGTATGAACAAAGTTGAAACTGTACAGCGGCAACGCAGACAAAACATAAACCTGTTGTGTAAAACTCTTTTGCACATTAAAAGAGGTAAACCTGTCTTAAACATGTTATGTTTTGCAGATATGTCTAACCCACCTCACACGACTGTTACAAAGGGTGAAGCATTGCCACTGACCACCATAGGGTCAGGTGACACCTGCATTCAAATAGTCAGCAGCCTTGGACAGCGTTCTGCGTGCTGCAGGAATGACAAGTACCACAGGAGACTGGCAATCGGCAGCATCATCTGCGGGATCACTTGCATCGGAATCAACGCTCTGATAAATTCAGTCAAGGTATTTGCCAAAGTATAAAGCTGCACATTCCAAAGTCGAGCTGCCGCCTCTGAACTTGTTTAATCAAGACAAGACAAAATAGTTTCTGTTGGTGAATTCAGTGTTATCTAGTAATGATGAATGATGAAGCTGCTACCTCACAGTATCTGTATATTACATCTGTTCGGGGCTCTCAGAGACCCCAGCTGTAAAACAGCTGGTTTAAAACAATGACTTTGCATGTTTTGTATCTGTCATTGGTGTTGACAGCCCTTTTTACAGAGCACTACAGTTCCAAAATAAGTCTGACCGACTTACACATTGTACAGTCCTTAGATTTGTTGACACATAAATAGGAATTATATTTATTCCTGCACATTCCATATAACATGGAAAACCTAAAAGATTTATTGTGATGCCAAATACGATTTCATGGCCATTTTTATTTTCTTTCTACCTAAATGGAATGTGCAAACCTCAGGAAAGGTTATTTTTCTATATATTTGGCAGTAATAAGATCAGAAGAAAAGAATATTTAAAGGGAGAAACAGTTGAGTCTGCAGTTATTTTCTTCATATACAGCAGTGTGGTCCGGAGGACTCAACAGCAAGGAGGTAAAAGTAATCACAGAACTAGACTAAATAACAATCTAGATTATTGCTTATTGTCAGTGGTATGAGTTCAGTTATGAATTCATGTATTTCTTTTCCTGATTTGACCCGTAATTCTTTGCTTCAACAGGCTGAGACAGCAACAGATCCAGAGTCAATGGCCAAGTTTTCACAACGGGCAAGAAAATTTGGCATCATCTCTATTGTGGTGTGGGTTTCCCTTCTGGCCTTAATCCCCGTGCTGATGGCACTGTTCTCATATCTTGCCACTCTGAAAAACTGATCAACTTTGATAAACCTCTGCAGAAGGCAACTAACGAAGTGGCTCTTCAGATTTTGGATGTTTATGGAGACGGACTGTGGACAGTACAAAGCTGCTTATTAATGACTAAAAACCCATGAAGATATGAAGAAACTGGTAGTTACATGAAACACTGCTTTAGCTTTTCCTGTGCTGCTTTCTCAGTTTACACTTTTTCTACTTCTTCTTAAAGCATTTACATTTTTTTATACAAAGAACCACTCAAAAAAATAGTATTAAAAGTCTTATAACTTTTACATGTTTTCTTATACGCTGTAATATTTATTTAACAATATATAAACATATGGACAGTTCTAAATCTAAATGACCATAGAAAATCCAGCATTACCAATAGTTTGAAACATCACACAACATGACACATACACATTATATATTAAAGATTACAGCGGTCATTCCCCAGTAGTGACCCAATCCTTAATATTTTTGCACCTTAATTGCCATGACATATTTAACATACAAATTTTTAGATACTTGTATATACCACAAAAGTTAATAAATTAGTCAATCTGTGAATCTAAAACGTAGCAACTTGTCCATGAAGGATTGGGTCTGTACTGGAAATGTAATGGCACGGCAGTGATCTTGGCAGTGCTTCATCAGAACATTATGAGATCCTTGTTGTGCCAACATTCTCTTATCAATTACTGAATTGTTACCATATTATCTTTATTAATGTCATGTATCAATTTGTAGTACTTTTATACAAATGTGTAACATAAACAATTTTTTATAATAAAATGACAAAAAACTTTTGTGCTTTGAGTTGCATGAAACACCTTGACATGTCCTCATGAAAAAAAACAAAAAGGCAACCTCATTAAAAATTTGGCAAAAAACAAAAACATACAGACAGTTTATCAAGAAGTTACTTTTGCAATACAAATATAGACACCACAAAATAATCCCAAGAGAACCACAGGTAATAAAAAGACAACCAGCAGTGGAGTCTGGACACTTTCACTCTTGATTAGAAATTGTCTCTTGAGTGCTGCAATGTTTCTATGTTACATTTTGTTCAACAAAAACCTCTTCAGCTATTAAAATTTAACAAAAAATTGAACAGGGTCTGCCCTGAGCTGAACAGAATGATTTACACGGTCCATGCTGTTTGCAGACACACTTCAATGTACATAAACTTCATAGACAGAAACTTGGTTGTAGTGAACACAAATCTCTTGCTGGCATGTTTTAAAGTTATAATCAGCATTTAGTAAAAATAGCTGCCTTTATAAATAACTTATGATGATGCTGCAAGGTCACTACCACTTCTCTAATACACAGCTTCCTGTCAAATCATACAGCGCATCGGAAATGAGATGTAATCTGAAGAACTTGATACTGTACAAGTGGTTAAATCAAGGACGTCAACTTTTGTTTCAAGACAGTTTCAGCTTTCGCGGACGGAAACTGGCTGACAGGGAAAATGGATGGCAGGAGTTTGAGTGCTGGGATGATAATAAAACATCTTAATGTATAATTCATTTAACCAATATGTTTATAACAAAACTTCTAGGATGAAATACATTTATGGTGCTATGGTGTAATGTGTATATATGTTCTTCAACTTGCAGGATACAAATGCAACAGACTGAAAATGTAATTTTTCAATAATAACTTGTCACCATAACATTTATACAATGATTGTGATGACAAAAAAAGAGCTAGAAGACTCTAATGTGAATCTTCATGTTCATACATTAAAAATAGTTATATGAACAGCAATGCAGCGTTTTTTTTGTTTTTTTTTAATGACTTAAAGGCAACTGTCAACTGTCTTTCTGATCATGAATCAGCCACAACTTGAGCTGATCGAGCTTGGCACAGAGCAGCGAGTCCACATCCTGCACGCTGAGCGATGGTTCGTCTTTAGCGAAGCCCCCACGTCTCGTCCTGGAGGATGAAACACCCGCCTTTCCGACACCAACAAGCGGCTTCTTGATTTTTCTGGCCTCACCGACCTCCAAGAACTCTAGAAATCGCTTGACGCGTCTCTGACCAAAGCAGGACTCAGAACCATTGCGGCGACTGAGAGGCACCTCGAAGATGGTCTCCAGCCGGCTGAAAGATGTGCAACATGTTCCAGTCAGTTATTACTAAACATGACCAGATGCCACCTCTTCATTCCCAATACAGAGCACAGTGACCTAAATATCAGCTGACTGTTCCTCTGGTGACACGTCCCAGTCAAACTTGTTTTGTTTTTTTTTGCTCCAATAGCAACAACAGTCTGAGGATTTGAAGCTGTAGCGGTGTCCCGTACACACACTGTGTACTAAATCTAAGCAGGTTTTGAGTATACAATGTGGTAGGGGTGGGCGATCTGACGATCTTATATCGTGGACGTTCTTACTTTGGCTCATGATCTACTTTTCAGATGAATTGTACAGATCACATCATTAAAAGCTGCTATATTTAGATATTTAATTTCAAAAGTTCAGATTGAGATTGGTTGTGACACAATTTGTAAACAGAAGACAGGATTCTGGGGCCAGTTGCACAAAGCATCTTAAGTTAAGATTTCTTAAATTAAGTCCAACTTAAGATTTCCTTAAAATAAAAACTGTTGCACAAAACACCCTTAAGTCATCTCCTTAAGGTTTCCTTAAAATGTTGACTTAAGTATTTAAGGTTTTCTCCTTATCTTGGCTTAATACTTGACGAGTCACTTAAAGTCAGTTAAGCCGCTGCACAGAAGACCTAGGCAACCAAACAAAGGAAAAGAACTTAAGGTATCTCTGATTGTATCTTAACCGCAGCATGGGTGAGTTTATGGTGATAAATGAGGAGGATAGACATATCCCCACAAGAGTTTTCCACGATCTGAAGAAACTGATGGATGCCCTCAACGACGAGGAATTGATCTTGCTCTATAGACTTGATTGGCAGTCAATTTATGATTTGTCCGACCGTCTAGAGGTGGATCACTCCACTTTCCTCAGCTGTACTCTTCCAGCTCCTTTGCAGTTAATGATTGCTCTGTGGTTTTATGCTACAGGATCTTTCCAGTCAATTATTGGTAAAGTATTTCATGCCCATCTATCAATTGTGTGCCGTGTCATTCACCGAGTGTCAAACTTGTGCAACTGGCCCCCTGGGCAAAGAGTGGTGGCAAGCAAGAAACATCCGAAAGAAGGGTCAAAGACTTTCAGAATAAAATCAGAGTGGAAACAGGATGCAGATTGTGATTCTGATTCTGATCATGGATTGCCATTCTACCCAAAAAGACTGTCAAATGATCATTTGGCCGGATAGCCCACCCTTATAGTATGGGCACACTGGAATAAAATTAATTAAGTACACCCAAACTGTGTATCTGTATGAGTGGGGTCAGGTCATTCCTGTGAAAAAGACCTGGGTTCTGAAATTTCCCTGCGTCAATAAATGTTTAAAAAAACCGTATACCATTAGTGTGTAGTTTGGAATTGGGACACAGCATTTGTCTCCCTTTTTCATCCATCCATCAGTTTAATCTGGGGGCTGCTAGTGTAGATAAAGTTTATACAGTAACCTGCACCCAAGCCCTTTATGTGGATACATTTTGTGTGCCATCTCATACATTTGCATATTGAGTAATTAAGCTTAGGTTTACTTATATTTATCACATGTCTGATTCATTATTTTTAAAAGGCAACAAATGGCTCCACTTGTTGAAGATTTAATTTCATCTCCAGAAACACAGTATAGGGCCACAGATAAAGTTAGTTTTACATGCATCTAAATTTTGTACCTGTGTAATGTTGACCTTACCTTTCAGGGGGTTTGCTGAAATTCTTATTGGTGTAAATTTCTTCCAAACTGAAGTCCTTCTTTTTCAGCCTGTAGTGAAACATAACAAGAGAAGAACATTATAATCAGTCTGAATATTGATCAGACAGTATTAAAAGGACAACAGTATTGATCAATCCAGAAGAATTGGTTGTACTGTCATATGCTTATCTAATATGCAGCAGAAGAGTAACTTCTTCATGAGTGTTACATGGTTTGTTTTACTTCATATGATCAAACATCCAAAGCACAAGAGGCTGCAGCTATAAAGACCTTATTAACCTCTGCACACTTTGTATTTGAGCCAGTGCTTGGGTATCAGCCTCAGATTTCCTGTCAATTTGCTGCGTGTGAATTATGACACAAAGGAATTATGATGGTTTATCTTGCTTACCTCAGAATTTGCCAAGGTTAGCTTGTTTACAGAGTTTTCTGTACCATATTAGCCCCAAGCTAACACAGACTTTCTACTTGAACTTGCTCATTGTACTTATGGCGAGGGAAGACAAACATCAACAGACTTCTACTTTATTTGTTGACTTATTAATTTTTTTTTTTTTATGTCAACAATGAGGCTGTCAACCCTTCTGCGGGCAGAAATGCATCATTAACTGTAGTGCAAACAGAGATATTGGAGCAACTAAGATGAGTATGAGCTTCCTGACAGCCATCATGGCTGTAACAAAGACAAATTTAAGTGAGACATTGAGTTTGTCTTTCAGCTTGCCTTTAAGAATAATGGGAATACGCAAATGTAAAGTTGAAATCCCAGAACAGAGTGGACCTAAATAAGATTATTTTGTCCCACTGATTGTGTTCTAAAGTTAAAGAATGAACTCTAATGCTTACTATTATGTCCAGTATATGGAGAACATACCTGATGGGTTTGGGCAGGCCCATGGGTGTCAGGTTGGTCTGAGGTTTGGGTAAAGTTTTCCGAATTCTGATGGATGACACCTTCCCTCGTTCCTCATTCTTCTGCACTACCTGTGATGAAGAACAAGAAAATTAGAAGCCACTGATAAATAATGGGAATAAATCAGTTTTTAAAGAGGCTGAATAATTTTCAGTAAATTATTGTGAATTTTCACCCTGCAGAAGCCTCTGTTGCAAACTGTTGTTCAACAACATAATATGACGCGTTACAAAAGAGAATATCTTTATGAATCACCTGCTGCCTGCGTCAGGACAAAGATGCTTTAGAGTGAATCTCATACATAAACACTTGAACTAATATTAAGATACAAATGGTTCCTTTTCTGAGAAAAATGAATGAATGTTGATATAAATATGATTTTAGATGAGAAAATGCAGATTATTGAGAAATTGTTATGTGTCGATGTAATTATACTTACACATGATCAAATACAAATATAAAATACAATAAAAATAAAATAAAAGTTTGTGTGCTAAAAATAAGAACCAATCCAGATTTTGAGATACTGCGAGGAAAAAGAAAAATTTTCAATTAAATTATTAAATGCAGAACTCACTTTGCTGAAAATTGTTTATAGGGTTTTTAAAAGATTTTAGAAAGGTTTCATTTTCTTAGGTTTATGATTATCACATAAGTCTCTATTGGGTAGAACCTCGCCATACATGCACCAGCATCACTTGTACTCTGTTAAACTTTAGATGTTACAGTGAATGTGGTCAGTGATGAAAGTGTGAAAACACTGTAATGAATGATCACGGTTTCAACTCTACTCAAGATAAATCAATCTTCAAACTGCGTTCAAAGAAACAAGTTAGCTGGATTAGAATGAACAGGTGTATTTTAGCCTAAATACAGCCTGTTAGCCTGGATTAGTTAAATCACATTTGAAGAACAGGACACAGAAATCAACAAGGATGCAATATAAAAATGATACACAATCACAACATATTGCCACAACGTTAGTATGACAAGTTATTACACTTATGTAAAATAATGTATACCTTGATTTCAGAATCAGACAGAGCCTTCTCCTCTCTCAATGCAACATCTTCATACTCCTGACTGGATGAGCTTGTGTCTTCACCATCCTCCTCCTCCTCACTCTGTTGTCTTCTCTCAATCTCACACTCCAAGGGATTCCCACTGCAAATAAACCAAGATTTATTTTGAGCACACTTCTGACACATCGCGGGCATTTTGAAATATGAAATATCTATTTTACAGATTAAAGAAGTGTGTTACCTGCAACTAGAATCTGAGGTTGCACGAGAAGAGTCACTACTTTGGAGGAATCCTGAAAGGTGCCATATGGAGCTCAATGGAGGTGTCAAAGAAGAGGAGGAGGTGGGAGAGGAAACATGACTGGAAGTGCTGGGGCTGGCAGCAGCTCCTCTGCTGTCAACTTTCTTGGAAAGAAAAGCCAGGGGGCTTGAAAGGAAACAGGACGCCAGCACTGAGAGGGAAGTGCTGGGAGAAAGTGCAAGACCAGGGGACAAGTGCTGGGTGACATCATAAGGGGCGGATCTTCTGGTTGGGTACACCTCCTTACGAAGACACAGAGGAGCTATCTCCCGCTCCACCTCCACGCTGCAGACTGTGTGTCGACGAGCCCGCCGGAGGGATTTGTGGGCAGGAGGGACAAGAGGAGTGTGGGAAGGCTTGTGCTGGTGTGATGTGCGAGTCCTGCTGTGGTGTGGAGAAGGCAGCAGAGAAGTCCAGGGTGTGTCATGGGAGCCCAGATAGGGGATCTCTGGGCATGAGTAGCTGCGCAACAGGCGCCTTGAAAAACCATTTTCTGTTGAGCGAGTACTTACTGTAGCTAGATCTGCATCTTCCATAGTGATTGAGTTTGTCATTTCTTCATCTTTATGTGTCCCTCTATGCAGACCTCTGCACCGTCTCCTTTCTTTATCTGCTCTCCTTGGCTTGATGTTAACTCTTCTTGCACTAGCCCTTAGCCTAGAGAGACTGACGCTGCTGTGATTACCTGCTTCGGGGTCAGTGGAAAATACCTCACCTGCCACAGGAATAGTACTCTTTTGTTCCTCATGCTTATTTAATCGTACATAACACTCTAAAAGACATCGGGGAGGTGAATGAGCAGGTGGGTGATTGCTTTCAAAAGGTATCATTTCAAAATATACAGGGTCCATTGAGATTTTACCTTTGCCTTCTTTAGACCGGTTTTCTTTGGTTATCAAATGAAGGTTATTGATACATTGCTTTGTCTCTTGAGTTGCGCCTGAGTCAGAAGATCTAACAGCACCTCTACAACCCTTTTTGGATCTCTTGGATGGCTGGTTCAGTTCTGATTTCAAGTTCTCCTCTCTCTGAACAGAAGGAGGTATGTTCAAAGCGGTGGGTGTGGGTTCTAATGGCTCCATCGATAGAACTGATGTGGTAGAAACCAGAGAGCTGTCCGAGTTCGTCAAAGAACTCGCACGGTCTGGCAATTTCCGTTTTAATGGTTTCTTGTTTATATTCCTGCACTTGATTGTGCTGTGGAGCTGCTTTATATCAGGACGGACAAGAGCTTCTGACGACGGCTGCTGCTGGGCTGGTTTTTTGGTAGAACTGTATGCCACGGTGGTTTCCAGATCCATACTGTCAATGTTTACATCAGGTTTACCAGGACCTGTTCTTGTTTTAAGTCTTTTGCATGAACCACTAGGCTTTGTCTTGCTGCTGCTCTTTTGGTTGTTCTCTGTCACACCGCTGCTTTTATCCAGTGAGCAAATCAACATGGCATCAGGGGAACTTTCAGTCTGTGTGTTTAACACTTCTGGAAAAATTTCTTGTCCACTTTTTCCTTTTCTATTTGTTCTTGTTGAAACGGCCTGTTTTTTTCTAGGAGGCTTCAGCGTTTCTTCAATGTCTACATCATTTGTTGACACAACTTCCTTTCTTTGTGGTCTTAGCCCACTATCTGAAGCCCCGTTTAATAACTCTCTGTTTTGTGTATCCTCTGTGGATATATTTCCTGTCAGTTTTTTCCTCTTTGCCAATTCTTGGGAATGACAGGACAGTTTCATCCCCCTCCTTGATCTCCCAAGACCTGCTGCTGAAGAAGTGTCAGGGTTTAGCTGCCCCAGCTGCTGAGAGGTGGGCTTCAGTGTCCTCCCAGTAGCACTGTTCTCGAGGCTTTGTCTAACCAAGCTGCTTTCATTTTTCTTGCCATCATCATCATCATCACCACCACCACCACCAGGCTGAAGATAGTCTGTGTAACAGACTGAAGACAACGACTTAGTTTTGTCAGCATCACTTGACTTGGCTTTGTTTGATTTGCCTGAGTTCCTCTGAGAAAACTGCTCCTCACTGATCTCTGGGTCAGACTCTTCCTTTTTCACTTCAGATATAAGAGGCTCAGAAATAACTTTCTTTAATTCTGATCTATTTCCTGTACGTTTTCCTGGCAGTGGTGTCAGACGGACAGCCTGCTTGCCTTGCTCCTCCACCGCACTGGAACTCTTCAATTTGAAATTATGTGAGGCACTTAAATTGATGGGCTGTAACAGTATAGAGGACCTAATAACTGACCCAAAAGATTTTGAAACTTGTTTAGGGACGATACAGGGTGAGGGACTGTCTTGCAAAGGCACAGGTGAGTTTTTTTCCCTCTGAGTTATTCCACATTCATCTGTCTGTTCAGAGCTGTGTGTTGACTCCATGTCAAACACAAGTTTTTTAGAATATTTAAGAACATCAGTATTTGAGTCTTGTGCACCTTCTACATCACTAATCCTCTGCTTATTAGCTTCAGCCTTTTGATCCCCATTCTCAATCTGTCCCACTGGCTGAAACATATTGTTTGGTTCAACATCAGATTTTCCATCGGCCTGTGGCTCACATTCGGTGACTTTGTCTGGATAGTCCATGGACGGTGGAGGACTAGTAGCTCTGAAGAGTTTAACAGGACTCATGACAATCTCTGTGAAGCTGGCCATCTTCGACTTGAATGACTGACACAACGGGCCGATCACCCATCCCAGGACAGATGCATTTTCAACAGCATGCCCAACAGCCAAGCCCCCGCATCCATCCATGTCAGAATTAGTGGTGTCAAGATTCTGTGTGGTACTGTCAGCCACCTGCTCCACTACATCTTCTGCAGCAGATACGTCTGGTTTTTGGCAGGGGGTTTTCTGGTCCTTTTGCCTATAATAAAAGCAGAAAAGGGAAATTAGACTTTCAAGCACATATTTCAAGGCAGAAACACTGTGATTATGTCAAATAAATACAATTACATATACATTTCTCATGAAGGCATTGATATACTGATACAAGATCTTGTATCTGGCATCCTAACACTCACTGGTTCCCTATTCATGGAAACCTTAGAAAATATCTGTGCCCCCCTTTCCACTAGGTATCGTAGGTCATATGGAAAACTATTCAAACCATGCCTGCACCACAGACTCCACGGCTGCTCGTAGTCATGACTGCACTTTAAATACAGTTTCCTATTCATTGTTATTACAAAGTTGTAAAATACACATTTTTAGACCTAGAATAACAATCAAATTTGCACACACCTAAAAAGAATGATTCTGTGAGCACCTTTTCCACATAAATAAAAAAAAATAAACACTTCCATATTAACTAAACGATTAGCTGTCACACACTTACTTATTTTGGCACTCTCCTGAAAAGCTAAAATCAAGTCCATCCTGCAAAGTAAACACAAACATTTTACAGTTGTTATAAGGAACGTTAGCAGTGTTTGGTAAAGGTATTGATATCACCTGGGCTGCTGATCCAACCAACAAGAAAACACAGCATTATCTTTTCATTTTCCAAGCCTCTTTTATGAAATTTAAACAAAGCTGTACACATTAATGATTAGTGTGAATTTGTACACAGAACTCTCCCATTTTTGTCAATTTAACTATTTCCACATGGGATATGTAATCCCTCCAGTGAGTTCTGGGTCTACCCTGCAGTCTCCTCCCAGTTGGACATGCCTGGAATACCTCCATAGGAAGGCACCCAGGGGGCATCCTTATCAGAGGCCCCAACCCCCTCAGCTGGCACCTTTCGATGTGAAGGAGCAGCAACTCTACTCCGAGCTCCCTCTGGATGTCCGAGCCCTATCTCTAAGGCTGAGCCCAGCCACCCTATTAATAAAACCCATTTCAGCCGCTTGCTTCCGCGATCTCATTCTTCCGGTCACTACCCAAAGCTCATGACCATAGGTGAGGGTTTGAACGAAGATTGACTGGTAAGTCAAGAGCTCCGGCTCAGCTCCCTCTTCACCACAACATTCTGGTAAAAGGTCTGCATTACTACTAACGCTGCACCGATCCGTCTGTCATTCTCCTGCTCCATCTTACCCTCACTCATGAAGAAGACCCTCCTTCACTTGGGGCAGTAACTCACCCCCAACCTGGACGGAGCAGTCCACTGTGTTCAGGCTGAGAACCATGGCCTCAGACTTGGAGGTGCTGAATAAATTTAACAATTTCCCCACTTGCAACAAAGGAGGAAATTTTATTGCACCAATTTGAGTTTTTAAAAACATTTATTTTTCAAAAGATTTGGTCAAATAATGAGGGAGTTTTAGAAAACCTCTGTTCAAATGAGTGGTCCTCAGTTTGGTAATCATTACAGCCATTTTACTTGATTAATGAGTGATTTGTGAAGCTTCTGAAACACTGGTACTAGTTCCCCTCAACAATTCTGCCCAACAAGGAAAGAGCACACAATGAATATACATTGCATTCTCTAATATTTGCAGTCTGTGCATTAGTGGGTCACATTAAGTCACTCGATTACTTTTTCTGTGTCAGATGCAGCAGACCGTGAAGGAGGATTAAATCACTCAATTGACCCTCACACCCTGTTCACTGTACTGATCTCCAATGTTGCCATACATAACCCAACAGTACAGCTGCTGCACCAACAGATTAGACATCGACAGCTTTACTACATGAAAAACACCATCAAAGGCATGCAGACAGACTGCAAGGAGGAGATTTAGAGGCCAACAGAGACATGGAGGGTTGAGTGAGAGAACGTCTAGAGCAAAGGAAAGGTAAAACTGACCTTGTTTTGTTTCTCATGTACATGAGTGCTTTCAACTCTCAGCTGCTTGGACTGTGACACTTGCACCTAAAAAAATCAGAGACATGCACAGGCGCTGCATGAGCATTGACCCATTTCAGTCAAGTCAAGAAATTGTGAATAAGATTTTTGAAGTTAAATTTTTACCATGCTTCCACTTTCTCCTTGTCTCTTGGTGGGGGACGGATTGTGTCTGGATGGTTTCTGAGGCGCCTTGCTGTATGTGTTTCTCTGCTTTTTAGATGTTTGAGCTCTGATCCCTTGAATGCGACCACTTCTTCTGTGCCCAGACATTCCATCATTTGCACAGCTGTGAAAGTTTCAACAATCAGTTTAGCGGATGTCCAGCATTTTTTGTTTCATGTGCAGGCTGTGCAGTAAGTCTTAGGGATGCACGCTATAGACTACCTTTCCAACAGTGCAATATATCAGAAAAAATATGACAATTGATAATATCGATGCCAGTCGGCTGGGGCCTTTGCTGTGTGGAGTTTGCATGTTCTCCCCGTGTCTGCATGGGTTCTCTACGGGTACTCCGGCTTCCTCCCTCTCAGACCAAAGACACGCAGGTTAGGTTGATTTGTGTGAATGTGACTGTGAATGGTTGTTTGTTTCTGTAAGTCAGCCCTGTGATAGACTGGCGACCTGTCCAGGGCGGACCCCGCCCTCACCACATGTCAGCTGGGATTGGTTCCAGCCCCCCCATATTTCATTTCTAAAGTGTGTTGAGACTCAAAGATAACAAAACAGTTGTGTTGACGCAGCAAACCTGTGTAGGCCTAAAATTGGTCATGAATCGTTAAGGGAATTGATAAAGAATGGGACTGATAAGCAGAATTGATAATGACATTCGGATCAATAAAATCTTATCAATCCCCATCTCTAGTTCCAAAACCACAGTGTTTTGCAGACATCTAAATCTGCACCACAGCACGCATAGCAGTACACCAGAAAAACACAAAAGGATCAAAGAAGACACATAAAGCTATTGCTATGAAATACATTTTCCTAATATCTCTACTGTATCTCCACTTGATTGTGGAAATTCCTCAGATAATGGCAAAAATTCAATGGCGTGTCTCCAAGTCCTAACCCCATCAGTGCAAAAAAGAAAGAAAGAGGACAAAAAGCAAGGTGGGGAAAATACACCAACAGCAAAACAAACCAAAAGGTGCTGGGACAACTATACCTGGGAGTGATGGAGGAAAAGGGGAGGAGAGGTGCACTACAGAAAGGGTTTGGGGGAATAGCATCTTCATCCATTGGACAAACTATCTGAGGGAGCGAGTCAGAGGGATAAGTCAACATCCCCTTGCTCTCTCTCTCTCTGTCTCCTTGTGTGGCCTTCTCTGTAAATAACAACAATGGAAAAAAACAAACATGCAGGGTTTCATATCAATATGAAAGCAATTTAAAATAGGTCTTAAAAGTAAAGCTTCACTTACTTTTATAATCTCTGGGATGGAGATTTATTCTGCAATGAAGAACAGTAACAGGATTTTTTTCTTTATACTTTATTTTTCATATTTGAACATTCACATGTAAAACAACTGGAGCTTCAACTAATAAATATTTTCATTGTTGTTTGAAATCTTGATTATTTTCTCGATTAATAAGTTGTTATATAAAATATTTTTAAAAAATGGTGAAATGTGGCCATCACATTTTTTTTAAACCCAATGTGACATCTCCAAATATCTTGTTTTGTCCAGCCAACAGTTCGAAAATGAAATGTTATGTGACTAAAGCTGGAAAAAAAACGAAGAGCCAATTCTAAGTACGATTAAAATAATCACTTAGTGGATTATACAAAAGTTAAGCGGTATTTCTGGGGAATTTGACTTAGATTGGATATAGATATACATACATGCACAGTCAATCTGGTGAAGTTTAAAGTCTTTCATAGTTAATAAAAGGTTGCCATATCTTGTAAAAAAAAAAGAGCTACCTCCTGTTCGCAACCCAATATTTAATTGACGCTATTAGTATGAAACGGAATTAATTAACTTAAGTGTGGCCGATATTATTGGATGGATTGGATAGTATGATGCTTTAATCACGGTCCTCTAGAGTGAACCCGTAATATAAACCGATATACGCCCTTACGATCAATATCAATAATAATTCTGTTAGAGAAAATATCGTAAAACTAACGTTTTGAATTTTATGGGCTCTGTCATTGTCGTTGGCATTAGTTTACCTGCACTACAGTCCATTCGCGTAAAGTTAGCTACAGTCAGTAACCTTAATACGAATTCATTTCAGTTAATGTTTACAATCAAATGGAAGCGGTGGTCTGATCAAAACTGATCGTGGTCTACTTGCTGGAATTGACACTCTCTCATATTCAAACTTTTATAAATGAGCAAACGTAAGTTAACATTAGGTAACAATAATGTATATTGGACAGTGGCTATCATAAAATTAGCGTGTGTTGTATATTTTATTTAGCTAGCAGAGCTTTTGTGTAATGCCGTCAACACTGCATGGTTTCGCTAACGCCGATATTCATAGTGTGTAACCTACAGTTTCTGTACCAGGTAGTAGCCGTAGCCGGGAGCTGTCATATCTCTGAACGTTCAAGCGCTCTTTCGGGGGTAACTGAACATAACCTCAGGTCGTAGTTAAGTCGCATACAGTTATTATAGGTGAATCACACTAAACAAACTTACCTGAAACGTTGTGATCAACCCGGGGGGCAGTGTTCCAACCTCACCGTAAACAAGACATGTCGGACGGCGCCCTACAGCGACTCTCAGATGTATCCGTTTTTACAAATCCAACAACTAGACGGACGGACCATCCAATCACAGCACGAGTTCGCTTTCCGCCTGTTGAAATCTAGCCAATTAGAGAAGAATTTAGGTGTCGTAGGTTGAGGTCAGCCAATAGGAGCGTGAAGACAAATGGCTCATAAAAACTATAGTCTCTTTTATGTCCTCGGTTGACTCAGTCTGTAAAAAGACCTAGATTTTATGAAGAGTTAAATTCGAGGCTGGTTTACCAACTGGGCACAGCGGGTAACTGCCCGGGAGCCCCATATCCCCAGGTTTACTTCTACTACTACTACTACCACCACTACTACTACTACTACTACTATAAAATTTGCGTCTATATTATTTGACTTAACAAATTTGTTTCAAATTTGCACCACTGAAGTACAATATCAGCTATGATGGGTCGTCCATCTTGTAGACTGTACTTGTGTCAAAATCTTAACACCTGAACTGTTTTAGTTTATTGGTGCATTGTGGTTGTTTGTTGTAAAATTGGGTTTTATAAAATTGCTTTCATTTTTTATTGAATGTCAAGTAACACCCCCAAAAAACTACTGTAAGGTTATTTTCATTATGAATAGGTCTGATCATTTTTTTCCTTAATAATCAATTCATAACCTCTGCCAAGGAGGTTTTCACCCAGTCAGTTTTTCAACAGGATTACGCATATAGTACTGAACTGATTAGCACTAAACCTAATTGGTGGAGGGATGGAACATGGGCCAGGGAAGAATCCATTCAATTTTGGGACTGATTTGGATTATTTACTCTCAATTAGATTTTTTTGTCTCTGAAAATTGATGCATGTTATTTGACCTTGACCTTGGCAGAGGTGTGCACTCTTTGAGTGCCCTTCTAGTTCAGTGTAACATAACAGACTGTAGTGGAAAATGCCTGAGATACCTGAGAATTGCTGAAAAAGTGACTTAAGCAAGTCAATTCAAGTCAAATCAATTATCACGACTTAATTTTCTGTCAATCCATTAATCAATGAATCAACTAATAATTTATGTTCTAGAGGAATGGTTGGTGTCTGGGTGCCTAGCGAAATAATGAAATTGCCACAGTGGGCGTCAATAGGAACCAACAACAAATTTTTGCCCTGGATCCCCGTAGGAGGTTAATGTGGTCATGGTCATATTGACAAAACTGATGACTGTCTGATCACAAGGGCACCTCAGTCACAATTAAGTTTTCAGACAAAATGTAATGATTTGTCACATTGATACATTAAACTACACTTCTAATTTAACTACATTAAATTTTTTTTAACAAAATTTTATTGGAACTCCTGATATAAACAAAAGCATTTTACAACAACACAAACAATTTTATTATTCCATAAGTCTAATGGGATTTTTAAAAAAAAAAAAGGTAGTTTTAATTGTTAGCGTTATAGACTTATCTTGTTTAAAACATAACAATATCCCAAAGCATTTAGCAGTCATCAAATGTCAACAAACATTCACTTATATTTTCTACTAAACTTTTTGTTATATATATATAGAATCAAATATTTGACATTCTGCTTGAACAATTATTTCAATGATTCATAAATTATCAAAATAGCTGCCTATTTTTCTTTGATCAAATAATTGTTACACTCTGAATTGTACTGCCATATATCAGCATCTTGTGTTATGTCTGACCCCTTTTACAAATGAAACATGTCCAGATTGTATTATGTATGTTGATCTTATATTCAAAGAATACTTTTAAAGAGTATACATTGGAAATGGCTCAATATTTTATAACATAATAATGTATATTCTTAAAATCCTGGGAGGTAACACTGATGTATCAGTCACTACATGCAAAGTACAGTAGTTATAATCTAATAACTACCAGTGGTATGCAACTTTGAATACCTGAAGATGTGAGAAATGTCATCCTAACCACCTGCACATTCTACTCTACTGAAAACATACTGCAAAAGGTGGCTGAATAGGCAGGTTAATATAGTAGTATCTTTCCCTCTTACCAATGTAAGTACCCAAGGTTAAAATACTCAGATAATTCTAATAATTCTATCAAATATCACTGTGACAGTGACTGCCTGATCAAATGGCTGTATAAACTTCACTACATTATTAGAATGAAATCAATGTGCCTTGAAATGAACCTCAGAAAAAAAACCAAAATGGTTGATAGCAACACCACATACATGAGTCATTTATTTAAAAACAATGTACAGAAAACAAAGCCCCTGTTAAAACGACAGATCTGTCATCCAAATTGACTGTGATGGATGAGGTGGTTTGATACTGGACATGAATCATGTATAAAGCTCAAAGTCTAGTCTCTTGGAGTTGTAGAACTGAGATCCCTCCTGGTCCACCCTCCTGCAGTAAACACCAGTGCTGAAGTAGCCTTCATCCACCCAATCCTGGAAAACAGACAAGAAGATTAAAGCCCATCTGGTCAGATTGAAGTTAAAGGTAGAACCTGCCTTTAAGCAACCATCAAATATTTAAGCTTTTTAAGAATTTATTCCTTTTGATCTGAGCCCTTGCCAGAATTACGACCGACAATTTTCTTACTTTGTTTTTCTTCCTTTCTCATTTATGTTTGCGTTTTATGTTTTCTATCAATCCATTAGCTATACTGCTTATCCTCCTGATGGTCGCAGGGGGGCTGGAGCTAATCCCAGTTGACAGTGGGCGAGAGGGAGTGTACACCCTCCACAAGTCGCCAGTCTATCACAGGGCTGACATATAGAGACAAGCCAATTAACCTAACCTGCATGTGTTTGAACTGTGGGGGAAACTCACACAGGCACAGGGAGAACATAGAAACTCCACACAGAAAGACCCCGGCCAGCCGAGGCCGTGAGAGTGCTAATCACTGCATCACTGCGCTGCCCTAGCCAAATTACATACAAATTAATTCTAACACACATATTCTGTTTTGAAAAAAACAATGCATTCAAACTTAACAAGTGTCACAATCAAGTGAATGCAAATATATCAGTACACATATTCAATTAAATTCACTTCATTTTTGAGTGTGCTGTTGTTGAACAATATTGTCACACAAGCAAATTCTTCAATTGGTGCATTTGTGCATATGAAATACAGTAATCATAACATTCCTACTAGTTTACCAACCAAATTAACTGGACCTTGTGGTTTTGGGACATAAACCCATTATTGTTTCTATTGATCCAGTGGCTTTGGTGCCCAATCCCCCAAACCTCTCCCAACAACAGCCTGCAGCTGATGGAGCTCACTCTGAAGTTTGCTCTGATCAATTTTCTCACAAAACCAGAAAATCAACTCAAAAAACAATGATGAAGTCATAGGACTGATTCCAATGCCCACTGTCTATTGTTCTTTTTGCATAAGTCAGTGCCACAGGGCACAGGGTTTCTTGTCCATTGGTCCAATGTGTCACCTACATGTATAACAGTAGTGTAATAAAAACAACCTTCAATATTAAGTGTAGTTTTGTTTTAGTGTCTTTGCTTGATGAGTGACTTAATAAAATTGTTTTCCACAAAGGAATGATACACTCCAGTTTTTCCTTTCTTTTTATCCCCTACAAACTCAAGAAACTATTTAAATTGATGAGAGAGAGTACCTGCATCTGCTGACTGGTGAAGGGGCCATAGATTTCTGAATTATCCTCATTTTCCCATTTGTACTGCCACATCACTTCATCACTCACTGAGGAAAGAAAAAATTGGATCAAAAAAAATCAAAACTATATATGATATTGAAGAGAATCACACAGAAGTAACACAAAGAAACCTCTTTTGTTTTCTTCATCCTCTTTATCCTCTGATCGACCACTATGTGTCTCGTCAAATTTATCTGCAAACATGTCAAGTTCATCTTCTTCATTATCACCAGCACCACTGGATTTCTGCCCCACAGCTGGTTTCTTGCTGCTCATGCTCTTCATTAAGTAGGCCAGTTTTTCATATGTTTGCTGATAAATTTCAAACATCCCAGATCCAACCAGTCTGTCAGCGAGTGCTGTGAGCCTATCAAGCTTTTCTGCATCCCTTTTGGTCTCCTCTGTGGGTTCACTCTCTTCCCTCAGCTTTCCCTTCTTCCGTCCTCCAAGACCTCCTAGTCTACGGAGTGCTCTGGCAACTGTCTCCCCAGGTAGCAACAGTTCGATCACAGCTTCTGTGAGTTGGTGCTGTGTGTAGGATGCCAGGGGGTCCTCAGCAGGCTCCGTCTCCTCCTCTTCTTCTTCAGTTTCTCGGTCTGCCTGCTTCTCTTCTCTCTGTTTCTCTTCCTCAGCTTCATCCTCATCGCCGGCTCTGCGTGTTCGTTTGGCTCCGAGACCTTTCTTCTTTTGTTTGAAAGGTTGTTCTTTTATTCTCACCTGGAAGAAGTAACTTATATTATTGCATATTGCTAGAAAAGTTTTCAAACATGAAGCAAAAGCACCTAAAATTCCATTACCCAGTCGATGTTGTCAAGCCAGTTGTCTCTAATCTGTTGTTCCTTTTTGATGAAATAGTTTCCCTCTGAGTCAAAGTGCCCTTCCTGCATCTCTTCATCCAGGTTGAAAGGTGTAATAGAAACTCCCTCATCAAAGTCGATTGTTGCTCCCTCTTGCCCTGAAAACAAAATTAGCATGATCTTAGATGACATAATTACTGATACTCCATGTCAAGGCAAAATACAATCTGGATAGACTTGTGACATATATATGAAGCAGTGACGATGTCAAGAACAAATAAATATGCCACAATAAATATATGAAATTGTTGAAAGTTACAGTTCAAATAATCAACAAGACAGACCATCCACATCATCACTGGCCAGAATATCGTATTTGCTGCTGTTTGTGTCCTCCGCTTCATCCTCTTCATCACTATCAAGGGAATGTTTACCCTTGAACCTGGAGCCTGGACCACTGGCAACCTCACAGCTCTTCACCAGGAAAAGAAAAAATAATATTACATATAACATTATTTAACTTCTCAAGTAATACAGGATGAGTGTATTTCTGCCCTTTTAAGTTAAACTCAGGTGCACCCCTTAAACAACATGAAAGAACGGATTGTGCATATGTACAAAGTATGCAAGTAGAACCTTAGTGACACCCAGACGATGATATGATGTGACAAGCATGTTCCTCAAGTCAAGACAAATGACAGATAACTATTCACTTATATTGTTTGTTTTCCTCTTATACAAGGCATGTTTCTGGCATGTGACTGTATAAGCTGGAAAAAGTATGGAGCTATATAATGTTGCTTGATAGTGAAATCAACTGTGACCATTTAATTGTCAAATTATTGTTGCTAGTTACATTTTTGAAGCCCTAACTGACTATCTAGATAGGTTTATTGGTCAGATGTTACTAGAAGACAGGAGGTTTACTAATGGAAATACATTTGTGTGCAAGATCATACCAGAAAAATATATGTATATAGTAAACCAAGAAAAGAAGCTGCCAAACCAGTGTTGCAGCAACCTCGCTGTAAAATGTATTTTCTATATATTGCAAATGGATGTGTACTGCTTGACATTTCAAACATACTAACATAATAACTCTTGCGTCTGTGTGTTTATTATTATAACATTACTAAACCACTCTGACACCACAGCAGTGTCTCCTTCCTACACCGTAACCTGAACGGGAGAGTGTTACCTTTTTGTTGGGGAGGTCGTCTTCCAGATCCAACTCCCCGATCCCGTCCTCAAATGTTACTTTCCTTTTCGGCATGGTGCTACAGGAGGCAAGACAGCGACTCTTTTATTCTCCTAATGCAACTTAAGGTGAGCTGTAGCATTAGTGAGTACCTTTATTTATGAAACGTTCACAGGGAATATTCTTGTAACGTCACGAGAATGAGCGGTTACACAGGACTTAGCTTTGTTGCTAAAAATGTTAGCCAACAACAGCGCATGCAGAATAACTAAGGCATTCGTCAGAATCCAAAATGTGGATAGAAGTGGGATAACATTTAGTTAATTGATCCAATCTAACTTTTGCACAACACGAGTGTGAAAATACACAAACCAGGTTATTAAAGTGATTTTTAGCGGTAAAATGTGTCAAAACCTGCTGAAATTATTCAGGCGACGTTCGTTTTCGTTTCTTCTTCGCTTGTTTTACTTCTTCTTCCCCTTTTTTCAAATGTCAATAACAGTTGACACACAACGACATGGTGCTTTACCGCCACCACGTGGTGAGGAGTGAGGATAGGATTTCAATCAGAAACTTAAATTGCTTGAGTAAATAAAATAATAATAATAATAATAATAATAATAATAATAATAATAATAATAATAATAATAATAATAATAATAATAACAGTAACTATGAATGTAGCAATTTACAAAAACAAGCTTTTCAAGGTGCTTAACAAATACATAAAGAAAAAATACCAGATAATATTGAATAAAAGTAGAAATAATAGTGAGGTTAATAAAAGTGAGGTTACTACAACACAGAGTAAAAAATAAAAAAATAAAACTTAAAGAGAATTTGGTTTTAATAGATTTATAATTTAAAAATGTAACTTTAAGTTTTTGCACTGAGGGTTTTGCTGTTGCTATAACTTGACTCAAGTTTGATTTGGGCACAGACAGTGGAGATGTGCTGTATGGGATGAGCCTTGCAGTATATAAGGCCTTGTAAGTCTTAACACTTTGGCTTCTTTTAGATTCAAAATTCCTTGAGGTCCATTAGGATAAAAAGGATAAGTGCTTGCCAAGAATAGACACAACAAGTTTAGAAATGGAGAGGGACATTTTTAAGAGGTCATTTTCAAGATATCTATCTGGTTTTACATGTAATTGATACCAGCATTTTTCTTGTTCAAAAATGATACTGTCACTAACAAATATTCACTATTTTTAAAAAGAAGCTTTGTACTTTTCCATGAAGAATCAACCATCTACCAAGGGACATTTGATCTACACATCATCAGAGCTTAAAATAAAAAGTGACACAAAATGCAGAAGTGAGAGAGCTGAGGAAGATGCATCAGACCTCAAACTCAACATCTAGCATCTCACTTCCAGGTAGCAGCTCTTGTCAGGGAGGGGGTTTCAGCTGCTGTGTGTGACCCTTCAGCTCAAGGTAGGCTCAAGCGTAGAGGAGAGAGAATATAATGTGTCAGGATTTTGTTACCAGGAAGTGGGTCGAGTTATTTATATTTCAACACTCGTCCTCTCGTACCCGAGGGTGAACCAGTGGTAGTAACCTGAAACTATATATTCAGGCATTGTCTGAATCTAGATGTGTCGAACTGAGAGAAAACAACTGACTCCATGTTTAGGAACGATGAGGACCAGTAGGAAATATCTGTAAATGTAAAAGAATGTAAAGGCTGTGAGAAGGTGACTGTGAAGGATTCAACATACAGCAGAGGTAAGTCTGTCTATCTATCTATCTATCTATCTATCTATCTATCTATCTATCTATCTATCTATCTATCTATCTATCTATCTATCTACTTGGGGTGACGCTGACAGCTGCTTTAAACCTTAAGCATAGTGATGATAACTTGGAGGTTATTAATATTCATATCAGTGTTGTCTTATATCTTCCTCTTCTTAATAATAATGATAATAAAAATCTACTGAAGTGAATAGTGAAAGTAGAAGAATTCAGTGCATTTACTTTATTAAAAGTACCAATATGTTAATGTAAACATGCTCCATTATCAAAAGTTAAAGCACCTGTTCTGCAGTAAAATGTTCTTTGTGACTGATTATCAATTATGATATTACATTTTTAATACTAATTTGTTGAATTTCACCGTTGTAAAGTGCGGCTAGTTTTAACTACTTTATATACTAGTTTGGTCCAGTGGTTCCCAACCTAGGGGTCAAGGCCCTCCAAAGAGTCACAAGATGAATGTGAGGGGCAAGTTTTGGACTTTGTCTAAACTTTGCTGCTCTAGTGAAATATTGGATAATTTTACCCCTTTAGATCTTGTACAATTATTTAGATAAAACAATTTGAGAAGTTTAGGAGGAGAAATTCGTCTTTGGTGGACACACGAATAAGACAATTATTTAAATAAAAGATAGACATCTGAAACTTGAATAGAAACATCTTATTTTGTGAACTGACACAAGCTAAAAAGGTTGGAAACTACTGGGTTGATCTTTAAAACTAAACGGTATTGTATTTCGTAAGTTTATCATGTGGTGCTTTTAAAATTCAAATCAGAAAAGTAACCTGTCACACCTGTCAGATAAATGTAGAGGAGTACAAAAGAACAAGCTTTCCTCTGAATTGCAGAGAAGTATAAGAGTATAAAAGTAGCATAAAGCTGAAATTTTAGTTAAACTCAATGTAAATAATGTAAAACACACAACAAATGAGACTCTCATAGAATGGGAATATGTAAGTACAATAGTTCAGTTATTTTCCACCACAGTAAATGTCTTCTAAATGTAAAAGCAGTTTCTCATCTTCAGGTGTTGGGATGAAGCTCCATGAGAAGATTTTGACCCATTACCTATCATGCACCTCTCCAGTAGATAAAGAGGGATATCTCTACAAGAAGGTGTGGGAAAACACGGATCACTGACAATATGAAATTACTGAATCTTCCCGTATGAGTGCAAATAAGTGCAATAATCCTACTTTACTCTGACACATGTCTTTATAGAAAGAGAGAAATGCCACCTACCAGCGGCGGTGGTTCGTCCTGAAAGCAAACCTGCTTTTCTACCAGGAGCGCCCAGCTGACCGACACCTGCTGGGCGTCATTGTGCTGGAGGGGTGTGCAGTGAGACACTATGAGTCTGATGGACGGTTTGCCTTTTCCCTGGTGTTCGAGGGGCCCGGGCTCAAAACCTACAGATTTGCAGCGGTGGATCATCAGACTCAGGAGAGCTGGGTGAAAGCTCTGCTGTCAGCCAATCACTGTTACCTCTCCCTGCTGGTCAAGGACCTGGGGAGGCAGTATGAAGGTGTGTTAGTGTTGTTATCCTCAGACCTATTGCTACAGGCTGAAGTTCATGAATTTCTTTTGAGCCTTTTAATAATGTTTGTCTTTAATAGGCTTTTTTTTCTTTGCGTTTTTTTTTCCCTTGCAGAGGCTAAACAGCAACAAAGCTCTGGTGACTCCCATCACAGCTCCTCTGCCAGGGCCCTCAAACAGTCCACAACCAGCTTCCTCTTCCCTGTGCAGGGGCCAACAGCCGTGGTGAGGGAGAGCAGAAGCCTCAGTGCCAGCACAGTTTTACAAGCACCTTCAATACCGACTAGAGCAAAAAAGTCACCTAAACTGTGGCCCAAGAGAAATGCTCTCGTCACACCACTTAATGGACCTGCGCCTCTGTATGGCGAATGGCCTTTGGTGGGTTTTGATCCACTTGAGGACTTCAGCAAACTTCATGATTATTACGGCCAGGAGGTGAAGAAGGCGAGAGAGGAATGGCTGAGGAGTCGACGGGCAGAAGAGGAGCAGCACAGTGACGGAGATCTCATCAACCTGGGGTGAAAGAAAGAGGAACTGAGCTGGAGTGACTTGTGTGTGTCAAATAGGAACTGAACCTGAAGTGTTAGCGTTTGAGGCCCAGCCACCTGTAAATGTGCTAAAAGTACCTCTGTTTCACATGATCAGCTTCAACCATTTCTATTCTGTTTATTTGCCTGAGCCACGACAGCCTCACAGTGTCCATGGTACGCAATGAGGAACAAACAGAGACTGCTGCTGTCTGCACATCTGCACCTTGTGGACATTGAACAGTGTGCAGATAGGCTCTACTCGCAGAACTTTGACTTGTCATAGTAGGAAAAACACAGGTGTCACTAATAACTTTAACAATGGCTCTGTTCCATTCAAGTGCCCCAGCAGGACATGGCAGTGGCGGCGTGCACCAGGACCAGCTTACTGACGCTGACACAGCTGAATGGAATTCACTCGTGATTAATTTGATCAGTTACACCTGTGTTTATGCATAACAGTTACCGGAGCAATTGAATATTCACATGTGCTGCAATTAAATTCATCCATGGCATAAAAAGGCTTTAAGATACAGTATTAAGTAAAGAGTATTATATATTTTCATTGCATGAAAAAATAAAATTGGTCTGTTGACTTTAATGTCTCATAATCAGTTAGTTGGTACATGTTAACATGCAACCCTATATTTTTAGTAGGAGTGCAGTAAAAACATTTGGAAATAACTAAGAGACATGTGGCCTTTCCCACAGCAGACATTTTGAGCCAACATGAACAATACCAGGACCCTGAACTCAAGGCAGCTAAATGGAATTCAGCCATCATTAATTCATTATTAACGGCTCTCAGAATGAGTTAGTTTACAAATCAATACCCAGCACCAGATCTGTGATACAAAATAAGATGCTGATGCAAAAATGCACGGCACAACTTTGGTCTCTGGTGCAGATCATAAAGAAAGAAACATTACTACTAGAACTACAAAGGGGAAGTAGGCTGTAGTGAGAATTTGTTTATTTTTCAGTCATAAAGAAATGGGATCTTGTCTTAGGCATAATTCTGTTCAGCAGACTCCTTGAAGCAGACAAAGAATCTGTGTGAGATGGTCACAGAGTGGTCAGGATTGTTTTATCTAAAGCTCCTTAGAATACAAAATTGTGGAAAACATAGAACAATGAAAGCTGGGATGTCACTTTGCTCCCATGGCAAATAATCAGTGTGTAGGAAGGTAAACAGCAGAGGGTGCTGCAGGCACAGTCTGCTGAACCTGGAGACAGACTTCAATCATAGCTCTGTGATTTACATAGAAATAGGAAGATCATTTATGGAAATACGCAAAAGACAAAAAAGGCTGTTTTGGAAAATTAAGTGTTTAATTGAATTATCCAATCATTTACAGGGAACATTACAACATGACACGTCTGACTTTCATTTTTATTAAATCCACTGTGTCAATTAGACAAAGCAACATCCTCAATGACAAAAATGTATTAGTGTGTAAGTGTAATTCACTTTTTAACTAAGCTGTTTATTCAGCCACCATTTCTCTTTCAAGTTCAATCCCACCAGACCTGACCTGCATTTAAACCTAAAATTTACCATATGGTGATTGGCGTAACACAATCCTGGATGGAATCAAATAACAAAACAGGGCAACCTGAGGTTGGCAGGTGATCAAACACATCAGAGTATAACATTACAAACTCTGACATCCTCCTGCATAAGTCAAGCTGGGAGCTTCTCCACATTCCAAACCCTACAGACAGACATACCAATCATCTAAAAAATGATAAATGGCTTCCGAGGAGCGTGGCAAGAGGTTTCACGTTACAGCGGTGGCCCTTGCAATGTACACACATCTGTATACAAACACTTCCTCAACATAGCAGCGATGAAAGACATTGTAAAGAGGTGCCATTTTGTTTTTTTCCAGTGAACTGCAGCAGCTGACACATCTGTGAAGAGTTTGAGATGTCACAGCTTATTCTCACACTTTTAGGAATGACATATTACAATATAGAAACGAGAGGAGAAAATCTGACAAAAATGCAGATTCTTATTTCAACAAATGAAAAATTTAGTCTTAAATGAAGGTGTTTAGTTCAGTAAAGTGATCATCCAGGTTGAGTCTAACCTAAACCTCCTCCTTAAAAGTAAAAATGACAGTCAAACCATATGGTGTGACACATTTCATTCCTAAACAAGGTGGTGATAATCAAGTGAACCACAGGTCAAAGGTCAATGGGAACACATGGACAGGACTGACAGCTAGCGTCAGGCTCTGGATGTCCTGAACGCCCAAGATAAACAAATGTCTGTCTAATCCAAATTACCGGCGGAGTGGAAACCAGTTAAGAGCAGAGACGTGACTCATCGCTGACCATCAGACTGTCAGGGAGAGGAGACCAGTGGAAACACAAACAGTCACGACCAGAGAACAAAAATAAATTCATCCAATAGATGAGATTAACAAAGTTGTTAGTGAAATGAAAACAGATTATCTCTGAGGTAAATTTGGATATAAAACCTGACAAAACAAATGAAGGAAAGCATTTTGCTCTCGGGGCCCGGCACACTGGCAGACGCTCAAGTTTATTTAGCTATTTTGGTCGCCCTCAGCTGTCCCCTTTATATTCTTCTGGGAATGTCTGCTGCCATCACCCTGCCAAGTAATCCCCGTATATTTAAGGGGGGGTATGAGGGGTAGATGGTGCGAAAGAGGGGTGTGTGTGTGTGTGTGGGGGGGGGGGGGGGCGGGGAAAACAGGTGGGAAAGTATTCATGACTGAGGCCAATCACCATACGCACACCTTGGTAGTGATGAGAAAGCAGGAGTGAAGCCAGAGGTTAACGGTGCTTTCACTTGTCTGGCATGTTGTCGTTCATGTAACGCTGACAACACGGCTCATACTGAAAAAACTGAAACAAGACGTGTCACAGAACTTTGCTTTTTCCTCTCTCCAGCCCCATCAATCATCTCAGGACCGCTCGGATTTATCTCATGTCCCTTTAGAGGGGGCCCGACCCCTTGGTTTAGAACCACTGGACTTAACTTCTTAACTGTTCCACCATAACTGGCTCCACCTTGACCCGGTGCAACAGTAAAGTGCTGCTCACACATTGATGTATAAGAATCAAATAATGATATATATCTGTCATAGAAGTCATTTTACTGCAGATCAAGTGCTTTTTCCTCTAATACTTTAAATGCATTTTACAGATACAACATCTGTCATTTAGTAGGAATTTCCTTGTAATTGTATTGATATTATTGTATCAGTACTTTTACAATTATTTATTCTAAGATCTGAGGACTAAAATGTGTGATCTTGTATCTTCTAAATGAGCTATTCTGTAGTTTTTTGCAAGTGGGTTTTACATATAATTTCCTTTATCTATTTTTGCTTCACAGTCTAAAGTGATGACAATAATGACAACAACGCAAAAGGAAGCAAAACATTATTCTTAATTCACTGCAGTTAATCAAAAGCTTAAAGAGGATCATTAATAGTTTCTTGAAAGCTAACGTAAAGTATTTTCTTTTACACTTTATTGTAATTCATTAATTATGTCCATATTTGTTTGTAACCCCAAATTCATCATGAGAGAATAGAGTAAGACAATGTTTTAAAAAAACAAAAATAGGAAAAATATATAAATGAATAAAGATGTGTCCTTAATACAGTGAAACCCAACAAATAGTTACTGTACATTAATGCAGCAGGAAAGCCAGGAGAGATATATGGGAATTCATACAAATATACTTGCACATGCACAGATACAAAGATATAAAATGATTTCACTCCAGTATTTCCTTGCACAGCTTTCAAAGATAAACAAAAATCCTTTCTTCTTCCATGTTGTTTATTATGTGACAAGATATTTTAATTAATTTTGTTAATTCATTTAAGGAATGACACATGCGCATGCAAAAGTACATTTTTTTCCCTCTTACAGGGTCCCAGTCATTACAACTTCTTTGGGAAAATCCCAGATTTGACATTAGCATCATAACTTTGTCCCAACTTAAAAAAAGAAAGCCGGGCTGTGCACATACAGGGTAAAAGCTGCATCAGTGGCTGACGATATAGAATACTTGTATCTTAGTCTGTAATATCGCAATGGACATCACAAACCAAAAATAAAGTCAGCGAGTGGCCGAGGTGTCTCTCTGCAGGCAGATGGAGGTGGACAGAAGGAGGGTGGAGAGCCAGTGTCCAGCGGTCCAACAAGCATCTATGTCCCGAATGTCCTTATTAGTCCACGTGGGACTGCAAACCTGCAGCATGGTCCCTCAGCTATCAGGTTTACTTAATTCCAAGACTCCTGTGTCTATTTCTGATCTCCTGTAAGGTGATACACTGTCCTGCCTTTCTGTCTCCTTCACTTTTCATCCTTGACCATCCTCTCTCTCTCTCTCCCTCTTTTTTTTTATCGCCATCCAAACTTGAGTCTGTGGCTAAAGTTAGATTGGCCTGTGAAGGGGTATATAAACCCCCGGGGATATACGTATAACGCGGCTTCACACTGTCTTCTCTTTCTTGATCATCCAAACCTCCACTCATACCGTCTCAAGATGGTGAGTACCAGGGTTCCCACATCTCTGCACGCTGCTGTTGGAAATATCTGCAGGGGGAATCAAAGCAACCCTTTGGATTAACTCTGCTTTTTGATGCTTTTTTTAAAAAAAAAAATCTAAGCTTGAAATAATTTTAGCAGAAAGATGAGAGCATTTGCCATTACTTTTAGTGCATCAAGAGTTTTGGACATTTTGGTGGATTTTTTTTTTTTTGTTGATAACTGCAGATCTTGCTGATGCAGTTCTAAGGATGGCTGTGCACTAACATGGTGTTGCTAAATTATAGTTTTACATAATCCACTCCAAACTGCATGCCAAACTCAAACATCTGCAGGGCCACATTAAGGAAAAGGATGCAAAAAACCTCACTTGTGTGTGCATGCATGTCATATTAATAGTAAGATCATAAATTTCTTTACTAACGTGGAGTAGTGGTTCTCAACCTGGGCATCAGGACCTTTCCAAGGGGGTCACAAGATAAATCTGAGGGATCGTGAAATGCTCGATGGGACAAGAAATAAGAAAAAAATATTGTTCTGCTGCACAAACTTTCCTCTAATGCTTGTTTTTAGTTTTCAGGCATCTAACAATAATGAAACAGTGAAAATGAAAGATGTTTTGGAGGAGATATGCAAGTAGACACGGCTTAATTTTCAAATTAAAAAGGTTGGGAGCCACTGCCCGTACAAGACTCACAAGCATCACCGCTGGGTTTTAGCCAAAGCTGTTTAAAATTTCACCCATGTGTTTGTTCCCCAGGCACCAAAGAAGGCCAAGAGGAGGCAGGCAGCAGGAGACGGAGGCTCCTCCAATGTGTTCTCCATGTTTGAGCAGAGCCAGATTCAGGAGTACAAGGAGGTGAGGTTTCTTTTGATACTCCATCCCTGAAGGAAGCTCCTCTTTCGACTGTATGAGCATCGTTCATTTCAGCCTCGGGAGGGGTTAGACGTCTGTGTTGCCTCTGGTTCACTGATAAAGATTCTTAGTCAAAGCTGGTTTGATTTCAGTTTAATTTCTTCGAGACTGTGACTGAAATTAGAGTTTGGTTGAGCGGCTCTCGGATCCATTTTCACAGCAGTTGCTATTTTGCGTGCAACACCCCCCCTTCTCCCCTGACAATTTAATAAGCACAAGAATGTCATTTGGAGGAGCTCTGAAATTTCTGACACCATCTGACTCTCCCCACATTTTGTTCACCTTTGACCTCCCCCACCCAGCTGTCACTCAGACATCTCCTTAAGTCTCTTGCTGAAGGCTGGGAGGCCAGGCAGAACAACTGGACCGCAGGTGTTATTATAACGTGGAAAAGAGAGAGAAAAAGGTCATAACGCTGTTTGCACATTTGAAGATTTGCTGTTTTCAGACCCCATTAAGAGTTCTCCATCTCAAGATGGCCGTTAAGCACAGAAACTGAGATCCACTAGGTGTAAGAGTGAGGTGTGAAGGGTGTGTGCCGCAGTTCAGAAAGGTCAGGAAGATGGGATTTTATAAGGGTGTGCTGTCAAGAGATTGGATAATGATGGTGTCTGTGTTTTCAGTGCGTTGTCAAGGCATATGTGCTCTGAATAGAGGAAACATTCCTCCTGTGATAAGTGATACAGGCTTCTTGAGTGCCACTTAGGGAATGTATGGCATGATGATTAGGATGATCTTAGCGCATTGCAAAGATGGAAAAAATAACAGCCAGGGGGGGTGGGGGGTGGGGGGGTTGTTTTGTGTGTGTGTGTGTGTGTGTGTGTATGTGTGCGTTTTTATCTGTCAAAGCAAAGGAAGTGAGTGTGTGAAAGAGAGGGAGAGAAGGTGACGAGAAAGGTCGGTGGCTAAGTTCAAGTTCAAGTCCAAGAGGTCATCTTAAGTTTCATAGACGCAAGTTGTAGAGGGTGAGCAGCTCAGACAGCTGTTCCCTAATGACACTTTCCCAAATTAACATGTAAGAAAAAACTGGGGGCCACCTTAAGCACCCCCAACCAGTCACCCCCCCCCAGCCCCCAAGGCCACCACAGTCGGGTCTGACTCTTTGGGTGCAGCTTTTTTCCTACACAATATCCTCTGACAACATTTGCACAGCGCTGTGTCAAAGATACTCGCCAGCTGCCGCTGTAATGGACAAACTGTTGACTGAGGAGTCCTTAAAAGTGTGAAGAGGTCTCAGCCTGTCAGACACCCTCTCCCAATCTATCTTAAGTGCGTCCTTCGAATAGTAAACCAAGCCGGCTTCTCTCTCTTTAGGCCTTCACAATCATTGACCAGAACAGAGACGGTATCATCAGCAAAGATGACCTGAGGGACGTGCTGGCCTCAATGGGTGAGTCTGGATTAGACGTCTGTGTTGAGTATGTGTGAATATGTGTTGCATGGTCTCCCGTCCTAATCCCAACGTCTGTGCTGTTCAGGCCAGTTGAATGTGAAGAATGAGGAGCTGGAGGCCATGATCAAGGAGGCCAGCGGCCCCATCAACTTCACCGTCTTCCTCACCATGTTCGGAGAGAAGCTGAAGGGTGGGCATCACATTTCTTACCAGCACTCACCCCCACGTCGTTACATCTACTCAAACACTGTGCTTAGGTTCAATTTTGTGGGCACTCCTACTTTCCTTGAGTGTTGCCGGTTACTTTTCAAGATTTTTACAAACAAAACATATGGTCAGCTTATAACACACTGTATGATGCATTGTTAACAGTATATTAAGTACCACCACCTCGACCAAGTGCAACATTTAAATACATTTTTATGTAAAAATATGAATATTGTATATTGTATATTGAGTACTTGTACATGTGCACTTTGCTGCTCTACTTTTCAGAATGAATGCAAGATTTTTATTCATAATGTCCTCCTTTTCCTGTCAGGTGCTGATCCCGAGGACGTTATTCTTAGTTCCTTCAAGGTCCTGGACCCCGAGGGTACTGGATCCATCAAGAAGGAATTGTGAGCACTTTTTTTTTTTTAAATTAAATTTTTTTATCATTTTACTATAAGCACCTGCTCAAATAGGAAGAATTTGATTTTGGCCTCTAAAATCTGCCTGTTTGCCTGTTGCAGCCTCGAGGAGCTCCTGACCACTCAGTGCGACAGGTTCACCCCAGAGGAGGTAAAGTCACCGACCTGTTAGAAGAGTATTTTATGGTTTTTGGCAAACTGGCCCATGACTCTCAACTCAGACTAGATTTTCTTTTATTTGTAACAATTTTACTGAAAAAAAGACATTAGCTACATTAGCTAAGAGACAGCATCTGTGTTGTATTTCTTCCATTGTCTGGTCTGCCCTTATTCTATCACATGTGCTGTATGTCCCCCACTATGTCCGTCCATTGTTTAAAACGTTTCGGATCGTGCGGAGTATATTACCTGAACAAAAGATTGTTAGTTGTCAAAAACTGTTTAAATTTAAAAGTTTAAACTGGGTTTAAAATGAGGCATTATGTAAAAATTGACATAAAGGTGTAAACTTCAGTCAGGGGAGAACTTGACCAATATCTCAAAAACATGATGTATTCCTTTAAAGAATATCAGCAGGATTTTTCCATGCTGATTTTTTCCAACTTTCCTTTTCTCCCTCAGATTAAGAACATGTGGGCCGCCTTCCCCCCAGATGTTGCCGGCAACGTAGACTACAAGAACATCTGCTACGTCATCACACACGGAGAGGAGAAGGAGGAGTAAAGAGAAAGCTCGAAGACAAGAAAGACAGCAATCCCTTTGCTATTCTGCCTTCCCTGCCCTTTTCTTTCCTCTTCTTCCTCCCTGCTCACGTTCTGTGTTAACCCATGTGCTCAGCCGCTCATGCTCAAACCAAAGACTTGTCACAATGACACAGGAGACGGCCGATGTCCATGGGATGTCTATGTTTGCTTATGGGGAATAGGGATGATTTCCAATAAAATTATCCTGTAACATCATTTCCATTCAAAAGCTTTTCTCAAACATCTTTTCTTTCCTTGCAAACATCGTCTGTCTTCTCACCTCCACATCTCTGTCTGTCCTGTCACTTCAGCCCTCTGAGGTGTTTGTATGAATGAAATGTGTCCCTCTGCTGTGGGAGTGCACAAATGACAAGGGCTTCATTCCAAATTTTGAAGATGTCCTGTTGGGAGGGGGGTAAAAGAGGTGAGAGGAGGGAGACTGCTGGCAGGTTAGAGAGGAAAAAGTTGCTTCCTTAAAGTGAAGACAACTTTTTTTCCCCTTGAAAAGTTCTTGAAAAAAATGAGGGACGGAGCGGAGACAAAGGGACGAAAGAAAACATTCAAGTCTTCGATTTCTTTCTCTCCGCTCCTTCCTGCAACCATTAAATCATAAGCTGTCTCAACTCGAGTGACTGGACTCTTCCTTGCCTTTCCTCTGTAATGAATAAAAGGGACGAACTGTGAATAAAACCTCTTTCCTTTTGTACAATAGTGTCTCTGTTCAGTGGCTCTGCGGGACAGGGTTTTGAGGGAGCAGACATCCCTCATGAATGCACATCTAGTGACACCTAGTGGAGCTTCTTTGTACCTGCATGTACAGACAGGAGCCTCAGAGGTAAATCTAACCCATGCGGATCAGCACCTACAGGATATTGCTGCATTAATAGTGAATAAATGACCAAACCACCCATTATAGCAGTGGCAGCTGAACCCAAAATTCATAATGTTTCTAAGACAACACAGCTCATCACTACTGTTATTAATCCATCAGGATTTTCACACGCAAACAAGACATCCTCCATATCAAGGACAAAATTACTGTGACGATTTAATATATTATGGTTTATTACTCATCACAAATGTCATTATCATCATCAATTAAATACATCAGTTGTAGATCCGAAGGAATGAATTCAATTAGCTATGATTTTTATTTTCACTTTCGCCAGAGAGAGACTGACATGTAAACTTAAAAACACAACAGACATTAACGGCATGGGGAGGAAAAGAAACAGCTGAAATGCTTTTGTCGATGTTTGCATCAGTAGGGTCATTCCCAATCAACTGAAATCAAGAGCGACGATTTCAGGATCAATGCGGAAATGCACTAAAGGACCTGATAGAAGTGGATTTCTTGATTCGTCCTCGATATTGCAGAGCTAAGTGCCGATTCCACAGGAGGAAATCACAAGCTAGCAGGAGATGAATTTGATCATCGCGACATCTCGAGCACCTCTGAACAATGAGAGAAATTATGTTATTGTCAAGACATGAGCTGCGAGGACGTATTGCTCATAAAGTATTGTAGTCCACAGGCCTGAAAGTGTGCTCAGAAGAAAAAAAAAAAAAAAAAAAACCCTACCGAAGCACAAAATTCATTTTTTCCCATGGTACCCATGTGATCATCACAATCAGAGGAGAAATCAGTGCTGCTGTCACCACACACTATCAGTCATGATGGAGGAAGGTTTGCATAGATGTGTTCAGATTTCCCTCACTAACACTACACTAATCTGTGCCTAGAGATGCACTGGCGTCAAGATAGAGGAGGGAGTGAGTGTGTGATATTTATACATTTCAATGACAGCCATGTAAAGACTTGAAATAAGTGAAAAACAGTGACTATGGGAGGACATGTTGGCTACAATTACACGCAAGTCCCTCTAATCCTTTAACTATGAAAACAGTACAGTTAAAGAGCATCAATGTTTTTTGCCATCAAATAGTTTTACGCTAACTACCTGGCACTATTCATCGTATACTGATGGGGTTCAGTGCCGTTTAACGTATGCATAAATATATTACAGTACAAGACACTGAGTGTAAATAGGTTAGGGAGTTAGTCCATAAGCCATTATGAATGTTACAACACAACCTGGTGAGACAGACATACTTAAGATCTTCAATTAAAGAACTATTCAAAGCTCAAAAATCACTTCTTAGTATATTATACAGTACGATTAAGACCTTCAACTCCCAAAGTGTTCTGTCTGTGTCACTCGTCTCACGGTTTGTTCTGTTAGAGATCCATTTTTTGCACTCAAGTTGGTTTAATACTGCACTTCAGTAAACTGGAGACTCGTGAACCTCAGCTGACCAAAGCAACAATGACAGTTAACTTAAACAATAGCACAGACATGCATCGAGTTTGTTCGTGTAAAAGCAGAGGACTTAACGTGCAAAAGAAAAAGAGAAATCAAAAATAAACACTTTAAATGATCCCCCTGCAACTACACCGTGTAGTCGGCCATCATTCCAGTCAGCCAGGTGTCTCTTACTCACATAGAAAAATACTCAGATCCAAAATAATAATAATAATAATAATAATTCATAATATACTATATTTGATTAAATTAACCACTTTATACATAAATACATCAGAGCCCGAAGGTCAAAGATCAGAGGTTAATGCTACATTGGCACACCTGGCACCTCCAGTCAAGTGGCTTCCTATAGGTCCTCGAGGCGCAGCTTTTAAACTGTGAAACTGGCCAGCTGAGACTCTCGTGTTCTACGTCACTATGCTAACGGAGAGGGCAACTTCAGTGGTGCTTTGTGACAAAATCACAAGTGCAAAAATCATCCTTCATTCACTTAAGATAGTTGAAATCACATTCTAATGGGCTGACGAACTTAAGCTCTTACCCATATTGAAATTTGGCTAAATACATGCATATATGATTTTGTTCGTTGAAAGCAAAATAATACTAATTTGTACAGATGGACATTTGGTCTGCAGGACTCGTGTACGGTCACTGCTGGGTGTTGCATATTTTCCCACGACCAGTTTATTTGTGATGTTGCGCCTGCTTTTTTTTTTTCTTTTTTTTTTGCAAAAATCAACCTCAGACACACAAAAAAATGAAATTGGGGCCTTAAATAAAAACAAGAAATCTCCCTGTGTGTTTTGTCAAGAGACAAAAAAAAAAAAAAAAAACACACATAATTGAAATATTAAAAATAACTACCACTTCATGGTGTCTGGGTGTACTTTTAATTTTCTCCCTCTTTTTGTCAGTCACTAGTTAGATTTAGTCCAATGAGAGGAGAAAGTAAAGGTTTGGGAAGAACCACAGAAAGGATTCAATGATTCTAAGCAGGCAAAGGGAGACTGAAAACCGGGAGGCCACACATAGAACAGTAACACATTTCACTATCACTACTAAGGCACACACTCACTCACAACATTTAACATGACAATAAATACATCCTCAACAACATTACTAACATTTCTGTCTTCAGTGCCTGCATTTGAGACGACTTCCAAGGGTTTTCTTTTTTCTTTTTTCTTTTTCCAGTCATCCAGATAATCTGACGGGTGTGTGGAGTGCTAACAACATCCTATGTACTTTAGGTAGACTTTTTATTTACACACTCTATGGCACCGTAACTATTTCTGACAACGTTCGGTTCAACAATCCCTTGGGTCGATGTTTCTCTAACCACTGCGATCAATCTGATTAAAAATAATAAAAATGAGAGAAAAAAAGAATTAAAAAAAAAAAAAAAACTAAAAGAGATAATGACTGTGAATGACCTCTGAAAAATTATTCAGATTCACAGCCTGTGCTCCAGTTGAAAAAGGAAATTTGTCCCATCTTAATAAAACTTGGTGAAAAAGAAAGCATAGAGCGAGGGGCAAAAAGCTCCCCGAGGTGCTATTAAAACCATGATCCAGTTTTCTCCACCATAGTCCTGGGACTACATTAAGTCTTTGAAATGATGCATTATACAGAAAGCCATCCCATTTTTTATATTAATCACTCTCTGTTTCTGGGGGTCTTTTGTTCCCCTGACCTCTTTTTTTGTTCAGCGTCCCTTTTCATTATCCTGGAATGATGGGGTGGAAAACTAGGCCGAATCTCTCGCTGCTGCAGCTCCATTTTTGTCTTCAGCCTCTCCTCCCCCTTTGTCCTTTTTCTTACCCCCTTTCTTCTTCTCTTTTTCTAGCTTCTCTTTCTCCCTCTTCAGCCTCTCTTTCTCAGCCTTTTCCTTTTCCTTCTTTTCCTTCAGTTTTTTCTTCTCGTCTTCCTTTTCCTTCTTCTTGTCTTCTCTGCTTTTCTTCTTCTTCTTTCCTTCTTCCTCTCCAGTTGTGGCATCAGCCGCTGGCACCGCTTCTTTCTTTGAATCTGGACATGGGGGCAGAGGGGCGTTGTTTGCAGTAGGAGAGGGGAGCGTCGGAGTAATTTGCTCAGAGACGATTTTAGGCGAGGGGGAGAGAGTGCTAGGTGGTGGTGTGTTTTGCACTGGGGCTGAAGCTGCAGGCTGCCCCTGTGCTGAAGTGCCTTCTGAGGGCGGAGCAGGCCCGCGTGATAAGCCGGCCGCACTCCCTACCAAGGGGCTCTGAACATGAGGTGCTGGTGACCTCTGCCCTGCCCCTGGGGGAATGGGGGGCTTATGGCTGGGGCCTCGGCCCGGGCTGGATGTTACTGCAGGTGACGACTGAAGCGGCAGGCTCTCCATTCCTGACGGCCCTGAGAAGGAGCCCTTCTTGGTGTGGGAGTGGAAAGGAACCTTAGACTTGCGGAAGCCAGGGAGTGACAGGAGGCTGGAAGAGGCCCTGAGTGGTCCCGGTGGAGGGATCGGGCTTCCCAGGAAGGAGAAGCTGCCGCCGGAGCTGATGGCGGCAGCGCGTCGTTTGTACTCATAGATGGCTCTCGTACCATGGAGCCGGCGGCCCGGCTGGTGTGTCAGCTCCCCTCTGGACTCCCTCCACTTCCTCACTTGGATGCTGCACTCCCTCTCTATGAGCGCCTCTGTCACTGGGAGCGTAATAATCTGGACGACATCAGACAAGGGTGAGACAGACAGAGGAAGTGAGGATTACTAGATCGGGCACTACGGGACAAAGTGACTCATAACTCGTGTCTCTGAGTAAAAACAGAAGCAGATTTTACTTGTGTGCATGTCTGAGAAAGAAATACCCACCTCCTGTACCAATATGTCCTCTCTGATAGTGTCAGGTGAAATGTTTCTCAGACGCTCCATGGTTTCATACATGCCCTGAAGTTCTCTAAGTTTATCCACAGAGCCAAGCATTTGTTTCAGTAGCACCAGGCCCACGCGAAACACTATTTTCACTCCTGCAACCAGAGACTTACATACTCAAACAAATATAAACATTTTGAGATAGAGAAAACTCACAAATGAGAGAGATTGAGAGATGGCTATGAAGCGTGTGGATATGAAGGATACCTTCACAGAAGAACATGTCCCATACACGCAGCACAGAGGCCCATGGTAAGGTGCGCGAGAAGATACACATGAACCACTCAGTCATGTAGAGAATCGGGTCAATCTTGAACTTCTTAAGGTGACGGTATGCCATTGGACACGTGCGCCGCAACAGGGAGAAGAAGATCTCGCCATCCAGCTGGATCGCTTCCTGAAAGGCAGAAATAAAAAAGCTGAAAAAAACTGACATGAAGCTCTGACAAAGACAGGTAGGAGTTCGTTCAGTCACTCACCAGCCCAGCGCTGTAGTAGCCAGGGAGAAACTTCTCGCATATCTGGACGAGGCACCAAAAAGCTTGCTGTGAAAGAGAAGCAAAAGCAGTTTAGATTTGCAAACAACTGCAAATGTTTAAAGATGGAGTAAGCGATTCTGATCCGATACGCTTATTGTCAAATTTAGTGAATATCTTTGTTGAAATTTTTTTTTTTGGGTGTTCCGACACAGCCCTGGCTCTGTAAATGGGAAATGGCAAACAACACTATTCCAGCCAATCAGCAACAGGGTGCATTTGTGGTCATGCACAAGACAAGGGAAGAGGGGAGATGGGGGTAAAGGGGGCAGTTGGAGATGATGAATCTGACACACACTAACGGGTAGTGCCAATTTAAGGATTACATGGGGAAGGAGGAGGAGCAGTCTACCCTTCCGTCACTGCCAGACCATGTGGAGTTTTGAATAGGATTGATTGGGACTGCAGGCAAGAGACCGGCAGAGAGACAAGCGGCATTTTCGAGTGCATGGAAGACATGTCTACCAGTGGCGGAGTGACAGCGGCGACAAGCGGCATTAACATTAGCTACAAACCTACAGTCCTCTCTTCTGTCACCGCAGTTTTGTAAAAACAATCTTAACAACTAACTCTCATTAGTTTTACTGGGTTGTGTTTTGGATATTAGTATGCATGAGGTTGTTTGATGATGTTTTTTATTATAAGGTTTGTTTTGCTTCACCTATGAGAAAGAGCGTCCACGATGTATGAGATGCTACGGATTCTAACACTGTGTCATTGTCTTGACGATGGGGTGTATTTGTTTTGCTGTTGAGTTGAGATATCAACAGTCCTTCTCCAGTTATTACTCACTCTTCCTTTAATGTTACCAGAAAGCAGTAGGATGATGCACAGTCCCGCTTTTATTTCCTGCTTCTTTTTGAGGCTCTTTTAAAAATAGAACAATATGCACATTAATCATTGAGTAAATCTTCTCACTCTTCCTTCTTCCTGTGTTTGTTGTGAGCAACTGATGCCCTGGTTGTATTGTGATGTAGTGACCTTTCAACTTTGCGAGTCGTCTATTCAGAGCTGAAGCATTAAACATTAAGATGAACAATGTGGTATAAGAAAGACCAATAAAATCAACTGGACTGAATCATATAAACATGTGATCCCCAAATCATTTCACCATCAGCTACTCTCTTAGCGTCTATTTTCTCTACACAAGAAAATAGTTTGATAAGCCACGCTCTTATTATTATTTAATTATTATTTTATTAATATTAAGCCTCTTAAGCTGATTGACATAGCTACTTCATTATCATAAGAAAGTAATATATGCCCTGTCTTGTTAAACAGAAAACCAATGCAAGTGAAAGTTTGAAACACTTTCAGTAGAAAAAAGCAGACTTAATTTAAGACATAAACTACAGCAACTGTATTTATATGTCATTAAAATTAACACACTGCTACTTGAGTATCATTCAGCTGTAACAGTCTGGTCATTGGAGCGTCAGCAGTGTCACCAGACTGCTGTTGACTATCTGCTACTATTTTTAATTTAGAAAGTAACATAGATGAAATAAGAACCGAATAAAGTTCATTTTCAGTTTTGTTTCGCTTTCTCACACTCGCCCGCTCTTTTTTCTTGTGCAGGACTCTTTTTCAGGTGAGGAGGGATAAACACAAAACATACATCATTTCTATGCAAATGTTTTTAAACTGGAGCTTGTAATATGCCACTCAGAGATGTGTCATCTTCAAGTTGGAAATCCTTGTCTCATGTACAATCTTACATGGGTGTCTGACATATTTTACATTCTTGTGTGATGCGTGTTCAGGCGTTAAGTCAACTATAAGGTGCTTAATATCTTTCTCTCTACATTCTAGTCCATAGGTGGTAACAGAATTTCACCACAACTCAATATCGGGCCAAGTATTTACAAAGCTTTGAATAGTTATCAGTCTGTTCAGTAATACTGATACATCACTAGATAGATTAGATAGACCCAGTGAGAATCTGTCCCCCACCAGCTCAGCCCCTCACCTCAGCAGGCATATGCATGAGCAGCACTGCAGCCACGGGAGCCTGAGCCTGGCAGTATCCCTCATCAGGCCGGTAGATGGTGTAGGCTTTCAGGATCCGGTACAGATCCTGTTGCCTGCAAGAACAAACTCCAGAATTATCCAGTGGCAAAATCGACTAAAACACTTAACCCAGTTCATGCACCTTCCTTTGACTTATGAATGGAAATCAAACTCACAGAAATCTGAGTGAAAAAAAAGTCCAGTCTACTGCAAACAAATGCTATTAAAAACACTTAAAAATCTTGATGCTTCATCTCAATCACTTAACCAATTAATAAATACTATTATATTTTTTATACGTACTGTGATTTACAGACAGACATTGAATTGATAAAGATCTGTCCAAGATCAAAACATTGTCTGCTAGTAATATTTGACTAGTGTTGACTTGTATTCATGTGCAGATGTTACTTTTGTGAGTAACGTCTGTTTATTTTTTATGTAAAATAGACTGAGTGTGTGTGTGTGTGTGTGTGTGTGTGTGTGTTTTTTTACCCGTGGCCACCACGAGCAGCAAACATCTCATGGAAGGGAAACTGTCTGTGAAGATCCTTCTCTATAATGTCCAGCCATTTAGCCTCTCCCTGCTCTCTCTCCAGCTCCTGCAGTGAAAAAATAAGATACAAGTTTCAGATAAATTCTCAGTAACTCATTTTCTAAATTAGCCATTAAAATTGATTGGATTGCAAAGTCCTGCATGAAACCACATTGGAGAGACCAAACAATAAAATAAAAATGAGAAGGTAGAACAGAAATTCTTCCTCAGACAACATAAACAATACTAAGCTGAGTGCTTGGACCCAGACCCAGCTGAGGCCAGACCCCCCTCCAGTGTTGACATGGGGGCAGAGCTCTGACAAGCAGGATTACCGGTTCTGATAAGAGGCTTACAGCTTGCTAGGTCTGCGCCTGCGCCCCTTTAGCACCCCTGGAGCTCAAATTGCCCTACTCAGCCACAACGTCCCTTTACAATGGTCCCCACTTTGAGCCAGTTACTCAATCAGATTACTGTAGCTTCTTCACAACCCTTAAATATTCTCAAACCAGCAACAACCAAGTTTATATGGAGAGAGAGAGAGAGAAGGTAAAGAATTTAGAGAGCAGATTTTTAGGGGAAAAAAAAAAAAACACACTAAATTTTCATGTTTACATGTCAGTGCATTTGTGGTGAACTGGCTTTAAAAGTATTTTCAAGACTATGAAAATTTAAAAAACATATCTCTCTGCTCTGTGTGGTTTTTTGACATTAGTGTTGTTGACAATATGGTAACAGTTGGAGATGTGTCTTAAGGTCTTAAAGATCCTGAAGATCCTCGTGGCTGCAAGTAATAAGAATATTACTAAATAGTGGCTTCTGAGAGACAATGTCGACCATTTATGCTCCATATTGAGGGGACTTATTCCCATCGTCTACAGAAAGACATGGGTGAAAAATATTGGGTGAAATGGGATTGTTACTCTAATTGTTACATTCTTCCTTGTTTCTCCTTTTCTGTTAAATACCAGAAGGCAACTTTGCCTGAATCCTCACATACTGACCTGTACCTGTGTATTTCTCAGTTTGAATTGATGATTGCATCCTAAACCTTGTTTATTGTTTAACAATTCAGCCTCTTTAATATAAAAATGTAAATAAAAAAAGAAAAGATAACATGGTCACATTGATACCTCGAATTTCCCTCTGTTGGCTTCTAGGAGCTCTTGGCTATTGGACAGCAGCTGCCAGGCTTTGGCTCTGAGAGAAGATGGAATGCCCTTCCTGCAGCGCAACTTCACCTATAACGAAAAAACAGATACACAGGGTATTGGCTATAACATGATGTCAAGTGTAAAAGTATAATCCAAGTACATCTAAAACACATTGAAACACTGCCATTCATTTGTACTTTTAATCTCTAATTAAGTATAAATCCAACAACAACAAATATCTGAATGGCTGCTGTGCATACCTTCTGGAAGCGATGTTTTACCCATTTATCCCAGTTGTTGAACATATCAATCCATTTCATCTCCCTCTGTCTGGCAACTTCAACTCGAACTTCCTTGTCACTGTAATAATGAGTAATATAAAATTACACCATTGCTGACAGAACTTGGAAGTAGTCTTCTTCTTTTCATCTTCCTAAATATAGCACTGTGATGTGTTTAAAGAATATATCAATAATCTAATGAATTAAGTGGATTACCTCACTCTCTTACATTCATTTGCAAAACATAGCGCTGAATCGCTCAGACACAGAACATCCTTCACATTGACCAGAATGCACTGCCAGTGCCACAACTGATCAATACAATTTCAATTATTCAACAGTGGGAGAGCAATTAGCTTGTCAGAAAAGTAGAAACAAATCTGAAGCAAAAAAAAAAAAAAAGACAGGAAATGAGCAGATGGGTGTGAGTGGTGATACCACCGAGACACACAGTCAGTACATATTGAGTCACAAAAAACGCTCTCAGCATTATCTGAGTCAGATCAAGGGGAGATAAAGGACAGACAGATATGTTTAGAGTTGCTGAGGAGGAGAGGAAGACGGGTAAGAGAGGGTGAGACCAAGAAGACATACAGATATCTTTGGGGCAGATGGATGAAAGAGTGAATAAGATGTTCAGGGAAGGCGAATTGGCCGATTAAAAGGAAGATAGTCAGGCAGGATTTACATTCATCTGTGTAAACCAATTCTCTGGTCATGACATGATCTAATGTTGTATAATGTTACAAACAGTGACCTGTCTGCATAGAAACTTCTCTTCTTTCCCCCTATCATACAGCCATGCTGAATATGTGTCTCTAATTTCAGAATATCTTGGTCTTAGCTGTTAAACATAATGAAATCAAACAGTAGACACAATCAATATTCTGCGTATTGGTGAGGAGTGTGAATGAGAAGTTAATGTCCTAATGCTTACCAGCCTTCACTGTACTGACTCCCACCTAGGAAGCCATATTTATCAGTGCGTCTGACAGTCAGGCCGTTGATCTCCGAGTCTGAGCCAATAGAGCTCCCATCCTCTCCCAGCCCAGACAGAGACTCCAACGTCCCCGACATAAGGCTGGCTGACTCCAGGTAGCTGAGGGTATCTGGGGCCGGACGGGGGTTGGGGTTGTGCAGCGGGAGGGCACAGGCCGGCTCGTGGATCAGTGGGACAGTAGGGCTCGGGTGTTCGGCTCTGGTGGGGGTGCTGGGCAGTTCTGCTTTCTCTGGTTCGTTGGGAGCGACAGGCTTTGGGGACAGAGGGGGAGGCTGACTTTGAGGGCTTTGTGCTTCTTGAAGTGGCTGAGGTTTCTCCTCTTCAGCTGTAGCTGAGGCTGCCGTATCAGTGGATGCTGGAGGAGCAGATGTGGGATTGGAACCTGCAGTGGCTTGGGGTTGGCCTGCTGTAAACTGACCACCATCCATGACAGGGTTTGGGTTGTGGGTAACATGTACATTGGGGTAAAGATTAGGACCAGGATTGAGATCAGGAGAAGGGGATGCCTGCTGCACTTCACTCTGAGCCGATGGCTCACTTGAGGGGATCTCTGTTTCAGTATTCAGGAGCTCTGCAGCAGCTGGGCCAATGCACATTGTCTCCAGCTTAATAACAGCTCCAGTTTCTACATCCTTCCCTGTCGATTCCCCTCTCTGTGGAGTAGCTTCATGTACCAATAATGGGAGGGGGGTCTCAGCAATGATTTTAGGAGGACTCAAGGGTGGATGGGGAGTCAAGGGTGAACCCCCTGACCGTGCTGCAGAAGCGTTTCCAGTCAAAGCTTTGTCATTATAGAGGGCAGACTTGGGTAAAGACTCTAGAGCAGGGCTGTTGGGAGCAGGGAGCGCTGATGAGGACGGAGGGATGGAGGGAGCTGCATGAGGATCACCTAGTGCAGGTGGTGATGGGGATAAGGTGGAGAGTTCGGCCATGGTTCCACTCTGATCTCTCCTTTAGAAATAGAGCAAAAATGACAGAGGTGAGTTTTCTCTATCCTAAAGGCAGTTATTCATTCAGTCATAACTGTAGTAATAAATAAAACCATTAGCCGTTTGGATCATTAACAATCTCTTCATCATTTTTGGGGTGGATGGAAATACAAATCATATCAGCAACAAGTCATGACCCTGCTAAATGTCAACACTAAACACAAATGTGGAGTGAAGTGTTTATGAAAAACAGAATTCTACCCATTTTCTATGCAGCATTAGCACAGAGTTCCTCTTCTTAAAATTGAATGAGAGAATTGGATTGGAGAAGCAGCTGAAAAAGTGAACTATATTTTGACATCATGGAAATTTCTGGGATACAGTGTGCAGACATACACACACAAATATGCAGTTCTTATCATCTCCAAACCCTTCTACAGTTGTTTTTATTTGTACTGTCAAATGTGGTACTTTGATACATTGATTCTGCAAACAATGATAAAACTAGTGACAACAATAACTGTGTAAAGCTACATTTCCCTTTTTGCCACACACAGAAGACTATAACGTGCAGTAAAATGACTTACGATGGTAAATGCGTAATTTTGCAAGTTTAATATAGAAAAGCACTCAACTTTCAGCAGATATCACACTAAAAAAATCTAAAAGCTTACACCAACAACTAAATTTTTTCGCTTTACCTCATTAATACTTTAACAGCGAGCTAGCCAGAGTGACAGAACTGCATTAATAGTTTCTTTTAGAGCTGGACCAGTGCACTGGCATTTAACGTTATAAACAAAGCGCCCCGGAAAACCATGGTGATCCAGTATTTTGCTGATAAAGCAGGTTAACGTCTGTAGTGGTGCTTTCAGACAGCTACCAGTTATATGCTAACGCTAATAACACCGGCCACTTTGTTGTCACAGCCTCTCTAGAGGCCTCTCTCGAAGCGACTTAACTTCCCTATTCAGCAAACAGGAGAAATGGTTTACTAATAGCTAATAGTCAACACCCTCCCTGTCTGCCAGGCCCCGGCCGAGCAGCGTCCACGGCCTTGTCCACCCCGTTGCCCCGGTCAACTACAACTTCAACTCCGCTTTCTTAACTCACCCAAGACCGGCGTGTCACTGTGAATCGTCCGCCTGGGTAGCCAGGGGGTTCCTGCCCACACGTCGCCCCGCCACAGCTCCGGTTCCGCAACCTCCTCCGTGAAACTGAAACACGAAAGAGCGAGACGGGGCAGGAGCCGCTGAACGGTGTGAGGATCTGGAAGAGCAAAAGTCCTGCTATCGGCGAGCTAGCTAGCTAAGTTACCAGCTAGCTAAGTTAGCTTATTTTAGCCTGATGTTACTATAAGCATTAGCGCTGATAGTGTTCTGTTTCTGTTAGCCTAGCCAGCTAGCTGGATGTCTCCGTTACCTCGGTTAGACATGCGGAGTCGCTGCGACCACCAAATTCAAGCAATCGTCTAAGTAACAGTTTTCATTCTGTAACAAAAGGGACTTTCTTTGTTTAATTTATCCAAGCACAGCGGCAGGGGTACATCCAGCACCAACCGCCTGCATTTCCTACTGACAGCTACGTGCGTGTTCCCGTCAGAGTTGTCGGGGACACGCACGCATCTGCACAGGAGCCTCCCTTCCACAGCAGGAAAAATGGCATTGTACACTCAAAAAGATACTGTTTCTCGATATTATTTTAAATACAATCCAACTTAATTTGACCACAGTCACACACATTTATTATTTATTTGGTCATCAAAATATTAACCTGTAAAGCACTCTTTACTTACGTACTTTATTACGTTTTTTTACTGAGAAGTTACAAAGTAGTTTCTTAAAACAAGATATTTCCCAAGTTAAAAATGACTAGGGGTAAATTAGTACAATCTAATGATAAAAACACCTATGAGTAAAATAAAATATTTCACTTGTGGTGTGTTTTTGTTGCACCAGTAGATGGCACAATCCTCTTTAATTACAAGCGTTTTATAGACATTTCTGAGGGATGTGGTGATCCACCAAAACACATCTGTTTAACAGATCCACACCCGCACACAAACAACCAAACACGCACACTTTTGCACTCATATCGTTGTGACGACATTATAATGCATTCTCTAACCTCTCGAACCATCACAACTACACTTTTAACCTCAAGCCTTAGCCTAACTCTAACCTCAAACAGGTCTTTAAAGGTGTGTCCCCCAGTGAGAACTGGCCAAAATTACCTCACTCCTCTGGTGTACAGCACACACACACACCTTCCATTAGATACACACTGAGCCCTGCATTCTCACATCTGTTATATCATATAGTGAGTCAGACCAAACATATCTAATCTATCGTATTATGTAGTGTTCGACAATACTATGCTGTAAAACTATGTTAGCAGCCTAATCAGTAATATTTTCACTGTAACAAAAGTCCACAGTTTCAGATTGTTTTGTTTTGTTTGCTGAGAGAATTAGAGGTTTTGTTTGAGAGACTTTCATTTTCATACTAGCAGGCATGTAAATGTTATGAGGATCACCATGGAAAACCACAGAAATGGGGATACCCCAGCAGGCTGGAGTAATGTCAAGTTATTTTGTAAGGGACCTCCCATATACTTCATCTTACTCATGCAAAGCAATGCAGAGCCAACTGGTTGTTATGGAGTCTGAGGACAAGTTTCCACAAGACTACAGAGAGTGGCACAGCCCTTAGTATTGTGGATAAACAACATTCATCATCTCCATGGAAATCTAGAGGTGAATAACTACCAATCACCAAGTGGAAATACTAAAACACGTGCATAAAAAAAAACTGAAAACCAAAATGTGATTTAGGGTTATGAGTCATGTTTCAAGTCAGCACAGACTTTCATTATGACATATACTGCACATTATGATCATAATAAAAGATGTAAATGAAAGAAAAACAGGGATATGCACTGTCATCCTGTAATGTGAATCAAATACAAAACACACAACAAAGGAGAATATGATAAATCTTAAAATTACAAAAAATTAAGAAAATTAAACAGGATATGTTTCTGAACCTCATAAAAGATTCAGTAATCTCATAAAAGGCATTTAACTCTTTTTAAATTATGCAGCATAAAACACTGCTATCAATAATATACATTCATAAAATAAAGGTCTAAAGTCAATATACTGCTTGTAAATTGTGTTTACATTGGTCATAATTTATAAATATATAATATGTAAATTCTACAGGACTGTCTTAACAAGAGGCACAATTCTTTGGTGGTTGTACCAACAAAACAACAAAGGACTCCCAATGGAATACAATACTGAATACATTCTTTAACAAGGCTGTTAAAGTCTGTGCTTTATCTGAACAAATAATTTCATTGTGTTTTATTTATAACTAAGCTATAAATGCTATGCTGTTGTAGACGTATTACTCATACATAACAAATGCAGTAATAACAGACTTTTTAAGTCAGTACCCAGTGCATTTGGAATGAAGCCAATACAGACAGAACCAGTGTCATATTTCAAAATAAGACTTCTGAAACCCTATTTTAAAAAAGCACCTTTTCATAGTGACAATTCCATGTTTGATATTGCCTCTTCCCCTCATTACACCATTTAACGTCTCTTTGTTCAGACCATTTCATGGTTCTCTTGGGAACTTCTGTGTTGAAAAGTTCTATACAATAATAATAATTGTCATTATAGGCTTAACTTATGACTGATCCTAAATTATGTGCAGGTCTGAGACAATTGAAATTCAACTACATTTCAACAAGATTATACGATAAATACTTTGTCAATTAGTGGTACAAGGCACCCCTTAGCCACCTGCTTTAGAGAGCAAAAAAGTGCTGCAATTGAATAATTAATTGTTTATTAAAACACTTTTATACTGTTAACTAATAACATGTTACTCCTTTTTTTCATATAAAGCTTGTGTCTTCCGAGTCTACATAGCAGCTTCTGATGTGTATTACCATACTTGAGGTCACATTAGGAGTCTTTGGGCTTTTCTACTGGGAATGTGTCAACCCATTTCTGCGTGCGGGCTCGACATTGATTCCAGTCATACAAGGGGCGGTACTGGAAGTAACGTTGGGCTTTGTCTGTGCCCACCGTGAAGGAGGTACAAGCCACGGCCAAGGTGTAACGGTTTAGCAACGGTGTGTAGTTATATATGGGGCTCAGTATCCAGCGGAGTAGGTCATTCGCCATGGCCAGGAACCAGAGCACCAGTAAGGGCATGCGGACCCTTCGAAAGTTAAATGTGGACAGGAACTGCATGTTGAAATCCTCGTAGCTCTTATAGGGTGAGTCATCATAGCAGAAGAAAGCTTCCCCTCCGACCGTCTGCGGGCGCTCCCTCAGAGCTCGTGCTGCAAGCACATGCATCCAGGCCACGTTGCCTAGCACACAAACAGGTGAGTGAATATCAGACTGAATGATGGATGGAGCAAATATTTACCTTAGTGGAAGCACTAAGCAATAAAAAGTGAAATGAAAAATTATCAGTCTGAAGAATGATTTCTGTCAGTGCCAAATTATTGATGAATGAACATGTACCTCTTCATTTCATATCCCCAAATTTTCAGACAGTCATGTATCAATCCTAAATTTGGAAATTGAAAAGAGTCTTCTAGCCAATAACCGATGGTGAATATAAACTACTCCGGAAAAAAAAAGAAGAGATTTCCCAATAAAATATAGTGGAATTAGTAAGTCAAGTACTAGCACATCAGAATTGTCTCAGTAAATGTGCTTAGTTGCTTCACATCTGTGACCACATTACACTGACATCATCTTTAACGTCAAGCTACAACTATCTAAGATCTACAGTGTCTAATGTACTAATAGTGAACTTGCATCATCAACATTTATGAACTGTAGATACTTTTATTATTAAGTATAGTAGCCAACCCATAGATTGTAATGTATACAGTAACTTCCAGTTCTATAATGTCTGTATCTATTAAGCCTGCCTTAAGTATCAGCCATCGATACATGAAAGCTAATCTGGTCATAAGCAACGGCTGATACCATGACTGAGTAACAAAGACTCATCACCGCTGAAACCAGACTAATCAAGATTAATCAAAGATGTCATCATTATCATGTCTGGAAGGAGATGTAGATTTCTTGGTTATGATACAAATATCTCTTATAGCTCTTTTGATGTTACAGTGTCTGTGCTTTCTTACACAGACTTCTTGTCAATTATTGTTATGGTCTGAACTGTTAATTTCAGAGGAAGTGTGTGTATGACATCTGTGTTTCTGCTTTTAGTTCCGGTCTGAGTAGAAGTCATTACACTGGGCTTCTATCTTGTTCTTCTTTATACTCTGAATTAATCACTTTCAAGGTTAAAATAGAGCAGAATGTGGTTTGTATTCTCAGGCTATGTTCAAGAAATTCTAACGTGTCTCTAAAGTTGTGGTTGTATTAGTAGGATATAAGTCATTTTAGACTCACCTGCATAGACTCGCCCATGTTCAGTGTTTTCTGGGACGCCCCCGATAATTACGCCTCCCCTTTCAACGCCCTGTTTGTAGAAGTCCTTAATCAGCTCGTGCCCCTCACCGTAGATCCCCGTCGGCCTTAGAGAGCATGTGTACAAACACTTTCCACCTTTCAACTGGACAGGAGACACAACCAGAATTCGGTGTTAGGAATCAGATAGGGAGGCCAACACAACTTCGAAACAAGTAAACAGAAGGGGTTAAAGGGTATGTTCTGTGGGTTTGGACTGTGAACAGCAGGAGTGACACCACAGGAAGGCCTCGAGAGGATGAGTCTCACAGGAAATTCCTTTTATTGTATTTCTGGAATCTAACCAGGGATATGAGAGCAATAAAAGAAACAGCCATAGCTTTCTGAATGTGTTAACCAGTCTAAAAGGTTATGATAATATGAAGACTCTAATATTCAGCATTATCGTCCCCAGTAATATACAGTAATGCACACAAACACATATATCTGACTGCTATTCTGTCTCTACAGCTGTTATCATTTCCATTGTATTGTGAGAGTTTCATTCTTATTTCATCATTGTTTTCAGTTTTTTTTTTTTTTTTCACTTCCAATGTGCTTTTAAATATGCATCACTGTGATTTGGTTGGAAAAATAAGAATATGAATGTGAGGGATAAAACTGTGAGATTACAGAATTTGCCTCACAATGAAAGCAGTAGATGCCATTAATCATTTATCTGTGGATTGAAGATCATAAAACATAAAGTACCTCTGTGCCATTGGCTTCAAGGACAATTTTCTCTGCCTTTGCCTTGCTCTTGGGGTAGGCCATAGTGTGTTTCACGTCGTAAGGTGTGTCTTCGTTGCCCCTGTAGAAGAGAAGAAATCAAAGAGTCAGGGCAGGTATTCGGGATTGTTTTTCTTGACCTTGCCATATGTTAGAGAGGAATGTTGTCTACTCAAGGCCAAATAACCCACAGACAGAGCGTGAGCGATAAAGGGTTAGGAAGAAAAAAGATAAAATGACCTTTAAAGTGACTGTGCCACATCTCCCCTTGCACAGCTCTTATTTTCGTGACTTACTCTGTGAACTGTGAACGGAGAAAGAATGCCAAATATTGTTCTGAAGTGCAGCTGTAGCTATGTGCAAACTTACACATGCACTCCAATTGGAAAAAAAACCCATAAACAAACACACACACACACACACACACACACACATACACACAGACACACACTATACCCACAACCACCATCTGAAACATTGTCATGATCCCGGCTGATGTTAGGTGGACGCTGGAAGTTTGCCACTGTTATTATCTCCTGCCTTTGGCATTTATGAAGCGTGTCTCCTCCTCTCAGTAAAGGATATGACTGTTTTTGCATATTGTAATTATCAACAAACATGTACTACATATTTTAGTTTGAAGAACTCCTAACTAATCTTTCACAGAACATGTTGGCATTTTAGATTTTTCAGTGTGTTTAATATCTAAGAGCCTAAAATAATTATTTTAAAATTATTTTTATCTGCATCTCAATCTATAAATGCAACAGTAAGTAGTTACATTGACAGACTATTATGTGATATATGTGCTAGATATTTTTCATGTAAGCAAGTCCAGAAAATCATTAGAGAGTAGTGAAAAATAAAAACATGTTGAAAATGTAGAACATCAGACTGTGTTGTTTTGGTTTGATTTTCCATCAGTGCTTTGTTTGTAGTGTCTCCCTCTTATTTGCACACCTGCATCTCCCTAACTGACTCATCAAGACCAATTTATCCACAACTGTGGAGAGCTTTCAACCAGCATGCCCCACCCAAAAGAGCGGGATGAGGAGCAAAGAGATGAGATGAGAGATGGCAGTCAAAGAAGCAGCACATGCAGCTGAGGGCTGACAAGATCGATGCTGTGGAGAAGCAGCCTGTGTGGACAGAGCCAGAGAGATGTATCAGGGAGATAAAATGACTATGAGAAAAGCGTCAGCCCTTTGGGGGAAAAAAGGCAAGTGCAGCCTTTATTTCACACTCCATATTGACTGCACATCAAAGGAATCCTCCCACACACCACTGAATGATGTCAGTATCCAGACCGAGACATTACCCAGTACCCAGTACCCAGTATGTCAGTACCCAGACTGAGAATATGTCCCCTAATCTTTTAGCTTTGAACATTTTAGTAAAAGAAATGTAACGTATTTGTAGTAAATGGACTAAAACAAGTGAAAACAGTGTTAGAGAGACTGTCGAGCTCAATGCAAAACTGACCCCTACAACAGACACATACCTGTGAATAGACTCACTGTGTGTCAAAATGTTCCCGATACCGACACTAAATAAAACACAGTGCGCGGAGACGGAATGTTTGTATAAAATAATCATGTACCTCCGTCTATCTTCTTGTCATCTTATTTTATCTTTGCATGATTGTTTTTGTTGCTTCTGTGCATCCGTGTACCAAAACACTCCACTTGTATTGAGGAAAAAACAGTGCAGACGTCACCACAGCCAGAAACACACTTCTTCCACAACAGTGGACAGCTGGTGCAGCAGTTACCGCCTCTCACAGGTGGAAATCAGGCTACAGTGTTCATTTGTACATCTGAGAGTACAACACTAAAACTGGTTGTATTAACAGTGCACCAGTTGTTTCCGAGATGTCTTAATTTACAGTAAATAGTTACTGGCAGGTGAGTGTTGAGTGTTGTGTAATCATGCTAATTTATTCATTAGCTTAAGTTACAGGTAATAACTGACACTTAGCATCAGGACTGTCATTACATAAGGTCATTAAAGCTTGTTTAACATGTTTGTTGTTTGAGCTCCTGACATTTTGCTAAGTGTGGCTGCAGCAACATTGCATAACATGTTTGACATACCATAAATACTCAGGCAGAACACTACGGTTGGAAAAGATCAAGAGTGATTTATTTACAGGACAGATAAAAAGCCAGAATGTGGAGAATGCCTCCTGCTCAATGTCTTTTTGTCTCCACCCGATCATATGTCCTCCGTACAAGATGGTGCATTCAAGAGCAGAAGAAAGAAAGAATTCAAGACTGAAAGTGCCAAAGCATTTCTCAACATGGGACAGAAAATAACAACCTTGTGGGCTCACTGGGAGAAATACTTGGGCACTCAGTCACTTGGTTAGCAGAATAAAACAGACCAAGGCTCACAAACAAATAACACAGAAATGATGTTTTATAGCTTCACCTGAGAAAGGCGTCTCCGTTGACATTGGGACCAATCACTTCCATGCTGCTGGTGTATACCAGGCACTGGATACCGCACTCCACACAGGCATTGATCACATTTTCCGTTCCTGGTGGGAGAGAAAACATTGTAATTTAAGAGGTGGAGGATGCTGGGGTTTGATAAATTAGACTTTTATCCAATTTTATTGGGTAACATACATTTCTCAATCTTCAAAAAGCCACATGACTGATTTTGACACTGTTGGATCTCTTCAGAGCCCAGTATGTGCACAGTTTCAGATGAATTTGAGAGAAATGAAAGGTTCTTATTTTGTAATTGGGGACATAACAAAATGACCATAATTCACTTAAAAGTGGCCCAAGTGTGTTCTGTTCATCTGATGAAAACATGTCTTTTTCTTTCCTCCATTAAAACCTGGTCTTTATTAGTGGACATGCAGTACAAAAAATATGGTCATTGCAAGTTGAGGGAGTACAACGTTAGGACGGATGGATAAATCATTCATGCTTTATGCTTTAATTTACTGTTGGGCACATCTTATAACCATGAAGCAGCAGTGGGAAACTGATTTACTACACATAATGTACTGTGCAATGTACTAGGATTTGTGCCTTTTCTTGAAATTAATACATTTTGCATTTAACTGAAGAGGAAGATAAAAATATTCCAGTATGTCTAGAGTCTTGACTCTAGACATACTACCAGCTGTGTGAGGCTTTGCGTTGCTTTGAGCTAAATGCTCATGCCAGCATGCTAACATATTCATAACAACGATGCTAACAAAAAAAAAAAAAAAAAAGTTATTTAATTTTGACCTGATAGCATGAAATGAATTTAGGGGAACACCAAAGTGATTACAATTCATCCTAAAGAGGGCGTGAATACGTGGACCAAATGTCATGGCAAGTTATCTTCGAAATGTTGAGTTGTTTGCTGGGTAAGTGAAAATGTTGACGTGCTGGTAGTGCTGTAGTGCTTGAGAAAAAGTCTAGCAAGTCACAAAGATAAAATCTCTGCTGACCATGAATGTCTGTGCAACATTTCATGGCAGTCCATCCAATAGCTGTTGAGATATTTCTGTCTGGACAAAAGTGGTGGGCCGACTGACTGGCGTTGTGATCCCTAGAGACATGTGGCTTACATGGGAGGGAAATTTCAGAAATGAAAACATTAAACCTAAGTAAATAATAAAATCAACATGACTGCATTGCAGCTATAGAAAGCCCTCGATAAAGTACTTTCTAATGTTGTCTTAAGGTTTGAAAAATCAAAGTGGTTTTGAGGGCGCACTTAAGTGCATGGAGGCTCTGCAGGCTAAAACTTGGCCACCTTCTTCCTTCAGGAGTGTCGTGACTGTGGATCTCAGGCAGCACAATGGCTCACAGGGGGTTAAAATCTCCGGTTTGTGTTCTAGCTGAAAGCCAGAATACACGGACTCTTGCACGTCATTAGTAAGGTAAACTCTAACTGATATCAAGGTCCAGTTTAATGATTTCAACTCTTTAACTGAGTTAACTGTCCCCCACCTGCAATTTGTACAAATTTTGGGAAGTAGAGAGAGATCTTGTGTCTGTGTCTGGGGGGAGAGGGAGTTCAGAGTTATTGGAAACATACAGTGATCAAAGCATGAAAACCATTTGAGACCAACACAGGGAGAACAGTTTTAAATTCTTGTAATATTTCTCAACTGGTGGAATCTAAACTGATCCACCCTCTTCTCTTCGGTGCAGTAGAGGTCAGTTAAGTATTATTTCTTTAAGCACATTCAGCTCATGGCCAAAGCGATTTCAGGAATTCAAACAAATAAACTCCAGAATTTCCTGAATGTGTTTTAAACTAGGTTGGGAATATTTCCTGTTTTTCTTATTGTCAACAAACTGCCTTAAAATACCACACCCAACAATGAACTGATTCGACTCATAGACATTGCCTGAGTATCCAAAGCCTGATATATCTTATTCCTTTGTGCCATTGAGCTCCATTGTTGTCCAAAAACTGTCATCACAAACACATCAATGAGCCAAAGCATTATACTCGATGACAAGTTTCTTTGTTAGCATGAAAACAACCACAGTTGTATATTTTGAATCAATCCTGCTTATGCCATCCTGCTTCCCAAAATACCCCCTAGAGCACCAAAAGTAGTCCCCAGAAAATGACCAATTCTTCCTGTTTGCTAAAAGCTATAGTTGTACTACAGTACTATGTACAGAAATGAATGAACCTTTTAAAAACAATAAAACTGTGTATTTGTGACTTGCATCATCAGTAGGAACAAATGGGTTTGGGGCTGTGTGGTGATGAGTGCAAATGTAAGAAAGTACTGAAAGACGAACTAAGTTAATACATACTTAAGGAGTACAGAGCTGCTTTGTGCTAAACAGTCGAGGGAAGGGGGGTAATTTATTATGTCGGGCTTCTACCTGATGTTTGCATGATACTTTTTGATGATACTTACTTGTTTTGTTTAAGTTTGTTGTAATGACACAGTGTTAGGCCACTGAGTCACTACAACTTCATTAAATCTGTTTCACAGACAGTTTTTTGTTTTGTCACCCAGACAATATGGAGTAAAAACAATAGTTTGTTCCAGCTAACATGAACTCTACTCATGGCGCACACACATGCACTCTTTCTCTCTGACTCAGCCATCTAGACAAACCACTCTACAATTCATTGCAGCTGACACACTATTTACAAGCGCTAAAAAGATTTAATCAACAAGTCTTCAGCTGAATATATTTAGTCGTATTTACACCTACAGTAAATGCCAGAATTACTGCCTGAACTCCACATCCCCTAAAAGGGAGGAAAACTCATAGTTAACTTGTGGCTCCCATTCAAGATAAGGCCAATACAGATATGTTGTGCGAACGCTGCCTGTGACTCATTAAACTTGTTTGCATTTGACTTTTTTATTGCTGAAATATAAACATTTGATGTTTGCCTGAGAGACTAACTGTTATTAAGGTGAAAAATAGCCTCTCAAACATTCATGTGACACTTGATCTCACCACTGAAACCCTCATCATAGGATTAGGCAGTTTAGAGACAGATGACCAACCACACTTCCTCAATTACAAAATTACATTTGTGAAGAATTTAAATATAGACAATTTAAGTAAAACCTGCTCTTTACCCACATCTGAGTATCAAGATGAAACCCCTGTCACACCAGAAATGGGAAGTCTCAATTTCCAGCAAAAAGATATGATGTGACGTGTCAGCCTTACCCTATCACCTACTTATCTACTGAAATCATGGGGGATACAAGTCCTTGAAAAGCGTCCAAAACAGGAGAAGGTGTGGATTTCCTCTGTATCTCTCATTAGGTCCCGTCCCTTTTCCTTGTTATCATTTCAGTCACCGCCCCCTTGAGGACTCACCCGTGACGTTGACTGAGTAGATGACGGTTTCTGGGATTCTGTGCCAAACGTCCACTAAGCTGGCCGTGTGGATGACGACATCAGCCCCACGGGAGGCCTCCAACACGCTGCTGTAGTCTGTGATATCCCCCTGAATGACCACCACCTTTGTCGCCTCTGAAGGAAAAACAGGAAGACGCAAAATGTGGCTCTGTGTGTGATCCAGCATCATGACTGCTTTCTTAAAATCTCTAAAAAGCATTTAAATACAAAAGAAACAGGTCTTCTTCTGTTATGATAAGTATACTTGTATATTAAAACCTATAACACATTATTAAAATTGTGATACTGTTAATTATCTGGAAACCTTATCATATTGATGGAAAAAGCCAAAATGTGTCAAATTTGCAACTCAAATGGCCAAAAATGGCCTAAAGCAAGAAGATGCATATTAGCTTGGCAGGCACAATATTGCAAAATCATCTTGTGGCATATATCATCATCACGCCCAACTGCTGCTCAAACTAGACATATTATTCAGGGAAATTTGTGATGTCTCGTTATCTTATATGAAGGTCATGTACCCGCGATTTATCTAGCTGTCATGCAGTGTCCTTGAAATGCTGATAGATGACGAAAGAAGTCCTGCAGATGGCATGTAAAGGGAGTGGACTTTTGGACGTAGAGTCAGAGGTCTTCTCAAGTTTGCATTTCCGTTTGCAAGCTCACTAAGCACAGACGGGAGGTATTTCATTACAGGTGCTCCGTCTGATTCAAATTAGTGGAAACACAAACCATGCAGACATCTCAGATGAACAAAGTGTTTTCTACTGCAGGACAGACATGTCATCTGAGGTTGAGTGCATTTTCCTGAGGGAAAAGGTTAACTGTCGCTGAATGTAGTTTACTGTAATTATAAAGTGAATTACTGTATAATTTATTACATGCTTTATCTTCTGGTTAATTGAATCACAGCCCAGCTGTCCTCACTGCAGGCTGACTGGGTGAGCATGGGAGGCAAACAAAATATAAATGTCTCTCAGTAATTAAAAGTATAATGTCAAACACAGATGGCATGTGAACCATTTAAGATTAAAACTGTGGTTCCAAGGAAAACACACAAACCTTTGCCCAATGCTAATGTCATCCAAAAGGTGATGACAACATTTACAAAGCACACAGTGACAAGTTACAACATCTTTATCCCGCCACAGGAAAAGTAGGGAGTTGGCCATCCTGGATTCACAGCCCGAGTGTCTTCACTGCAGGCTGACCCAGTGACCATGGGAGCGGAACAAAATGTCAGGCTACACAGGATTTATTTTCCCAAGTGCAGATTTACTTAAACACCCCACCACTGTCTCACACTTATAAAAAAACGAGTAAAATATGACATTTTTCTATTCATATGTTGCACTTCTTACTTGCTGGTTAAGAGCAAATAAACTTGTCTTCATCATTTTGAGATAAGACATGAGTGAGATGTAAATAAACTTAAACTCATACAAAGTAGTTATTAATAAAAAAGGGGGCCATCAGTGGAACAAAATCTAACGCAATATAAGGCTGAAAAATAAACGCTGCTGAAGAGAGTCAGGGACAAAACATGCAAATGGACACTAAAAACAAAACTGATATTACTACACAAAAAGTTTTATCCCAGGCCCTTAATTACCGGGAATTAATTGTGTTTTTAAAAGGTGACGTAACGGTCCTCTTCAAACAGATGTTGGATGTTGACAACGATCTTTAAAGGCTTAAGTCAAATTAAAGCAGGAGCTCAATAAAAAAAGGTCCCACATTTAGAGGACGGGGTAAGAAAAACTCATGAAATGTGAAACGGCTTGGGTCGTGTCTTAAAATAGATGTGGGATATAACTCTAATTTAGCCGATTTCAAAATGCAAATTCGTATTAATATAACGAAATATAACGAAAACACCACAACACGGTGGTCACGAACAACCGCCTCCGGCTGGTCTTACCTTTGCTCAGTCCACTTAAACTCGTGTCTACGTGTTTGTCAAACACCCGGACCTCCTCCACTTTGTCCTCGTTCTCCAGTAAAACCCTCAGCATGTGCCTGCCGAGGAAGCCGCAACCTCCGGTGATCAGATACACTACACCTCGCTGTGTTTCAGACATGCTGAGAGACTGTGGTGCAGCGACGGTTACTGATTCAGCTCTCTGCACTCTGCGCTCAGCGTCGGGCCATTTAAGAAGAACTTTTTTTTTTTTTTTTTTTTCCCTGAAACTTTATTAACTTTATTTATACTTCTACTCCATTTTACTTTTTACTCCACTACATTACTTTGATAGTTACAGTTACTGGTTATTTTGCTGATGATTCTAATTATCAATCTATAAAATATGATGCATTAGATTCCACTTCACAACAGTTTGTAGTAAAATGAGCTTATCAAGTGGCTACAAACCAAACAGCTAAACGCATGTAAAATATTGTGGACTGCATACGCAAATGTAATATATATATATACAAAATGAATATATTTCCATATAGGAAATATATTTCCATATATAATAAAGACATAGATGTACAATTATCTATAACTGGAACAATTTCATAAATGGAAATATATGTATAGCCAATACAAATATATATGTTCATGTATGTATGCTTATGCTGTAGACATGTGTTAAGTAATTATAGATGCATCCCAAAGCCTTTCAATATATGTTAACACATTATACACTTTGTTCCAAAAGTCTGAGACTGCCCACCTGAATAAATTATTAAAAAACATTATAAAAAATGATCCACCCATTATATATGTCCTTGAAAAAGGAAATAATAAATGTAAGTAGGCTATAAGACATTTTAATAAATAGCTGTAGTGTGGCTGTAGCTTGCCTACATATGGTTCATATCAAATGTAAGCTCTTCATATTGTAGGCTATTTTCTCCTGCACATTGCAATAATGTTTGTTGATTTGTGAAACTTAAACTACTACTCTTTAATTACAAAAGAATTACATAAAAACAAGGTTGTTAACACAAATATGAAGTTTAATTTATTCCTCCTTTCAATTAAAATGGCCACTTGCATGTTTCCATCGTCTTGTTTTGTTCCAATATAGGCTTCCTACATTCAAATGCCAGTAGTAACAACACTGATTTAAGTACCAGTACGAACAGGATTGATCATGGTCCTAAACAGCTGGATTGGGTATAGGTGAAAATCTTGAGGAAAATGGGAAAGCCGTCTTGGTAAAGGTTGTCTTTTCTCTCCCCTTTCCATACCCACAAAGGGAAGGCAGGTATCCAAGTGCAGCCTGATGTCGTTGGAGCAGCAGAGACTTTTTTTTTCTGATTTGGCATCTTTTTTCTGAAGCAGCTTCAACTTCTCAGGGAAACTAGGCAGCTGTGGATGCTGAAGGAGGAGCATTTCAAGGAGCTGCTGTTTACTTGAAGTGTTCCCATCTGACACTCAAGATAGGATGGATGAAGTGTGCATACCTAGCATAACTGGCAACTTGGTCCGGAGGTCACTGGGTACCTTTAATTGAGTATATTTTTCAATGCAGAACTCTTACTTGTAGAAAGGTATTTTTATATTATGGTATTTACATGTTTCTACCATTGATTTTAAGGTCCTACTAACTGGTGTTTATCTCTTCTATTTAGTAATAAAGTTATAAATGTTTCTGATCAATGAATAAATGCCAATAATTTTCTCAATTTCTCATAAAACATTAAAGGTGATAGGCTACAAGTTTTTTTTTCAAGTGGTCTGAGAGTAAACTAGGCCTGTGCACCTCCTCTTGTCTCTGTTCTTAATAAATGAGTTATTTATACTGTAAATGGACTATAGTCCAGATTGTCTGTTTCTTCTTTCCAGAAGATTAGTTGGTCAAACAGTTACACCAAAGATCTTTTTCACTCAATTAAAGCTGGGGTGGACAGAAATCAAGAGAAAAAAAAGGAAAGAAAAAACACCAGAATTTGAAAATCAGGCCACCTTCCTGCAGCTCTCCCTTTACGGGAATCAGCACTCTTCATACACGCCTCCCAACACGGGCTAGATGTTCTTAAGTGTGAAAACAGAAGAGGAGGTGCAGACGTCTAATTACAGTATGCTGAAAAGTAATTATGGCTTTAATTACAACTTCTTAAATAGGTTGGTGATCTCCTTACCTTTTGTAATTTATTTGTATGTGAACCTACAGACGGAAATATATGCAAAAATGGAAGCAGCTATTCAAGGATACACACTGAGTAAGCAGCTGTCATTGGGATGAATGCAGAGTCACGTATGGATTTATTAATACATCCACTGTGTACGGATCTGAGAGCATATATATATCACGCTGAAGCTGTATTTATAGTGGTGTTACAGCTGGAGTGGTGTCACCTCTGATGCTCCCCCTCAAATTGTCTGTTCTATCTTGTGAGAACAAAATGTTAACTTGATCTAGGAATAGTATCATCTACTGGGACTTCAAGGGCTCGATGGTTTAAAAATACTGTATAATATAAATAATACAACAGGTTTAATTCAGTCCAATTTGGTGTGTCTGTAATTATGTACCTGCATGACATTCACCTTTAGGTCTAAAATATTCTGAGATGTAAAACTAACGTGTTTCTCAAAATACATTTTAGTTTCATGTTTCATGTGTTTCATGTGTACATTCAAAATGCCTTCTCCGTTTGACTTTTATTAAATAATTTAATTTAGTTAATTTAGTATTTTGGAAGAATAAATGTATCTAGAGTTGGACTGAGTTCACTGTCGCACAACTAGACGTACAACTAGAGATAAACCCACAGTTTAAAGGTTACTCACAGTCCTTGCACTGAAGCCAAATTCATTGTCAAGGCTGTTGGTCATTATCTTTGGATCTGAACTGAGAAAAACTGGTCAAACTTCAATCCTTGTTTTTGTTGCATCATGTCAAATTGGAAGCAGGACAATATGATGATTTAACTTTACAGTAAGCTCACAAACCTTTGTGATTTTCATGCTTTCAGATCATTGGAAGGAGTACATGCTCCAGCACCTGTTTAAACAAGGTTTAAACCCACTTACAGCCACACTAGAGGCTCTGCAAGACTGCGAACATGCTCACAGTGATAATGATAAATGTTGCTAGAATGCTTCGAATTTCTCTTCTGGGGACCATGAATGTTTGTTTTTTTTTTTACCCACAATACAACTCTACCACAGACAGTGATTCAAGTGTGCTATTAGGGTAACAAATGTAGTCTAAAGCCACTAGCCTCAAGCAGAGGTCTGGTAAGCTTATCTCTTTCTAACTCTGCAACCTGTTTTTTTTTTTTTTTTTTTTCTCCAGACTTGCTGACAAAGGTGGTGTCACATTGGACGGTTTATCAGATTACACAGCTCCCTCTGGAGCCATAAAAGGCTATATACAACTTTTTTCCCTTATGCAGTAACACTGCTGTAAATACCTGTAAATAAACTCGGAAGAGTTCCCCTTTAACTGATCAGAAATATGGCTCTAAAAAAAAGCTATCCTCCCATTACGGCAACTCATTCTGCATTAAATCAAAAACTACTATCAGGAAAGATTTCATGGAACAATATGACAAGGTCAGTGAGGCTGTGGGTTTTTGACGAAAGAATCTGTGAACAACTACTGTCACCCTCTGAGACAATAAAGCAATGTTTGATTGAACTGTGGTGTTCCAGTACTTTGGTTTGTAACGTCATCACACACCGGCAAGCAACATCCTGCTATTACCAGTTTCAGCCAGCCTTCTTGTTACTCAGAGGAACATTCATAAATGGCGTTTCCTACAAACAATTAAAGTGCCATTCCCAGCTCATGAGTTCCCTTCAAGCTGATTTGAATAGAATGAGTTACACAGAGCAAAGCTCATGACACCATCTGCGCATCCCTCCTTCTCCTTTGTCGTCATCAGATCACTTGTGAAATCTTAGTCTTTTTTTAAAAGTCAGATTTCAAATGCTTCCTCTCACACTTCTCAACGGGAAATGTCAAAGTTGCAGGTGCAGTGATTTCCGCTACACAACTTCCTGTTGTCTCAACTCAGCTAGTTATTTATGTAGCTTCTAGAATGTAAAAGCTGGCAGTCAGGATCCTTCAGACAGACACTAATCATTGTCTACATAATCCTAAAGCTCTACTTTAAGAGTAGGACACTAATAGTTATTTAAGAAAAACTAGAGGTTTTTATTTATTTAAAAAATATTTTAATGCACCATTAATAAAGGGTCCAACGCATTAATACAAGAGAAATATTGCAAATAATATTAAAATAATCATCAAATTAAAAGGAAAAACAATAAAAAATAAATGAATGGAAGGTATGTACATGTTTCCTCCTCATGGAGAGAGGAAAAGGAACAACATATTTACAGCTTGGAATCAGTGTGTTTCTACGAGAAACAAACACCTCTACAATATTTACATGTACTTCTTTGATTTTTTTTTTTTCCTTTCATATTTTTATCCTGTAGTAAAGAGGGTTGGTTTGTACTGAAAGGCTTTCATTACAACAAGAAATATCTTACACATTTTCCTGTTTGGGAGGGAACGAAATAAAAAGAGTCGTCTGCTAGTTAAAAGTTCAAAATGAAAGTTAAACTTTGGACGGCCATAGCCATATGAAAAACAGAGACAACACAAGGGCCAAAGACATCCGTCTGTGTGCAGCGTATCGCAAACCTACTCAGGCTTTATCTAACAGGCACACAGTTTATACCTTCCACCCATCTACACTGCAAACAGATAGTAAGCAGGACATTTGTTTGCCTTAAGCTCATACATTTTGCAGGGAGGGATGTTTTGGGGTGAACACACTCTCAAATGAACACATACTAATGCATACTGGAAAGGAAAAGGGAAACTAAACCTTTAAAGAGAGCTGACCTTATGAAATAAATGTGCCTTTTAAAAACATCTGTAGCACACACAGTGACTTAGTTAAACAGTGACCAGACATTTTATACCAGGACCTGCAGGAGTTTGGTGATCATCTTTGCATTAATGGCTGAAGAAAGAAGAACTCGCAGAAAATGTTTTCACCCTATTAAAATAGGAATCTGAATCTGGCGGGTAAACAAAACATAAGGATACTGCGGAAGGAACAACTAAATACAGACAAACAGACGGAAAGAAACAGATCCTATCAAACAATCTCTCAATGAGTCCTACTCGCAAGACCTTTTGTTGACTTTGTTAGCTCAAAGACGAAAAATAGCCACAAAACCCCAAAGGAAAAAAAAACAAAATACAGGCCAATTTCTGTTGTGCTGATCCTGCAGACAAAATTCAGCAGCCATGTAAAAATAACGCATTTTTAGCCAGAACTTAACTGACATATATAATTTCACGTTGGGTTAAAAACAGTAGCTCAAAGGACTTTACTCTAATCCAGACAGATGGTTGTGGCAAATCAGGTATCAAGTAACGCACAGTGAAGGGAAACAACAGTTTTATAGGGCTGGTGAATCACAAGCCACTGAGGACAGTGGGTGGGTACACTGAAACTCATTTCACTGTAAGATACTTACAGCTAATGCAACTAAATAACAATACCGTTAATAACAGCAATAGTAATATTATTATAATACTATGAAATAAAATTAAAAAAAAAGCTCCAAAACAATCTTCACACTTGGAAATCTTGCATAACTGAAGACCAAATTGACTGAAGGTTGTCATCTGAAAAGTGCGCCCTTAACAAGCGCTTTTAAAAACCCTGAATTTGTCTGATATTCCTGTGCGTCTGTGTGCGGATCTGTGGGGTGGGTTGGTACAGGGAGGGATTTGACACTGGAAGAGTGATCCCAGGCTGCAGATTACGTGAGCTGATGTAGACATAAAATACCTTTGTTTTGTTTTTTGTTTTTTTTTGTTTTTTTTCAGTTTTCATTTTCTTCCTTCAAACGGATATTGGCATGGAAATTGAAAGACCTTTCATGCCTGGCTGCATGGGACAACTTGGTTGGAACATATTACCCAATCAAGTCCAACAATACTGCCACAGAAGAGCTAATGCTGAAGCAGAGGCCCCCTCTTATTATTCAAATGCCAGGTTACACAAACCAGCACACACTGGGTTGTGAAACTGCCAAGTGAATGAAGTGTGCGTCAAAAGTGCAATTGTGTGCGTCTCTGTTTCCCGGGTATTGTGAAGACGGCTGCAAGGCCGTCCGGAGGAGAGTCGGGGTGGGGGGGTGGGGTGGGGTGGGGTTTGTACATTGTACACTCTGAGGGAGGACAAACCAGGAGGGGTGGCCGGTCTGGATGGCCATTGGCAAGTGAGGATGAGAACTGCGTCCACTAGTTCAGTGTCCCACGGCAGTTCTCTGTTCCACAAAGGCAAGGGATCTTGTTGTCCTCCAGGGGGAATTTATAGTCGTAGGTGATTTCTTCGTTGACAGCAATGGCCTGCTTTGAGTAGATCACAATCTTTTTCTGGGACTCTATGGTGATAACCTTAGCGTAGCAGTTTGGCTGGAAGAAACGGAAAGTAAGAGACTCATAAGGAACAGCTCTAGAAATACAGTGCAATAAAACTAGTCATGTGTCATAGTTAGCTGTCACCCATATCAACACATGGACAAGTGTTGACTGAGGATGTTCACACTCACAGTGCAGCAGTGGTTGATGAATCGTGCCAGGTTACCACACTTGGTGGCATCTATAATTGTGTCGTGGTCCACTCTGAACAAGTAGCTGCTCCCAATGCCCTGCTGCGCGTACCGCTTCTCTCGATTGTCAGCCACCATCTGGATATACACAACACACAAAAATGTCCTCACTGACACTGTGTTAACACACCAACCACAACACACAGGTATCTGAAAAGGTGAAGGGGTGCATGAGTAACTGTCATATTAACAGGGCTTTATATTATAATGCACCAATAATAACAATTCTTAATGGGATGCTTCCAGATGTATTATGCACAACTTATTGATTTTATAGATAGATGAAATTGTACCTGTCTGATGTTTTGACCCACATACTCGATGACCATCTCATCAGCAGCAATGGGCTCCATGGCAAACAGGCCCCACTCGTGGATCCTGCTGCGTCCAAAACGAAGCTTCTTCTTACGGAACTGCATGAGGACGAAAAAGACTCGCTCTAACAATTGTCTTGGTAGATTCATAAAATTTATAAAGCAAGAGTCCTCAGATAATTATTGGGTTAAGCTCCAGGCATGAACAAGGCTCTTCACTGAGGTTTATCAGAGAAGATAAACAAGTGTACAAGTTTCAATAAGTTTATAGAAAAAGAGGCAAAGCATTAGACGGTTGGGTCTTTGCCCAAAACAGCAAAACACTTAGTGCTCCAACATTTGATCATTCAATCTGAAAAAAGTCCACCTTAATAATAAAATCAGATTACACATACATTTTACAGCATATGTAAGTAGAAAATGCTAATTTAAAAATATGCATTTTTAGTAATCCACAGTTTGCAAGCAGATTGTGAAAACAGCCACTACCTAAAGACTTGACCACAACCCAACAATTTGACCACCACCCTTCTTTACAGTGTTGCTGGTAAGCAGGGACATCAAGACAGATTTTCCAAGACAGCTTTAAAGCTGTTTGGACCAACAGTTGACAAAGCTAGTGGTTTACACCTGCTCCCAGTGTTTTTGAATGGCGGTGTTTTCTCTGGATTTTGTCTGCTTTGCTGCTGAGCAATATGCTTTTCCTTGGATGTTAATGGAAGAGGGGCCCTAAAAACATTAAAAATATATATAGAATACAAAAATATTATATTAAGACTAGAGCAGGGAGTATTATTTGGTCAGTGAAGTCTTTTAGAGAGAAATAAAAGTAAAGGCAGTGACATAAACTTAATTTTTCTGAGGACTGCACAGTACCCTTTTATATTAATGCAAGTATGTTTCACTGCTTTGTGAAGATTTCATCTTTTTCTAAAGGGATTATTGGGAAAATATTGTATGATAATTGAAGTGTGAAATTTTGATATTGGCACATGCTAGTGTCTACTTTCAAAACTGTCGAGGACTTTATGTGAAGAATAATGACACTATAATTTAGAATAATGTGTAAAACTGTACCATGTGCATGTAATTGAGTGAATACATGAGGTAGCATGATTGCCATTGGCTGTACCTTAAGCTGGTTGAGTTTCAGCAGGTCGGAGTCCATGACAGCCGTGGTGCCGATGACGGTGAGGAGTCGGCGCTGCTCAGAACGTCTCTCTGATAGCACCCGGTTCACTCCCTGGTAAGAAACAGACAGCGTAATTAACACAATAATATGTTACCATGTGACCAATTCAATTGGAGGAAATTGAACCAGCAACGCCCTTTGAGTTTAACAGACAAAGGCTAGTAAGTGTGAATGAGTTCATTGTGAAACCACTGACTAACAAGGCAGATAAGATTGAGTCAGAGGTAAGTGGAAGGACACTATGCCTGAGATCTTCCAGCAAGATACTACTAGCGGTTCCTAAATCTCAACTGGTCAAAGGTGACCGAGCCTTTGCAGTTCAGGCCCCAAGGCTGTGGAATTCACTGTCTGGAGATCTCAGGCAGGCAAACTCAGTAGCCACTTTTAAAGCTATTATAAGACTTACTTTTATCGTTTGGCTTTTTCTTAACTGCTGGCTTTGGTGTAACTTTAACCTTAATTATTTGCTTTATGTTTTACTATTGTTTTTTATTGTTATTATGTTTAATTGTAAAGCACTTTGTAACTTGGTTTTGAAAGATGCTATATAAATAAAGTTTATTATTATTATATTATTATTTGTTCAAAACATTTAGATTGCATGGTTTGCAGCCAGTGAAGAAAGGTGATTCTGGTTGTAGCTGGCGGGGCCATCTAAAAGTCCTAGAAAGACCATGACTCATTTGTGCAACAGACGAAACCAAGTCAAAACACAATTAACAACTGCTTCTTTTGTTCGTTTTGATAGTCGAGACTGATTCATGTATGCCAAAAACTGGGACATTAACTTGACTTTCTGAGGGGAAAGAGGGTGACATTCAAAGTTGGTAATAGTCAACCTGAACAGCTGTATTATCAACAAAGACTTAGTGTTTATCAGCAACATACCACTTGAAGCCTTTCTGACAAACACCACCAATGTGCTTTGAAACATTACTACTGTTTACTCCTCCACAGTTAGACCACCAGGTAGACTAAACCACATCACTGTGTACCCAAGAAAAGGTGCAGACTCTACTCAGAACAGTGTTGACACCTCAAAGCTGCTTGACTGTTTTGTTCATACCAGCTTTCATGTGTTTGATGAGATCCAAGACTGATGTGGTGTCCAGTTACATTTCATTTTGCGCCAAGTTTGTACCACTGTATCTCTAAAAACACCAAAGTTACATCTAAGCAAGCCTTGGGTATTGAAAAATCTGAAGTGTGTCCCTTGAATATAGCGAATTATGTTTTTCTCCATGGTGACAGTGAGATACAGTGGAAAGCAAGAATGGAAAATGCATTAATTCCAAATCCGACCATTGCATAGCAACAAAAGCAAAGTATGCTGATTTTCCCTTCATAAACCCCCAACACCAAATATCAGTAGCTGTTTGCAGATGAACTTTATGTCCAAGTATCCCTACCACTCCTAAGAAAACATCTGGCAGTGTGTGAGTAATAACAGACTATGGAAATCATCAATGGTGAATCACATGAAAAATCATAAATTCCATGTGTCACATGGAGGCTGTAACTCCTGATGTGACCAAATAAACATCAATTCAATTCAAAAGAGGGACAAATGTTTACGAGACAAAGAATGAATCAATGCTGAAAATAGCAAAATGACAGCTGAAATAGCATATGGGATGGTTGAAAGTGTGTGTGGGTCACTCAGGCTATTTATACACTAAATTATGCTAGAACATGGTATGCATATGTAGTAGTGAGTTTGACATTTAAGAATACTTTATATTGTCAGGGACAAGAAGCTTTTGAACCCGGTGGATTTTGTGGGCCTGGGATTTGTGGGGTCAACATTATTTTGGTTGCTTGTTTTACAATGTGCTGTTTGTAAATACAATTCAGTGGCAAGAAGTTTGGAGGCACTGACCCTCTCTTTGGGGGAGTCAAGGGTACAGGCTTGATTTTACCTATGGCAGAATAATGTTTCAGAAGTTACTGAGTCTTCTCACGTACATTATTTTATAACAAAGGAGCACTGTCTTTAGTCCTGAACCTGCCTTATTCATATCATGTTTTCAAGATACCATAAGTGCCTGTTGTTTTTGCTGTTGTGTTTTTTTTACCAATTCTTCCCACAGAGAAATCAAACTCAATGTTGAATTTATCCTAGAAGTATTACCTGTGTAGTCAATGGCTTTTATAGCCCATTTGTAGCTCATGCCTTATTGCTGATAATAAAAAGATAATGCTTATGTCCCTAATAATTCTTAGCAACCTTCTTGCTGCCTTATCAGCATTTTTTTTTAAATAACAAAAAAATATATGGATTAAATTACAGGTGAACAGTCCGTGTCTCTTTGCATTTTGAGTGTATGTAATTGAAACCCTGCATTCACCCAAAACATTTAGGTTGCATGGTTGCAGCTACCCTCCATTCAAAATGTGCCGTTTGTAAATGAAATCCGGTGGCAGTCGGTTTTGACCCTGTCCTTGGCACAGATCACCCAGCAAAAAAAGAATAGATAAAGTCAAGGGTACAGATTTGGTTTTATCTATGATGGGGAAAACATGATTGTATGCACAAGTTCTCCTGCTATTAAAACCAACAGGGTTTTTTGCAAAATAGTTGCAACATCTGTCGGCCATCTCTCAGAACAGTTACACTCCGAAGAGTTCAGGCCAACTTTAACGTAGTTTCACACATTCAATTATTTCATATTTGCTTGTACAATGTAAGCAATCAGGGGTTTTATCCTGATTTTCAATGATATTACATTTTCCTTAATAATGACTTTATGTGTATAGCACCTTTCTTGCTGAGATGCAGCTCTGCTTCAAAAAAATTATAATCTGTTAATCAATAATCAATTAACATTTAAAATGAATATAAGAACACATAAACCTTTTTGAATACTTTGAATTAAAAATATATAGATATAGTTTTAACTGACAATAACTGAAAATGTGAATCTATCAATAACCTGATGCATTTAAACCATCTCAAGAAAATCCTCTAGGTGGGTACAGGGTCTGAACTGAGGCTCCATTTCAGAAAAGAGGTTCAGTGCTTAATGTAAGAGAAAGCCACATCACTTTTCCACACATCCAACAACTTCCATTTGTACCATTTGGAAATCCTCACGACATCAGCTCCAAAAATTACCAGTTCATCAGAACCAAGTGACTGTGGACCAACTGTGCTTACATTCCTACCAAATAAATTCCTAGGGGGAAATATCAAGTGTATCTGTAAAAATCATATTCAGCAAACTTCTGGAACCATATTTGGATTTCTTGCGAACTTTGCCTCAACTTTCCACAGAATGATAACTGCCTTACTTCCAGAACAACTGTCAAACATATACAATATTATTTCAGTGGGGTTTAATTTGTTAACAAACGTGTTTGTCTCAGGCGCACAGTACATTTACAAGTTCACTTTAAGGCTGCATTTTATCCTGTCTTCAACACTTCTTGTGAACAACCAAACACACAAGCCCTTCCAGTATTATCAAGATTAATGCTGAACATTATTTCAATAAGTTGAGTCTAAATACCCGAGTCTGCTGCTCAGTGTAAACTACCTGATAAGAATTACACTGATCAAACTTAGAATTGTTTTCATACAAAGAGTATTTTTGCATTTTTTTTTTATCAGTCAGTTGTGGCCAGTGTACTTTTTTATGCTGCAGTCTGCTGGGGCGGCAGCATGTCCAACATGAACACAAAGAGACTGGACAAGCTGGTAAAAAAGGCTGGGTCTGTGCTTGGCAGGCATCTTAGACAATACCAACCATCCTCTCCACAACATTCTGGCAGGACAGAGAAGCAGCTACAGCTACTGCAAATGTCTCATCTCACTGCGCTGCAGAACGGAGAGGTTCAGGAGATCCTTTGTTCCCACTGCCATCAGGCTATACAACACCTTAGCCAAAGGACGTGGACTAATCTAATTATTATTGTTTATTTATTATCAACTGCTATTATTATTATTATTATTATTATTATTATTATCATCGACAATGAGCTAATAGACACATGAATTTCCCCTAGGGGATAAATGAAGTATCTACCTACCTACAACTCATAAACCCGCCCACCCACCCAAAAGAAATTCCTCCAACACAAACATGGTACAAATAAAAAATAAAAAATTGGTGTAACACTGCAAAGATAGTCAGAGAATGAAGGTGGGTGTATGCCTACCGAGGTGTCGACATTCTCCACTTCCCGTATGACCTGCTCGGGGAGGTCCAGGTCCAGATAGACGTCCTTCTCCTTCCGGCTGATGGCGTAGTACCCCTCGCTCCTTGCACAACCAGTCACATGCTCACGAAGCTGTCCATCTGCGTTCTTCTTCTTACGCCGAGGGTTCGGCAAATTGGTTAGTGCAGCTCAAAGGTCAAGGACAATAAAAGGATACCAGACAATGACATGAAGACATAATCTTTACCCATTTAAAAACATTGATATTTGGGCTTATTGATTGAAAATAGCTATAGATCATTTGGACATGGGTAACTGTGGTTAATTTCCATGGCATTTACACAGACATATTTAATGCATGGGGCAGTCATTGAAAAGGATATTAGTGTGGTTGACCCAGTGAGTATCATTGAGCCAATCAGAGCTGTGGTCATCCTGTAGCAGCTTCTCATAAGTCTTCTTCAGTAACATCAAGTCTTCACCATCCAGACCAGAGTTCCAGATGTCATACAGGATGGTCATCTGCTCAAACTCACTACGGTTGTCAAACTTCATGGCTGGAGGCTCAGGTGCTGGAACAGGTTTTGGCCAACGCTGGGACGACGTTACCCCTGCCTCCTGCAAAAAGAGGCGCTCACTCTTCCTCACCACCTCATCCTCTGTGTCTGAGCTGGAAAGTTCCCCAGACTCAAGCTCCTCCACATCCACATCTTCCTCAAAGTCTGAGTCCTGTGCAGAAGAAGAGGAATATTACTGTGAGTGAATTGTGAATGAACACAACAATCTTCCAGCACACATACAGTTCACATACAGTTCCTTCTCCTTGGTCCAGATTAAAGCAAAAAAAAAAAAGAAACCCAACTCTTAATGTTGGCTTTTAGTTTCTTGTCTATTTAAGGTGTATGCTGATATATTGTGTATATTAAATCACATGGACATAGTCACATGACAGGTATCTTATTTATTGGACAGTTTCAGTCACCTGGTCCAAAAAAATAGGGGCCTATGGCTAAATCTTAAGTGAGTTTATCTTATTTTGACAGATTTATCTAAATATATGTACGCAAGGTCACTACATTCTTACGAAGTAAGACATTAACTTTAATGAGAAGCAAGCAGAGGTTCTGTTTTTTCAGCAAATACCAAACATTTAGTGAGGCAGGCTACTGTTTAAACCATAACCTGTTAGAAAACCATAACCATAACCTCAGCAGATGAGACATTTTTACAGTAATTAATTTAAAATGAATGCCTCTGAGTGAAAAACAGCCAAATGGGTCAAACACAAGCATAGGACTGTGGTTTACGCTGGTTGCTGAGAACCTGGAGACAGCTCAATGTTTTATAAACACAAACTAACTACATGTGTTACTTAAAACACAGAGGCAACGTCACTAGGTCTGTGTTGATGAGTGACTCTGATAAATGTTATTGTGGAGGGTTGCCAAGGTCAACATCTGTGCCCCTCTGTCCTCCAAAAACATCCTCTATCCTCTAATACATGTGGTCATGGCCGTTTTTTTTTAACCTTTTTAAAATTAAATCTACATTTATTATAGTTCTGTGGCATGTTTGTATATGTACATATTTTAACATAATAGTTTATGTGCATGTGCAAGACACAGAGACAATAAAGGCTTTTTATTTCCTTACCTGCAGATGAACCTAATACCCATATTATGACAAAGCAGAAAGCTAAAATTTTAACCTACATATGAGTCATACGTCTACAGTATCACTGTGAAACACTGTTGCTTTCGACACCCTGTTCATGGTTGAGACATCAACATTTACAGGAACACACGAGACAAGTCCCACGCACCTCTAGTTTCCGTTTCTTCTGTTTCTTGCCTGGCTGCTCCTGTTTTTTTGTGTGATGAACCTCAAGGTTTTCTTTGTCTTTTCTTCTCCTCTTTTTGCTCTCGTCCTTATCGAGTTCAAAACCTTTGGGAATCATGCTCTTCTTCTTTGATGATGGATGCACAGCTGCAGCCTGGCCCACATCCTCAGATTCACAAGGCTCTCCCACTGCAGACAAATATTCTCCTGTATCTCCCCTGGATGGTAGTGCCTCTCCAATGACCTCCTCTGGTGCCTCAAGCACCCCAGAAATGGTGTTGAGGTCTGCTGGCAGCAAGACAGAAGAGTCTTGTCTGGAGGAAGTCCTTTTGGTACTGGGTGGCACTGAGACAACAGGGGGTTTGCAGTAGTTGTGCTCCATAAAGACAACTACACCCTCTGGGCTCATAACCAGGGCCAGTGACTCTGGGGAGAAAAGATCTTCTTCCATCTTCTGCTCCTCTGCCTCATCAGATGTCTCCGTCTCCTCTGAGTCCCCTGCATCAGGGTCCATTTTCAAGGCTACATCAGCCAGCACAGACAGGTCAGTGGTTGAGGCTGAGGCCAGCTGCAGGAGGCTGGATGCCCCCAGCTGCTCCCTGAGCCTTAACCTCTGCTCACTTTCTTCCTCATCCTCATCTTCCTCTCTGAGGGAGTGACAGGACGAGGCAGACAGGCTGGTCGTTCGAGGTCTGCCTCTGGACCGTTTATTAACAGGAGGTGGAGGAGGGGCCTCCTCAAAAGCCATCCTGCACATAGAAGCATGATCCAACGGCAGGTTCTGCACAGTGCGGCACACCATGACAGGAGGGGCAGGAGATTTGGGGGAGTCTTTGCCTGCACCCCTTTTGCTAGGGGATTTGACAGGGGTGGTCTGGGGAGAGACAGGAGGTCCCTTTTTGGATTCATCAGAATCTTGAGTTCGTCCAGGTGGGGGCACAATGAGGGCATTGCCTTCACCTGGTTTTGAAGCAAAGGGGAGCAGCTGGATGCCCTGAGTGGGACGAGATGAGGCAGTAGTGACAGGGAAGTCTGGTGGCCTGCCAGGAGAGAGGAGGGGAGATTCACCCGCCACTTGTGAGGGAGATGGGGATAGTGGTGCAGTTGACAGCTGTGTTTTGCTGTCATTCTCATCTGTGGAGAACGAGACTGTTTTCCTGCGTTTCTTGAGAGGGGGCACAAGAACAATAGGGGAGGAAGGACGCGGGTATGGTGGTGATGGAGCCCGCTTGGTAGGTGCTGTTGTTGCACCTGTCTTGCTGTCCTTGGCTTCACCTGAGAGAAACATGAAAGTTTAGAAAGACAGATCCAAAATAAACATAATGAAGTAGATTTAAAAATTGTTGTGCTATTTGCCACTGTGAGGAAACAGCAGGTTTCATCAGCTATAGCAAGTCCAAAGAGTGAAGGTAAAGCCCCTTCATAAACTCAAAAATTAAGTCAAAATCTTCCTTTAATGGTTAATGTGTTCACATTGTGGTTTCACGATGATCTCTTTTTTTTTGTATTTGTTTCATTTCCGCTTGTTGATGAGGAGTTTTCAACTAACCTGTTTTGACTTCTGCCTTTGGAAGAGCAGTCGCGTTATTTCCCCTGAGAAATAATAAGAAGAGTAATAAGAATAAGATAATAATAACACGGTTAAAAGTAAAACATTTAATTGCTGAAAAAATGCATTTCTGAGGCCAACTCTCCTTCAGTACTGCTGAAAGATAACACAGAACTTTATACCTGTGATCTTTCTCTGTTGTGCTGTCCATGGTTGACTCATCCATGGTGTCTGGTCCTTCACTCTCGGCCCTCTCTCCTTCCTCTTCATCCTCATCCTCAGAGGAAGACGAAGATGAGGATGCTGAAGAGGAAGAGCCCTCAGAGGATGAGGAGAGACTCTCATCATCACTATCAGCGCTAAGGGCATCATCTAAAAAAATAAGTAAATAAATAAATAAATAAAAAGGTGTTAGGTATAACATCTACTATACCTTAACTGAATGTAAACAAATAAAAACAGTAAAGAGATTACTGATTGTGATTTACCATCAGACTCCTTTTCACTTTCTTCTTCCTCCTCATCCTCCTACACATGAAAGAAGGATTGTGTTTACAACACTAAAAAAAAAATTCACTGTGAAATGCTGCCATCTAGCTAATAGTGAGAGTGAGAACAACATGATACTCTCAAATGTGGTAATATCAAATTGTTAACACAAGGCAAATTTAAAAAATCTAGCTACTTGCATGCCATTTAACCAACCACTGATGTCAATTCATATAATGGGGCCCCAAACCTTTTCGGTTGAGGATCCATCTGACGTCTCCTCTCCCTCACTGTCGAGCTCCCAGGGTTTACGATTTCTTGGCTTCTTTTTTCTCCTCTTGTTGTCCCTTTCAGCTCCGTGCCTGTCCGCTTCTGGCATTCTCCCATCAGCAGCTAGAAACAAGACAATAGTTATATATCCAGAGTTATATGCAGCAGGCCTATTAGCCCAACCCATCTTTAAAAACTTTCCAACAAACCATTCAGCAAACCTTCATCATCCTCATCAGGTGGGGTTGAAGGTCGTGGCCTTTTCATGTCTCCCTCTCCAAGCTCCTGAGGTTCTTTCCTCTTCACCTATACAAGGAACACCAGGAATATATTTTTATAAAATCAATGAAATACGAGCAAGAATGGACTTTTCAGGCATTTTTGACCCCTAGTATACGCTTACATCACAAAATCTAACACAATACCAAACAATACTGCATTTTCCCCCATATTTTTGTAGTAGACTAAAATCAAAATCATTGTGAACATAAAGATAATTATACTGGAGTTGTAGACTGGAGTCTAATTCAGGACCAGTAAATCAAGTAGTGTCTTCTTTTAAAATGCAAAGGAAAAAACAATGGTTCAATGATGACGATAGTTTCTTTGTACAATAACTATAAAAGTGACACTTGACAGTGTGTGTATGTAATCAGAGGTGTAGATGTAAGTGTATTCATTTATAAAATCACATTGCTCGCTGTCAAATACAGAGATGCTGTCCAAAGTTTGTTGCAGTGTTGTGCTTTTACCTTGAAGGAAGGTAGTCTTAATGCTCCTCGGAGAGCAAAGCCCTCCATGCCACCACTCTTTGCCCAATCCACAAGAGATGTGAGAGGCTCCCGCGGGCGATTGACCTTTTCCTCTTTTTTCTCATCATCCCGTAAGGCAGACACCCCTCTGACCATTGTCTGGAAAGGCTGGAAAAGGAAAACATTTACAATTTAAAATGATCAATCATAGACCTCTGATCTGTTTTTATTCCACCTTTCTATTAACAGTATTGACAATGGTTTCTCATCAATATATTTGACACAGGCATAACTGCTAACTACTGAGAATCTGGAAGGAAGGTTTAAACTGCCTTTTCATCAACATCTTCTTGCTGGTTATAGGACAATGAGATGCAGTAACACATTTTTAGACTGAAAATGAAGAAAGCACAATTTGTAGCAACAAAGTTCACGGGGACTAGTAAGGAATTTGAATCTAATTCTCCATTTAATCACAGAATCAGCTTGAAGTAAAGAAAATTTGTCAATATATTTAGTTTAATAAAGTGTTTAGAGTTTAATAAAACAAAACATGTTTTAATATATCAACAAAATGTGGATAATTCAGTTTCTTACACCCAAAAACCAAAACAGCAACAGCACTTTGTTGTGAGTTCTCTTCCTTACCTTGGCCTTGGTCTCTTTCCTCTCCCACCACTCATCAAAGGTGGCAAAGGCAACGTTCTCCACCATCTTGCGGTTTAGGTCCCTCTGCATGATGTTTTTCATTTCCTGGATCAGAGTGGCCAGGACCATCTGCACTGTGGCCTCATGTGGATTCTCAGCCAGCATGGGCATCTGCTCCCCTGGAGCCCTGTACTCGTCTCCATCCCCGGGCAGCATGGTGCCATAGCCAGGTGGTGGCATGTAAGAGGGGTAGTGTGGTGGTAAGACATGCGGCGGCCAGGCCGTATGGGGAGGCGGGATGCCATGGTGTGGAGGGGGAGGTATCTGAGTGCTGTGGGGGTCAGGGTAGGGGTAGGGCATGTGAGGGGGCATGTAGCGGTGGTCCTGGTCGTAATGAGCGCCTGCCCCGCTCCCCTCTTGGTCCATGTAAGGGTGGTGTGTGTGGGGTGGCGGCATAGAGTGGAGATGGTAGGAGGTATAGTCAGCAGTGGCCGCCTCACCAGGGCCTGGGGTGCCGTTGGATGACGACATGCGCAGCTGGTGTAGACGACTAAGCATGTGGGTCTGCATTTGGAAGGACATAGGAGCCCCACCACTGTACTGGTTCATCAGCTCCATGGAGGTGGCATAGTCATACATGTGGTGGGGCATGGGAGGAGGATACTCAGGGTGCAGCTCCATGTGGGGAATGGGAGGGATCCCTGGAGGAGGCGGGGGCTGGAGGGAATAACCAGGGGGAGGAGGAGGAGGCAAATGAGGAGGGTAGGAGGGCATGGGAGGGTGCATGGAGGTGCCAAAGTGCTGTGCAGAGTCAGAGATGGGTGGGGGTGAAGATGAAGGGTCAGCTGTTTGTGAAGGTATCGCAGCCTGGGATGAAGTGGGTGAGGAACCTGAGGTGACTGAGGGCTGGTGGGTGGTCACTGTTGTTATGGGGGTCTCCTCCTCCTCCTCATCTGATATCTCCATGTCTTCCCCTGAGGAATGAGGGGAGGACTGAAAGAAAACACAGAGTTTACTGTTGTAAGTTGGGAGATCACCCGAGAACCAGAGACCATAACAGCGCATTTATGCTTTAACTACAAAAACAAATAACATAGTGAAATTACACACACCAAAAAAAAAAAAAAAAAAAACACAATACAAAACATACATATTATGTTTTTATATCCTGTTTGTACCCAGGATGCAGAGTATTTTTGATTTTGTTTGCAGACTCGTATGTGCATTTTCTTTTTGTGTGTGTACATTTCTGATAATAATAGTAATAATAAAAATGATAATCATCTTTCCATTTACAAAAATGTAATTTTCATATTTAACATACATGAAACATATTTATAGTTTGTTTATTTTTTAGTTGCTTTTACCACAGCAATGAGCTTCACACTAATTTTACCCACTACAAAAAAACTCACATACCAGCATGTGAATTGTGGCCAACATTATCACTGATAATATTGGATAACACACACGCTGAGGAAGGCAGACTCTGAAACGTCTGTGTGTGTCTTCGACAGTTTCGATCATTTATTAAAAATAAAAAATTAACAAGATGATTTTTGAGTTCTGTGAACTTTTGCCCCAGACTGGTTGCACCCTCAAGCACTTCAAGAGATTAAATATCAAGGCTCTATAGAAGCTGTCTATATGCCTATATACAACATTAGCACTGCTTGGCAACAGTATAAGAACCAACTACACTTCATTTATCAGCATGATGCAGTTGAGACCGAATAGTTAGAATCTTGAAGTTTCATTATGTGCTACTAATCTTACCTGACTCTGCCCATTATAAGGTGGCGTGTGTGCTCCTATCCTGCTCCGTGTATCAGCAGATCCAGCCTGTGAAGATTCCTCCTGCAAAGCTCCAGGGCCAGCGATGCCAATCTGGGGCTGGGGTTCCTCTGGTGGTGGGATGTGCGGAGAATACGTGGAAGAGGATGGTGTGGCTGCATTAAGTACAGTGGGACTCTTCCTACCCTCTCCTCCCTTTCCCCGTTTCCTTCCTCTGTGCCCATCTCTGTCTCTTTCGCCTTTCCTCCTGTGGTCCTTATCCCCATTGTCGCCCACCTGATTACCACCTGTGTGCTCCACTGTTACATCACCTGACCCACCTCGTCGGTCTCCTCTGTCCCCACGTGTGCCCCTCTGCTTTTCCTCTTTCCTATCTTCCTCATCTTCCTCATCAGAGGCAAGGAAAGAAAATTTAGCCTTCTGTTCCTTTAGGAGCATCTCAATTCGAGAGTCAAGGCTGCTGCTGTGGTAGACAAACGGTAAACTCTCATTGGTGGAATCTGGCTCTGGTGAAGAAGAGTCACGTTGGGGAGGCGGTGGGGAGCTGGAGGAAGAGGGGAGGTGATGGGGGAGTGAGGTGGAGGAAGGCGAGGTAGAGGAGGAAGTGATTGAGGGGTGGGGAGGGGAGGAAGGCGGGGGCGTTTTCGGAGGTGCGGGTGGAGTGCTGGGACGGCGTTTGGGCTTTGTCCACTGCTCTTCTCTGGCCGGACTATCCTGGCTGAAATCCATTGTTCCAAGTGTCTCAGCTACAGCCGCTGCTATTACAGAGGCTGGTGGAAGGGGCGGTGGCGGGGGTGGAGGTGGAGGCAGAGCACTGTGGTGACCAGCATGATAGTCTTTGTCAGCACCAACCGAGGGCAGAGAGCCTCTCTCTGCCAGGTTTGTTCCCCCTTGACGGGTGGAAACGTCCAATCCCTGAGGAGGGGCTGGGACAGGCTCTTTAGAGGAAGAGTATGCAGAGTAAGAGGAGGGGGGGGGAGACATGCTGTTGGAGGAAGAGCGGTAGGAGTTGGAATTGTATCTGGGGTCAGAGCTGTTGGAGTAGTCACTGTCTCTGTCCCTGTCTCTATCTCGGTCTCTGTCTCGATCTCTGTCTCTGTCCCGGTCATGGCTGCTCCTCCTGCGGCTGCTGCTGCCATGGTGGTTATGAGAATGGTGGTGGTTGCGGTGTCTCTGGTGGCTATGATCACCTGACCGGGAGCCCAAACTGTCTCGCCGGTACCCCCTGTCATCCCTGCGATCTGAGTGATGATGAGAGTGATGGGAATGGTACTTTGAGGAAGAGTTTGTGTCCTGCTGGTGGTGGTAAGATGACCTTCTGGAGCCAATCCCCCCTGGCCCGTAGCGCCCCCCTGAGTCTCTGTCACGGTCCCGGTCCCTGTCTGACATTGGAGGCTGTTCATATTGGGTGGCAAGGGGTGGTGGAGGCATTGAGGAGTGGTGTGCCATGTGTGGCCCAGGTCCCCCAACATTTGGGTATGGGGGATAGCACGGTGGCTCATTGGGACGGTATGATGTGGCTGGGGGGTACATAGGGCGACCTCGATGATACACTGAAGGTTCCTGTGCATCCTCAGAATAGCGAGACACTTTGTATCCTCCAACAGTAGATGAGACTGCAGAGGAGGAGGAGGAGGAAGGTAACATGTCCTGGGGAGGGTAGCCGCTGCCCAAAGTGCCAGTGTTGTAGCCAGTATGCCTGCAAGAGACAAAAGAGGAAATTCTGAAATTGAATTATTATTTTTGTTGACCTAAGCATAATTAACATTCACAAACATGCTACTATAGCCTTTGACTCCCACTTTACCTCCAACTACCAGTTCAGCTAAATGATCAAAAGCACAAACCCCAAAATGTACTTTTTCATTATATTAAATAACTTATGTTCATTCAGCAGAGATACTCTAAGTTGTACCATCAGAACATTCTATGCAGGACATATTTAGTGTAAAAATACTTTTATTGTAATGTAATGAGAGCAAACACTGGTGCATTGTCCAAACATTCAGTCTGTGCTACATAACAACTGCACATAGCCCAGGAGCGATTCCTCTTGCTGTGTGAGCTGAGAAAAAATTTATTTGATTACAAATGTTTCTGTACAAATTCATAGATAAGGTATGAGAAGTTATACCTACATTTTCACAGTAGTATATATGTTATTAGCAGTTATTAATACAGCACTGATAAACTAATAACATACATGATTGGTGAAAGGATCTCTTGAGGTCTCATAACCTATGATTTGATATTGTACAGATGATGCAAAATGTCTCAGCCTTGACCAAGGAACCTGAATTTGCCTCATGATATAAACTCCATAGAAGCAAGGGTAATATTTGGATGTGTATGTATTTATATAGGTTTCACGCGAATAAATAAAAATAAATTATAATAATGATATGCTAAATATCAATAACAAACCTGCCACCGGTATAGCCCGAGTCTTGTGAGAAAGGAGTCCCAGATCTAGAGCTATAAGGTGTTCCTCCACCACCCTGAGACGACGCAGAGGAGCCTGGGGTGTAAGGGCCTGCCATGGAAGAGGGGGGCGTGTCCAGACGCTGCTCACTGAAGCCAGTGTCCACAGAGCAAGGGGTAATGCTTCCTGATGTGAGGGCCTGTACCCCTGCTGCCAAAACCACAAGCTCACTAGAGAGCCTCCTCCTGATTTCTGATGACTGTGCAGAAAAAGGCCAAACATATCAAATTGAGTAAATTAGGCAACTGTCTTTGCTATAACTACACTTTTACTGACTCACAGAGTGTGCAACTAATAATAATGTTAATAAGACGCTGAAATGAATTTTAATAACTATTCACATATTAATTTTAGATGATCATTGAATAATTGAAGTGACAATTATAAAATACCGTGTCAGGCTGCGGCTGTGTTGGGGCCTGAGGCTGGAGCCTGTCTGTCAAAGCCTTGCCTCCCAGGGGCACTGTCTGAGGAGTGTAGGACCCATTTACTATCAGGTCATAATACTTCTGCCTCTGCTGGCCTGGATAAGAAACAAAAATCACAGAAAGATTAATACAGACTGTTAAATGAGCTCAACATACATGTAACTGCATCTACTTATGAGGTTTTCAACACAAACAAGGCTTAACTACCACCAAGAGACTGTTGTTGTTGTTGTTGCTGCTTGTTGGTCTGTTTATTAATTAGCAGCACATCTAACAAACTTGTTTACAGATTTCAACTAAAGTTTATGGAGAGTTCTGGGAAGAACATTGTGATTCACTCTTGGTGCAAATTTGGATAAAGTGCAGGATATTTAATGATATAAGTAAACATTTCCACTATTTTCTCATGAACTTCCACTCTTCCTTGAATGAAATAAAAAGCTGGCACATATATACACCATATAGATACACCTTATGGGGTATTTCACTTGATGTGTTTTGTGCATATACAGATCGAGCAGCAGAGTGAGAATGTCCTAACCTTTTTAGTTATTACAAAAACAAAATTTAGAGGGTTGTGCAACCTTGTGGAAGTATGCTCTCTCTGGGTACTTTGTGGTTTGATATGCACTTTATAAATTCATTTTTAACTGGCCTCATATAATCTTTTAATTTGTATTTACAGGTCAGAGTATTTCAGTGTGTTTTGATAGACATAAACACAGTTTTCTAACCAAAACCTAAACCAAAAATCAGACATCATCCAAAATAGTTTGAAGCATCATTGAAATAACTGGTGACTCACAACAGACTCATACCTTAAAGATGCCTCAGATTAGGTGCATTAGCCTACCCTTTATATCCAGTTGAGCATGAATGATGTTGCCCATGACAGAGGTGTTGTGCAGATGCTTCACTGTGTCCTTGGCTCCTCTGGTACTGGTGAACAACACCCTGGCCAGGCCCAAATGCTTCCTGGTTTTGGGATGAAACAAGATCTCCATCTCCTCCACCTCACCAAACTTGGCACACATTTCTGCCAAGAAGGGCTCCTTGATGTTGTCATTGAGTCTAGCAAAGGTCACCTCTTTGAGGGGTATGGGACCCACATAGAACTCATCAAGCTGTAATGAAAAATAAAAATGATAATATTGGGGATAAACCCTCATTCTAAGAAATGAAGCAACAGGGATATGTGAATTGAATGTTGACTAGCTATTCTTACCTTAAACTTCGGCACTGGCAGGGACAGTTCTGTATACCTAGACCATAGCCTCCGGGGTCTAGGGTCCCGCAGTTCACCCACAGGAGGAAATCCAGAGTCCTTGGAAAATTATACAGGTTGCAGTTTGAAGATACTTTTTAAGCACACATACAAGTTATAGAGATAAAAAAAAAAACTGTAAATAAACTCACTGGCACACTGAAATGCACTCCATCATATCTGTAGATTTTCTGTGCAACCCGTCTAATAGCAGGGTCCTGGACGAGTTTGTAGCTCTTCCACTGCAAACTGACAGCCTTTTGTGTTTCTGCCCCACTGTCTGGATCCATCCTACAACTGAGAGTCAAAGGAACATCATGATTTTAGACCGTGCACGAGCCACTGTGTGGGTATAAAAACCACCTCAGAACCATCAACACAAAAGCAAAGCTTTAACAAATTAGATGCGCAATGAAGCTACACTGATATGAAATACTGCAGTAATTACAGATAAAGTATGATTTGGCCGCTGGCAGGAGGCAATTTGTATGCTAACCTAACAGAACGATGAGCTGCGTCACATCAGTTAGCTAAACATTAACTTCTATGACTAGTAACTGGCTATAGCAATTTTCCAGGTAGCAGAAAAATTAATTTAACAGGATAATTCTCCTCGGATAGGATGCTGCGTGCTGTCAAAACAATGAGCAGCGTTACGTCACTGGCCAGTTAGTTCAGCTAGCAACCTGCTGTTAGCAAAGGCTAACGTGCACCAACAAAATGCCAAGAAACCGTTTACCAACGTCAACACAGATTTCACATTAAAGGCTCACTAATTCGGGTTCCGAATTATTACATTACAGCAGCATTATCGATAGCTCTTGCGTTAGATAACGTGAACAAATGTTAAATTACTTATGCCATGTCGCTTTAGCCAGAGCAAGTTAACGCTACCGTTGGCTAATGCTAACTAGCAAGAAGACCAAGTTAGGAGTCAAAACTCTGATCTTGTTGACCCTCAGTCTGTATGCATATAATTTTATGAGTGGCATTAATGTTATGCATCTCTCCTCACGATTCTACTGACTTGTTTTGCTCCATGTTCGCATAAACTCAGACCCCACCTCTTCGAGAGCTACTGCCCGCTCACCCGAAAGTAGCAAACCGCCGCTACAGTGTAGGCAGCTGCGGCCAGGCCCGGGAGACGAACAAGAAAAACACTGAGTCCCTAACAGAAACGGGACATGTCCGACCTTGCGTTAAAGCAAAACCGTCCAGCTAAAACAATGCCGCTATCATTCCGATAGTTAGTACAGACAACAACACGCCTCTCCAAGCGACGAAGCCATTGTTTTCGCGTTAAAACCCAAATATTGATGAGAGAGCGGCCATCGCGTAACCAACCTGAAAGCCTCGCCTGTTCTCCATCAGTGTGCGCGAATGCAGCCTATGATTTCTGATCGGCACTTTCTTCAACACAGGTTACTGAAATAATAACCCCACATCGGCATAAATCACTGAAAACATCATAAATGTTTCCAAAAAGAAAATAATTTATGCGAATTTATAACTATTTTTATTAATGGTGTAACTTCTTTAGATGAAAAAATATGTTTGAATCTGCTCATACAAACCCAAACTAAGACAAGTGGTCAAAGCGCCCCCTAAAGGCTGATCTGTGACACATCAGCTAACACAAAATAATATTTGATCACATTTATTAACCAATTAGTACTGTTTTAATACTTAATATGCATCAGACATAACAGTTAATCGAATCCTTTAATATTCAGATAATGATAATAAGTATCATTATCTGTATTATTATAGATATTATAACAGACTAGACATGATTGTTGCAATGGTGGAAGATGTATTCAGATTCTTTAGGTAAAAGTAGCAATATAGTGTGACAATACTCCATCATAAGTACAATATTTTAATCAAATAAAAATACATAGGTATTATCAACAAAATGCACTTAAAGTATCAAAAGTACAAGTGGTCATTATATAAGAAAATGGCTTCTGTCAGTATTTTATTAACACATTTTATTAATGTATTGCTATTACTGATTCATAAACGTGTGAGCACTAATTTAATGTTGTAGCTGGCCAAGCTGGAGCTGATTTTTAACCGGTGTATATACTGTTGGACAGCTTAATCCTAAATATTAATTATGTTTTATAAACTTATAAGTTTTATATGTAAAGTCTGCAATGCATCCTGTAACTACAGATGCCAAACAAATGTAGGGGAGCAAATTGTACAGCATTTGCCTCTTAAAAAATACTAGTAAAGTACAACTATTTCAAAATTGTACTTAAATAAAGTCATTGAGCTCCACCACTACACTACTACATCCACCTTTCCAGTTGACCTACCAAAATAAACATATGTGGCACCAATTGACAGTTTTTGAAAATTTTCCATCACTAAAGTGACCCACAGAGTGCACCAAGAAATAATAAACAACATAGATTAATTTGCTGGAGATGATTCATAAAATTTTGTGACTGAATTTGTAATTTTGAGCAGTGAGTGGTACAGAATAGAAGAAAATTCAGAAAATGGATCAATAAAATGCAAAAATTTAAAATGTGGAACAACTGAGTTCCACAAGAGAGTGCCTTTAAATTATTTACTTGGTCAAAGTGTTTCAGTATTTTTTATTTCAAATGGTGGCAATCTTTTACTTTTGTTATATTATTTAGTAAAATCACATACAGGTTAACCAGAATAACAGGTGAGATAAAAGCTAAGTGAAGCCCATGAGGAGACTGACTCAACGCTGCAGGAAGTTTGACAGAAATTAAGTAATGTATAAACACTAAAAATGAGTAATTGTGGTAAGACAATGCAATAAATGCATTGACTTTTAAGGATGTAGTTTGTTGTGCTTATGAACTGCATGATGTAACACTGTTATTTTGTCCACCTCATTTATATCAGTGGGGTTTGGCTAAACATAAACAAACATAAGTTTAGCTTTTGTTGAGTGAGTTCATTAAATTGCTTGGTTATGTCTGAGACTATCCTATTTTGTCAAAGGATTTCATCATTTAAGATACTGTGGACAAATCACAAATAAATAAATGTTATATTTTCATATTTCCCATTGAGATCACAGGTTTTCTCATATCAGACTTACACCATAAAAGGCTTCTGACTAGACAGGGTTATTATCTATTTCAGCTTGTCAAGAGAGGACCACACCGATGTAACCAAATCTAGTTTCCAGACTGCTGACACAATCTATAAGTTAAATTTAGCATTTAGCCTCACCCATTCTGATGCCTGTTATAGACCCTCACTCTTTCAACTACTGATACTAAGAGGTCGATGTATCAGTCTCTATGTTGTACACTACTATTCTATGACCCTATATATTTTTGTACCTATCATCTAACCAATTACTGGTGATTTACTATTAAACAAACAACAGACACAGTTTTTCCAACAGACTCCAGTGCACTTTATTATGTTTGCTCAGATATTCATTACAAACAGCCTGCAAGAAACCTAACTCATATGCAGATGAGATAAAATTTCCTTGATCGTATCATTTAAGATTATATTAATGGTAATAAATGAAACTGCAATGAAACTGCAATGTTTTCATTCCTTTTAAAATGTGGCTCAATACCACCAATTAGTGTGTTCTTTCCCAGCAGATTCAGTTTAAAAAGCTCACTGAGCTGCAACAGTTTTGATTAGAAGAAGATAGATTTAGAGAGAAAAAAAAAAAATCCTGCATGATGTGGAGACAGATTTGATGGTGAAAAAGTCCCTCTCAATTGACACAGGCAGTTCACTCACAGTCATTAAGGTTTAGCCACACCAAATGGAGCAGGTGGTGACACAAACAGCTAAGCTTGACACACCCGGAGGTACAAGATGTCAGTTTGGAGCTGGAGCGACTGAACCAGAGCTGTGGTGGAGAGAAGCTGGAGAAGACTTAACTGAGCACTGCTTTCACGTGTGCTTGTATCCCCTAACCCTGTGGTAGTGTTTCACATGGCTTTAACTTTGATCTGCTTCATCTTCATCTGCTTCTTCTCAATCTTCTTCTGCTCGCGTCGTTGAGCTGCTTCCTGAAAGAGAAAATTAAACATCTGAGACACAAAACTTAACAGTGAGAATGAGACCTCTATGCTTAATTCTATGGTTTTCTTTATAAAAAAGTTATAGTTTGCCATCCATCTAACTCTCAGTAGGAGAGTGAATAATAATTCCCACAATGTCAAACTATTCCTTTAAACATCTTTTCGAGGGGTTTATATGTTCAATTTCTATTTCAGACCTCCAGACGCCGTTGTCTCTCAGGGTCCTCCTCATTCATGATCCTCTCCTTCTCAGCTCTCTTCTTCTCCTCCCGGCGAGTCTGAGCCGCCTCCTGGCGCTGAGCATGAGTCTGCTTCAGGAAGTTCTCCTCTACCCGGGCACGGTTTCTGTCAGCTTTCTGTTTGCCCTGAATGGACAGGAAGAACAAAGTCACACATAGTTTCACTTCAAGCTTCCATGTAAAACCCCCAAATACACCAAATAAGTGGGTGATAGTTTGGTTGTACTATGAGCCACCAGAGCATTTGAATCCTGCTCACCTCTCTGTTCAGACGGAGTTTCTTGACTTTGTCGATGCTGTAGATCACCATGTTCATGAGAGGAAGCAGAGTGTCCATGTCTTTGGGAGAGGTATTGCCCATACCAGGCACTACACACACACACACACACACACACATACACACACTAGTTAAATCAAATTATGGGGTATAGCCAAGATTTTTAGGAAAATAGTAGAGAAAAAATGCTCACCATTAAATGTAAACAGCAGTGTCTTCTTGGTCTCAGGCAGCTTTAAGGGCTGACCCTCCCTAAAAGACGACATAGGAAGTGCTAGTACCACATAGAAAATAAGAAAATGCTTAATAATTTGCATGTGAAAGATTAAAAACGCAAAGTAAATTCGTACTCTTGCATAACTTTTGGACCAGAAAATTGGTCCGAGAAATGGATGGACTCAATCTTGTCAGCATGGTTGGTGATATAATGTACCATCTGAAAAATACAAAAAACAGATCCAAAAGGCAAAGGTGTAATGAGAGAGCTGTATGCAAGTTGTTTCAGGGCAAAATCAAGAGACTTTGTGCTTACTTTTTATAATAATACTGTAAGTGAGATAAGAGTAAAAAAGTCAGACTTCACCTTGTTGTCCATCACCCCATCTGTGACCTCGCCCATCTCACTAAGAATAGCCAGGGAGTCTGGGAGCCCATACTTGGCCCCAGACTTAGGCTTGTCACCGCAGAACTCACTCTGTGGAAAAAGAAGAAAAATCATAGCTGATGTTTGAGCATTAATGACAACCAGGTAAAAGAATAAGACACAACAAAATCAAAATTATGTGTGAGTAATACTGTATAATACAATTGGAACAGAAATAAATAAATACATCTATTTGTGTAGAAACAATTATACATCAAATGTAGCTTAGGTTGTAGAGGATATTTACCAGGTCCTGCATCTCCTTCTGAAGTCTGGCCATGGCCTTCTTGGTGCCCACAGCAAACACAAAAGTGTCCATGTCCTCATCATTAAGAGTCACTTTGATTTGCTACAAACCAACAGACAGATGCTGTGGGTTAGAAAAAGACTAACTGCAATACTACGTATATAGTCCTGTACTTCAAATTACTACTTGACAGGTACATACCACTTGGTCACAGGCAGGCCTCATCATCCTGGCCAGAACATTAAGCAGGTCCTGCCTCTTAAGAAACTGGAGTAAAACAAAATATATTATGTTACTCTATATTTAACACAATGCACTGACAACAACACACCAACATATCATAACACAATGTCGATACCTTAAGTTGGATCAGCATGCCTTCACAGCACACACGTCCAGAGCACCACAGGTTGTAGATGTGTTCATTTTCCTGATTCAGTTTCCCAGTGCTCACTGCTTCTTTACTGGTGCCATCATCACCTTCACATACAAATGACTGACAATTAACAAATGATCTACCTCACACAGACTGCCATCATTCCATCCATTTGATTATGACCAGGGACTAGGGCTGGACGATATGGCCAAAACTGTTATCATGATAAAAAAAATTTCATATCAGTCAACATCAAT